TTTACAAAATATGCCGATTTACTGATTTCACGCTTTCGGGAGGCATATTTATTATTATTTTTGTAGTCCGATGTTGTCAAGATTGCCCCTAATTTTTTTCTTTCAGTTACTGATATATTAGGGATGTTTTATGTTATTTTCATTTATTCTGCAAACTACTGACTTTAACTTAAAGTGATATGACAATAGGTTACTGCCCTGACATAGCATGATGAATAGAACACGGGTCTATTAATTTAGTATACGCTACGAATTCTATAAAAGGGCACCAATGAATAAAGGAAGCTTGGCTTTTCAATAGCTTGCACCTGCAATTTTTGAATAGTTACGTAACAAACTACTCAGCTCTTTCAGATATGGCATCAATTAATGAATTGAAGAAAACAAATCCGACCCTCCCTTCATTGAGCGAATACTTTTGGCAAATACGTGGATTACCAAAGAGGTAATAATAGCATTCCTGACATTGCAACAATGACAGCATTATTTTAAAGTATTGTCTCTAAAGGTAGCATACTGAATAAGCTATTTATCCTTGTCTGGGAGGACAAGGCCTTTCAATATCCCCATGCATAAGAAAAGAATAGGCTGGGGCTGTAGTCTGATTTCAAGAAAGGAAAACAATTTCGGGACAGTTCAAAATAATGCTTGGAAATGGAAATTCAAATGATACCGTTTTAAAAACCATCAATTATATATGATTTTAGGACAAGAATCAGAAGATTCGTAAATATTCATAATTGAATGACACACGCCCTTAAAACTAAAACAACAACAACAACAACATGATTTTTCCGTAGAGATCAGTGGGTTGTATTTAATACTATAGGAGCAGCAGCAGCTACAGTACCGTACCCTGCCCGGTATCCGCCCGATAGGCAGTTTTTCTTAGATAACTTTTCTGAAAATTAATTATACAGGCGCTAATGTATATCAATTTGTAGCCGAAATTCTAGCGAATCCAACCATGCCATTCTTATGCCTGAAATCGTAAGCAATTGTCCGTAGTGCGCCGTCTGCGTGAGGCATATTCCTTGCCTATTTCCGCCTAGACCTGCCCTAATTCGTCCCGATGGTGGACGCGCATCAAAAGTATAGAAAAGGGAGACATCTCGGGTAAACGTTAGGCCAAATAAAATTGCTTCCCAGTAGAATTTGATCTACATGATATTTTGATAATTGATATTTCTTTCTTTATTTCTTCTTTTGCCTCTGTAGGCCTACTAATAATGTCTGTTCACTGTTATTCACCACTTTCTGATCTGGGAAAATTCTGTAACTGCCTTTCCGGGAAAATCCTGTGACTTGTCTTTAATGTTTTAATAATGGTAATCAGACAAATCTGACTAAAGTCACTTAACATATCGCTAATCATTTTTAAATTAACCACTAGGGTGAAAGAATTTAATTTAAAAAAAAACTATAACCACTATCAAAGTGAACATATTGTAAAAGAAAGTAATGGTGCTTCATTTTTATTTATTTTTAATTGCAAACTATTCTCGACATCTCTCAAATCTTGATTCAAAAATAAATTAGCGTATATTTTTAGGCATAATAATCGGTTGGAAAAAGCATCTAGCAATATTGTCATTAGAATTATCATCATCGCCGACATCGTCTAAATCATCATCATTACAATTTTAGGGTATATAGGTCTATAACGCAAATGTGGTTTCCTTTTTGATTATTTGTTTAAGACTTCAAGTTGTTGTGTTTTTTGTTTTCCACTTGTTCTAAATTATGCAGTATTATATTTTGATAATGCATTCAATAATAATTATAGCCAACTTGAAAGACAAAACTTTCCGAAATGATCTTAAAAACGAAGTTGTCGATTCACTTCCATAGAAAGTCAGTGTTTTTTTTTTGCAAAATAATGTAGTATAATAATTAATGAAAAAGGAGTGGTGGTGGGGGGGGGGGGGGGTCACCAGTCACGTTTTTGCCACTTCAACATCCAAAGAGGGTTGAAAGCTATTGTATAAGTATTTTGTTGACATTACCGAGAACAACTCAAATCATGTCCTGCAATGTATTGCCCTTCTCTAAATTTGGCACTATACCCCCTCCCCCACATCTTCTACATAATTCATCTATTTATTTATTCATTCAATATTCATTCATTTTATTGCCGAGAGATATTAATGTGATGGATAGAGATAAAAAAAATGTTCACCTTTTATTCGCCATAAAACTTTAGCAAACTAACAACGTATATAAAAATTACCCTAGCCATTTGAAAGGCTGACAGGCGTATAGGCCCTTGTGAAATGTATCATTTATAGTTTTATACTACTCTTTCGATAGCCATTCATATAGGTTTATTTCACATAAAACAACATTTATTTTATTCACAGTCAGCTGACGGAAATTTGATAGCAGCGAAAATGTCATGGTCCGTGTTGGCAAAAATATATAACACACAAACATTTGAAAAAAGATATTATAGCCTAATGTATAGAAGCACTAAGAAAAAGGATGTAAAAGTGAAGAGGGAGACTAAAAGAAAAATCGGGGAAAGGAGGGGTGTAATCGAAGAAAATTGAGGGAATAAATTAAACTAAATTAATTAAAACAAAAACTAATACATCAATCCTCTGCCTGCATCCTGTATCGTATCAGAAACAAGCACTCTTTTCGCTACAAAGCCACGACGCTGGATTGAAAGGCGACACAAGCTTCAGCGACATAGAACATAAATACAAACTTTTTGCAAATCTACCAAACCTGGCAACTTTTTTAAAAGCCGGACTTAGTTGTCATCGGGATCACTTTTGGAGAACCGAACTTCAAGCATTTTTTGCAACATTAATCAATCATATATAATTTTGTCACAAAATTTAACTGCATGATTATCACATTACCACATCGTTACCAGAAATTGTCGGTTGCTCGATCGAACGAACGGCCAAACATCATTGCAACATTCTTCGGGGGGGGGGGGGGTTCAATCTCAGCCTCCCACCTTATTCGCCTACCATTACCCCCCGGAAAACTACCTCCAAAGATAATTACCCCTAAGGACAATTACCGTGCCTCGACGAGCTACCCCCGGAAAAGAGTCCCCCCCCCCCCACCCCCTGAAACTTAACCCCTATATAGGACAATGCCCCCCTGGGACAACCAAGGACAACCGCCCCGAGGACTACCCCCTGTTCAGTATGAACAGGGGAAAGTCAACCTCGATAATTAGTTGGGTAATTTTTAGGGGGAGATCATTAATTTCAGGGGGTGGTAATTGTCCTCTGGGGGTTTAATTGTCCACGGGGGGGGGGGTAATAATTGTCCTAGAGGGTAATTTTTCGGGGGGGGGGGGAGTAACTTCCTCGGGGTGGTTGTCCTCGGGGGGGGGGGGGGGGGGGGGTAATCGTCCTTGGGGTAATTATTGTACCGCTAATTGGCCGGGGGTGACATGCCCAAGGGGTAATTGACCTAGAACCTTCAAAGGGCAATAAATAAACAGCTACTCAATTTACACTTAATCTTATTTTCTGGTTGTAAACTCAACGAAAAATGAATGGCCACCTCTAAATGATTATTTTGTAGACCATGCAAGCGAGCCTGCAAAATGTTAAGTTTAGTAGCACGGTTATGATTGCTCATCAAAAAGTGAAACAACATTCCGTCTGGCAGATTTTGACAACTGCATGGCTGTAATACCAGTAAAGAGTTTTATGCCTGGTGACCATGTTATCTCATTTATGATCTTTCTTTTATTTGCAAAATGTAGGTCAACATATACGGGGGGGGGGGGGTGAATTCCCAATTTACAAACTGTTTATAGGTCGAATGTAGTTTTATAGTATTTGTGTATTCTTCACCTTCTTCATACTCTCGAGTTGCGATTTTATGGAGTAAACCGAGTGTTTTATCATGGAAAAAAGACAATGAAGTGTGCACTTTCAAAAAACCAACCGCAGACCTAAAAACACACAAATAGACTAAAAAACCACGGGCAGATAACCTTTTCTCTGTTAGAACTGCACTGAACTAGCGCGTGTGTTTGAGTGGGCGGAAATAGGGCAGGGGCATCACAGGCCCACAGGGCGACATGGCCGAGTTCAAGCCTCGGTAACTTTATTATAAATAATAATTTTCGCAAGAAATTTGCTCAGGTAAAACATCAGGAATTTAAACTTCCATATCTCTTTAAACAAAAGTAAAATTTCCACCATATTTTTTTTCTGATCGTTTTGAATAGGAACTTGATGTTTTTTAAAAAGGTTGATTCACACCTAAATAAGCGCATAGCTGACTGCTGCACAGTGACGTCATTCGCGTATCTCCGTTAAATGGGCGATCGACAGTGTACCATATTTCGTGCACATGTTCCTTACAACGTGTATGCTGCTATAGGCAAGTTAGTCGCACGCCTTCATTGCGCACCGTAGAAACTCGGGCGATGGAAGACGGCCGTTGTGTCTAATAAGCCATTGGTAACAGGGGGGCGGTAACTGGGCAGGGTACGGTACCGTACATATTTACCAACTAGCTAGCATGTGTAATGTGCAGTGATTTGCCGTGAAACCTGTTAGAAACTTCAAAAGTGTATACTAATATCAACGTTTTTCCGAAAAGTACTCCAAAAAAGAAAAGAAAATTGACACGACACAGGTAAGAAACATAACAAATTTTGGCGCTAGTGTAGCAAGGTATCCAAAATATAGCCTACTAAAACAGACCCCAAATTTTAGACCCCAAATTTCGTGTTTATCATTATCTCTAGGGTTAGGGTTAGGGTTAGGGTTAGGGTTAGGGTTAGGGTTAGGGCTAGGGTTAGGGTTCTAGGGTTAGGGTTAGGGTTAGGGTTAGGGTTAGAGACCACGAAATTTGGGGTCTAAAATTTGAGGTCTGTTTTAGTAGGCTATATTTTGGATACCTTGCTACACTAGCGCCCAAATTTTAATTCATAACCATTATTTGAACATTTAAAGAATAGATCTATTTACTTAATTTTGGGTAGACCCTAGATCTAGTCTATGTTTTATTAGTAGGGTGTCTCCTCGGGGTACCTCCACCTCCGGAGTTACGGGTCAAAGTCAGGATGTGATTGTGAGCAAGCGCCGGCTAGGGTAAAATATCGAAAAATGACCGTTTTTGCCGAGTTGTCCCAAAGCTAGACCCAAGGTCTGAGTTAGCCAGGATACAGTTGTGGTAGAACCTACATATAACTTTTATAAGTTATATTGACATGATTAATGTGATCACCTGATGATATTGTCTGAAAGTTGTGATCAGTCATTCTTTCTGTGAATGTGTGATTGTGATTGTGAATGCTATTCTACTTCTAGAATTTTTTTTGCATGATGACAAATGAGCATTGTCATTTGCATGCATGGCATGCCGTGCCGTTCAACCATTTTGTTACAGTGCGCGGACATTGTGCGTGTGAATCGTGTGTCATCAGGTTGCAAGATCAAGTTCATCCTAAATGTCACCTTTGCACGTTGGTAGTATGAGTATGACTAGAAATGAGGTGTTGAAAAGAAACCCTTTCACAAAGTGATCTCTTTTTTAGAACATAGGTCTACATGTATATTGATAGCAAACCTCTCTAGATGAAAGCAGAATAATCAGAGAGGCATAATGATGCACTTGGCTAGAAATGGCTACCCTAAAATGAATGCTTTTTACGCATCCACAAAAAATGTGTTTTGTAACTTAATTCTGTCTCCTAAAGGCTGGTAACACTGCAGATCTGCCTAAAGTTTAAACCAAGTTTAAACCAAGTTTTTATGTCTTGAAGTTGAAGTAAATTCTCTATGATTTGTCTTTCCACAGTCAGTTGTACGCTACTGACAGTGTTGATGCGCATAGTATATCCCAGGAAAAGTCGCAGCCAGCAGTATCATCACCTTCCTTCATCATGAAGACACTGTCCATCGCATTATGCATTTTGTTTGTTATGAAGGACTGCCATTCAACGTCCACCGATGATCTCGGACAACATGTAGTCGTACGCCAATCCCTCGCACCAGACAATCAAGTGGTCATCGCCTTTGATTCTTTGCTGTCTAAAGAGACCATCTCATCCCTTAGAAGCTTTGTCTTGAACCATGTGCGATGGGAGGTCAGAGGTCACGAATCTGAGCACTGTCCTTCAGACATTCAGAGAGGAGAGGGGGCGACAGACTGCCAGGATTCCGCAGCGTCCAACATTCCATGGATAGGGAAAATGGATCCCTTGTGGTTCTCACAAACACACACCTGGAAGAGGCTGGTCAAAGCGGTCAGCTACGCTACCAACGGAAGCGGCCCCGCCCTGTACCCGTATCACATTCGGTCTGAAGTGCTTCAGAGAGGGGACAACATTGCCCCTCAAGCCGTTACATCATCACCGTACTCCAGAGAGTATGCCTTCCGAATCTTCCTGGTTCCTGAGTGGCGGATGGACGATTACGGAGATATGTCCTTCTACGTCCCATCACTACAGAACAGAACAAAAGGGTAAGACCAGGGGGGCGTTTCACAAAACTTGCCATCAGTGACAAATGACAATTGTTGTTATAACCCATAGGAAAGTGAAAAGTATGCCGCAGACCTGCCGCAGACCTGCCGCAGATCTGCCGCAGACCTGCCGCAGACTTTTAGTCTGCGGCAAAGAGTATGCCGAAGTATGCGGCAGAAAGAAATTTTGCTGCAGACTTGCCGCATACCAGTATGCCACAGGAACAGTCTGCGGCAGATCTGCGGCAGGATGAAATTTTGCTGCAGACTTGCCGCATACTAGTATGCCACAGGAACAGTCTGCGGCAGATCTGCGGCAGGATGAAACTTTGCTCCAGACTTGCCGCATACTAGTATGCCACAGGAACAGTCTGCGGCAGATTTGCGGCAGGATGAAATTTTGCTGCAGACTTGCCGCATACTAGTATGCCACAGGAACAGTCTGCGGCAGATCTGCGGCAGGATGAAATTTTGCTGCAGACTTGCTGCATACTAGTATGCCACAGGAACAGTCTGCGGCAGATCTGCGGCAGGATGAAACTTTGCTCCAGACTTGCCGCATACTAGTATGCCACAGGAACAGTCTGCGGCAGATCTGCGGCAGGGCGAAACTTTGCTCCAGACTTGCCGCATACCAGTACGCCACAGGAACAGTCTGCGGCAGGTCTGCCACAGGAAATCCCATTAAAGTCTAATAGGGCCAATTGAAACCAATCATCTCATGCATATTCATTATTACTTTACACGTGTGACAGAAAAATACATTTATCATGATTTGTTAAGCAAATTAAGACAATGCACATCATTTTTGTGATTTCTATTTTCCTTTTGCCATTATTAACCAATAGATTATTTTGTCTGATCATGTTACAATTACATTCACGTTTAAGCAATAGATATATTGATTACTAACCAAGAAACTATGATTACTAACCAAGAAACAATATACATATTTAGTATATATATGTGTACGAGCCTGTGTCACTTTAATTGTTACTCTTGAATACACTTCAAATGATCAATGTGATGAAGTTAATACAATTGAGAATAGAAGATACCTAATTGGTAATATCGATATATATTGGTATTACCTAATTGGTAATATCGATATTGCCAATATCGATTATGAAGTATCAATCAGTTTATCACTGGTTCTTCTACATGCACACTTTATTGCCACGTACTGGATATGAAAGAGTATGCGGCAGGTCTGCAGCAGGTCTATATGCCTGCCGCATACTCCTGCGGCAGACTTGCCGCAGATCTGCAGCAGACCTGCCGCAGACAGTCATCTTTTTCACATGCAAATTAGTTTTGCCGCAGACTTGCCGCAGACTTGCCGCATACTCTTTCAGTATGATGAAGAGTCTGCGGCAGGTCTGCCGCAGACTTGCTGCAGACCTGCCGCATACTCTTTCAGTATGATGAAGAGTCTGCGGCAGACCTGCCGCAGACTTGCTGCAGACTCTTCATCATACTCTTTCAGTATGATGAAGAGTCTGCGGCAGGTCTGCAGCAAGTCTGCGGCAGACCTGCCGCAGACTCTTCATCATACTGAAAGAGTATGCGGCAAGTCTGCGGCAGACCTGCCGCAGACTCTTCATCATACTGAAAGAGTATGCGGCAAGTCTGTGGCAGACCTGCCGCAGACTCTTCATCATACTGAAAGAGTATGCGGCAGGTCTGCAGCAAGTCTGCGGCAAAACTAATTTGCATGTGAAAAAGATGACTGTCTGCGGCAGGTCTGCTGCAGATCTGCGGCAAGTCTGCCGCAGGAGTATGCGGCAGGCTCATTTCTTTCCTATGGGAAGCTACTGAAATCCTTGCTTCTGATTGGACATCAGCAGATTTGTCACTGATTTTTGTCATTTGTCATTGAAATAAGGCTTTGTGAAACGCCCCCCAGTTTACAAAGTAGATGGAAGATCATTCCCCAAAACAATCTCAAGCGAAATAATTGATTTGAGGAAGGGAGGGGATACTGTCAATACCAATTCATGGATTTAATATTTGTTCTTTCAGTATGAATAAATAAATCAAACTTAAATGAATATTGATTAGTGGACACGGTCTCGGACAAAGTACTGTAGGCTGTATGATATATTGCCTTTTCTTTTTTGTTAATTCTCCTATATACTCAAAGTACCTCGAGAATTGCTGTAGACCTATCCTTCGGCAATGGAAAATGTTGTATTAACAGGGTATGCTGAAGTGATGCATGGTATATTCTTATGACTTAAATTTTTTCCAATAAATGCAGCAATTCTTTTTTTTTGCCAGATCAAAGTATGACATTGCCCTCACAGTGAGACCCCACCCCGGCCGTGTGGTACTCTGGGATGCGTCTATACCAACCCTCTATCGTCCCCCGTCCATGGGGTACTTGGATAAGCTGCCCAGTGTATCTGTACTGCTCACATCCTCCAAAGAGAAATTTGAGGCTGCTACCAAAGATTGGAAGGTAGATATGGTTTACTCAGGGTTATGTTTATTATTAAAGGACAAGTCCACTCCAAAAAAACTTACTTTCAATAGAAGCAGAAAAATTGGATAACTAATAATAAGGTTATGAATTTTTGAAAAAGTACGGAACAGTGGAAATCACTACACAAATTGCCAATTTGGATATCAGTTTGTGACGTCATTGCTTCACTATTTATCAATTGCTTTATATTTTTGTATCCATTAATTTCCCTTTTTATCCCCCGAAACCTGATTTCCTGATGTCTTTGGCCAAGTTACATGTATATGATTTGTATCATATTGCGTGCATGACATTTCACAAACTCTTTTATGAACTTTAAATAATTGATACGATTCTAAATATTATATATTCATAAACTTTGATTCTTATATAGAGTCTAAATAGTTTATGAAAATTCAAATTTTTCATGATTTAACTGAAAAAATAACTCTATAATAGTGCATCCACACCAAAACACATTATTATCAATATAACATGGATGCTATTGTGAGGAAATAATTTTCTTAGAGAGAAAATTTTTCCTACTTTCATACAAATTAACTTCTAACAAAGATTGGATTGCCCTTTAAGTCATGTAATGAGGTTTCTTTGTTTTCTTTCAACAGGATTGGTATGATCAGAAGACACTACTGGTACAGCAGTCCTTTCCACAGCTAACGGACCCTATCGGACAGCTCGATCTAGAAAACCATCTTACCAGACAATTTACTGACAGTAATGACAGGTTAGTATCGCGGCGAGTCTAGGCACTTTATCCTGTAATTTACCAATATTCTTAATCTTTTACATGTAGATTGCTTTAAAATGCCCTCAATACTTGTTCAGTTTTCAATATATTTTAATTTATTATCAATGTGCTTTTACGCCATGTTCTTTTTACTCTGTAATTTGAACAACTTCAGTTATTTAGCTGCATATTCTATGTTTATCTCAATAAACCAATAAATTACGATGCCAAACTCATCTTTTCGGAGTAGCTTACCAGATCTACTTGCATTTTGAATTTGTCTCACTTTTGTTATTTTCATGAACCTACTTTTCTTTTGCACCATGAGCACATTATTCATGAGGAGTTAGTGCATTATAGATATATATACATGATAAAAAAATAATATGATATATATGATAACATCATAAGTTTCAGTATACCTATAAAGTTGACAGCACCACTGGAGCTTCGATCAGACCAACCTACAAAGAAAATTACACTTTCAATGTAATTTTTTGATACTGGTAGTCTAATCTTGGTAACGTATGGACGAATGATTGAATGCATGGCAGTATCAGGAAGTGGTGGGGAAAGTATGGATTGCAGCTCACTCGATTTGTTGAGAACCAACCTTTGGGCAACCACCACCTCATATAGGCACCTGCCACATCATATTCGAGCAGTGAAGTGTATATTTGATGGTTTCTTGGTATCTTTTATAGCATTTTAGATTAGGAAAAAGGATGCGACAACTTTTAAAAACAAAGTAAAGACAACATTTTGACAAGTACCTTCACCCCCACCCCCTCCCCTCCACACACACATACGATTCAGATTCACAATTCAGCTTGTTTGTGTCATGTTGTCTTTATAGGAAGGTGAATATCTACGATGATGTCTTTGAGGAAGGTCATCTAGAGGCACTTCGGTCGTACCTGGTGTCCTATCCAGCCTCCACTAATCATGGCTATGACCTAGAGCCATATGAGCTGTCTGACAACATAGTATGGATTAAGACCTTTGATGTAAGTCCAGGGGGGTGTTTCACAAAATTTGCCATCAGTGACAAATGACAATCGTTGTTATAAGCTACTGAAATCCTTGCTTCTGATTGGTTATCAGCAGATTTGTCACTGATATTTGTCATTTGTCATTGAAAAAAGGCTTTGTAAAATGGGTCCCAGGTGTTCGCTACATTCAATGAACAGGATAAGTACATTTGTCAATCGGTCACACAGACGAGACTGACAACATACCTCAACAGACCAAACTAAAATTTACCACCCATATTTTCATTAGATTTCATCAGATGTACGTGCTGTGGACAGCTTTTCGTTTTCCAGATGGTAGTTTTTATTGATTAATGTTTTACCTGACTGCTAAGAGAAAACATGTACATGCTTGTAAGTAAGCAACCAGGGGACCGATGGCTTTGAGTCCTCTCCGAGGGACTTGGTAATGAGGATTAATGCCTTAACAAAGGGCATAAGTGCATTGACATGGTTTCCATTACGGGACCTCTCGGTTACGAGACCACTGATCTACCGTTAAGCCATTGCGCCAGAGGGTAGTGCCTGGGAATCGTTTAGCTGTTCGATAGGTAGTTACTTTTTTCTAAATTGAACGTCATAAAGAAACATTGTATTATAACAAAACGTATACTAGAGCACAGTTTTAAAAAAAAATAACTACCAATCGTATAGCTATACAATAAATTATGTTACTGTGAATGCAGGGGAAGCTCACCCAATGTATGTTCTTCATTTTTTCTCCTTCTTTTTCACAGGCCTTTGAGTTTCCGAAGAGTAGTGCTTGGGAGGTCTTCTCTCAGGTAGCTACTCATGCCACGGGAGGGCAGAGGACCTGGTATCCTTACGATGTCGCTCTTAACGTTGTCCGCTCTGGAGATCATGCAAGAGTTCATGAAGACTGTGAAACATGGGAGGTACGGAATTCATTGGGGGAAGGGTTTATGAAGGCCGAATATTGCAAAATTGCAAGTGTTCTATAAGTGCAGAGCTGCCAACCAGTACGATTTAATCCTATTTTGAACGATTTTTAAAAGTAAATACGTAAATACGACAGTACGATTTTCCTAAAACACACAACACCAATTTTTATGCCTCCGTTACGAAGTAGCTGGAGGCATTATGTTTTGGGGTTGTCCGTCCGTCCGTTAAATTCTATTAAACATTAGTGATATGTAAATGTCCATGTATAACTCTTTTCACACACATATATGTATATGTGGTTTAAATCTTACATCACTGGACGATACCAACAAGTGATCATCGATGGCTCACGATCCGATCCTACTCTGCTTAGGTGGGGGGTGCCACAAGGCTCCGTCGTCGGCCCTGTACTTTTTACATGTTATTCGACACCCTTAGAGGACATCATTCATTCCCACGGTCTCTCCTCGATGATATATGCCGACGACACCCAACTATATATTACTGTTAAGTCTGGACAAATTCTTCAAATGTTGCAGAAACTGGAAGATTGTCTACATGCCATTCGCTCCTGGTTGACTGAAAACTTTCTTCTCTTGAACGACAACAAGATGGAAGTGCTCCACCTGTTTTCTCACCGAAGAAGAAATACAATAGAACTCCCTCCGATTCAAATAACAAATGGTTCTGTAAATTCCTCCAAAACAGTTGTTAACTTAGGTGTCACATTTGATCAAAACCTTTCAATGCGCCCCCATGTAAATAGTATCTGTCGTAAAGCATCCTTCGCCCTGAGAAAAATTGGTAAAATTCGTAAATTCCTTTCCAAGTCATCCACTGAAATCCTCGTCCACGCATTTATCAGTTCACTCCTTGACAGTTGTAATAGCTTGCTCCATGGAATTCCGGAAAAAGATATGGCCAAGCTGCAAAGAATCCAGAACTCTGCAGCACGTCTAGTGTCTCTCACCAAAAAACATGACCATATTACACCAACCCTTAAACAATTGCATTGGCTCCCCATTCAATTTCGCGTCCAGTTCAAAGTTCTTCTTTTAACCTTCAAGTCTCTTCATGGTCATGCCCCATATTATCTTTCTGAACTGATTCAATTATACACACCCAATAGGCCCCTTCGTTCTGCAAATCAAACTCTCTTGACCGTTAAAAAAGCAAAAACAAAATACTTTGGTGATAGGTCCTTTTCATGCTCTGCTCCACGTCTGTGGAATTCTCTCCCAGCCTCCATTCGTTCCATCTCTGATATTACTTTGTTTCGATCAAAATTAAAAACCTACCTAATGGAAAATGCATATTCTACCTAGCTCTTAAATTGTTACCTAGTTCTTAAATTGTTACCTAGTTCTTATATTGTTACCTTACCTTGTTATCATATGTTTCATAATTTCACTTTCATTCATTTGTTTTCTTGTCATTACTCTGTTAAGTTTTAATTGTATCAATATTGTAAAGCGCTTTGATATAAATGTTTTATGAAAAGCGCTATATAAGTAAAAGTTATTATTATTATTATTTGTTCATACACAGACATGTAATTAAGAAGCATCTTAAATCCTATTTTTGTTACGTTTTAATTCATTGATTTATTTCATTTGTTTTGTAAAGCGCTTTGATCAGTTCTTAATTGGATATAGCGCTATAAAAGAAACAATTTATTATTATTATTATTAAAACACAACTTTATTTGTCAACTAAACAAGATTAGTTAATTTTTTTAAAAGGTGTGTTTAAATGCAACTTATTTTTTATATGGCCCTGGACTGTTTTAAACCTTCACTTCCTTTGTACATGTACTTCAAAAGTGATGAATTTTCAGAATTGTGGTTAAGATTCCTCAAACAGCCCTTATGAAGTTGAAAGTAACCTTTGAAATCTTCTTCACTACAGGATGAATATACAATGGTGCTGTACATAAATCCAGATCTCGGACCAGGGGACTATGGCGAAACCATCTTCTATAACACCAAACCCCATGACGCCTTCTCCAGAAAGCTTTATGAGGGCATCAGCAGGCACGATCATGATGCCTTTGCCGCTGTAAATCCAAAATATGGACGCCTGGTCATTTTTAATGGTGAGCAAATAGGAGATCCAATCATTAAAGAAAACAACTCTAAAATAAAGTAGAAATATCAGAGAAGCAGACTGGTTAAGTTTGAAAGTTGTAATCACTATATGTATGTGAACTTCAAAAAGGCTGACTCGGTAATGTCTCTGTCATGGAATTGGCGGACAACTTTCCCAATTGCTCCAATGCTCAAAATGACTAGAATTACATTTTTGTTTAAAGGTACGACACAGGAGTGTGATTTATTTCAAACTTTCCACAATCTGTTTCTTAATTTTCTTTTCTACATTGATTGCATACATATTCTTTTACAATGCAATCTCATGCATACTACTCAACTTTATCTTTAAAGTCCATCTGTACTAGTTGACTAGGAGGGATCAGACCACCCAGGAAGGTCAGTGACAGGTGGCTATCTCATCAACTCAGCTCTCAATTAATATAAGAAAAAGAGGATCATGGGGGACCAATGGTCACCGAGTAGGCATTGTTTTTTATATAGAGGGAGCAAGTAGTTACAAGTAGTACAGTGGGCCTTTAATATTTACGAGAATCCAACCTTTCCTTTGACAGGACTCATTCCACACTCGGCAAAACCCCCTAGTACAGGGTACACCAAGCCAAGGTATTCATTCGCAGTTAAGGTGGCGATAGACAGAAAGACAGCCATCATGAAGAAGCTGCGTGAGGTATGTAGTCGTTTAAGTGGTTTAGGCACTTGACTTGAAATTCAAAGGTGGTGGTTCGATCCCTGATACGGCACTAATGTCCTTTGGCAAGGTATTGATCTCCATTTGCCACACTCGACCCGGTTGAGTTAAATGGGTACCTGGCAGGAATTAATCCCTTGAAATGCTAGAGCGCTCTTTTAAATTTGACACTCACTTTTTTCATTATCTCACAAAAAAAATATATTATGTGTGGCGCCCTCTATACCATAACTCAACTATCCCTTGAATCCATATTGACTGATGTCTTAAATCACCTGCATCCTTTTCACCTTTGACCTTGTAGGTTATAGAAGACCACAGCACACCCGACGAAGACTTGCTTGAAGAGATTCAGGAGGCGACCTTTAACAGAGCGGAGCTTGGCAGGTCTGAAGAATGGCTGGAGAGGAAGTACAGGGGCTTGCAGCATCTGGTCAAAGAAGACAAGGCGAGGACCCTACAGAGAATACGTGAAGCATTGTAGGCTAACCTGTTCAAAGTTTACAGTTTTCCAAATGTCTAATGAATAAGCATTCAGTAGTAATCTTTTACTCTTACATTCTTTAAACCATCGCGTACTGGAACCGGCTGGTCTCTGTACAGGGGCTTGCAGGATCAGGTCAAAGAAGAAAGAGGGAGGACCCTACAGAGATTACGTGAAGCATTGTAGACTCATCTGCTCCGCAAACTTTACAGTTTTCCAAATGTCTAAACGAATAAGCATTCAGCATTAATCTTTTACTCTTACGTTCTTTAAAGGCATCGTTAAACAATAGGGACTTTTAGATTTGCGTGGACTGATACGTGTGACGTCTATTCAAGGCAGTGCATTAAAAGGACGTCGACCGTAGCAATCCCCATTGTCTTCAAATCTAAAAGTCCCTAATGTTAAATCTGAAATGCATGGCTCTACGTGTTATCAGTGTTTGTGATATGGTCACATTCTCAAGAAACATAAATTGGGACAAAGTAGTTTTTCAAATACCGGTACTTAATAAATTACAAAACTTGGTAAGGGTATGAAAAATTTAGTTGTTAACTGTATATATTACACGTATGTATAAATCTTAGCATTCTGCATCAAGAGATAAATTACAAACATCATGACAAGGTGACACTGTACTGCTATGGGAGAAGTTAGTGTTCAGTCTGGTAAAGATAATTTGTGAGTCTTCTCATCCTTTATCCCAGTGCGAATGAATATTACAGTAAAAGCATGATAATAATCATTCTTAATCTTAAAGTTACTCACACACTTCCAGGGTGGGATGATAGCCAGTACAAAATTTGATCAAAATTCTGATGCTACATGTTTTTGTTGTCTTATGTATACCATAAACACATCTGACCAGTGCCTTTCATTGGTTATGGTTTTTCAGCAAAGGAGGATTATCAATTGTTATAATTCTCATGTTCTTAAACATGATAAGGCACGATTGTTTTTATGTACTTCATCACGAGCCATACAGAAGAACTGCTTTATGCTTTTATTGGCATTTTTTTAATACTATAGTGTGAATCTTTTTATCATTAAAAAAAAATCTATTGTTGGTTTGTTTTTGGCCCTGTAACAAAATAGAAGTTAACAATTGAATGCTATTTTACGATTAATCATGATTTACACTCAGTTGACTGGACAGTCGATCAATCAATTGTACGATGAATTGCCAAGCTTTGAGTTGCAGGGCCCAGGTTGTATCTATCTTTTAAAATGTTATTTATTAATATATGCCTTTGTAAATTGTAAACATATAATCTTGATTACAACTTCAACTGCATTTCAGGTAAAATGATGTGTGCAAAAACATGATTTTGATGGAAATGATTAACCATTAATGATTTGATTTGATTTCATGACCAGTACTCAACATGATTTTGTTACAAGATTAAGTGTAAATTACATTCCATTAATTCACTGTGACAAAATAGCATTTATATTTGTGTACCTTCATGAAAACTTACATATAAAATATGTACAATGTTTGAAAGGAAGTACGTACTAAGAAAACCAGTTGTATACTGTTTGTGAGTGGATGGCTCAGAAACCACCAATATTTTTCACATTTAACAGTAGACAAAATAGTTATTTCTTCATAATATACCCATGGATTTTATTTATTGCTCATAATAGAACATGAAATATAAAACAGTTCTGCTGTCTAGAATAAACTATAAGGTCTGTATTAATACCAATTCAGACACACCTGGCCCTGGGTCTAAGGTCACGTTTAACAAAGGAAAACTTAGACCTCAAACTAACTTTCTTTGTTAAATCCAATTTTGAACAAAAGCTTAACCCCAGAATCGAGTCTAAATTTGAGTAGAATATAGATATTTGTGTTGCCTAACAGTGGTAAGCTTCAAATTTTTCATATGAGAAAGATAGGAAACATAGAAAATGAATTTCAGTGATTTATTAGTGGTTTTTGAGCCGCCAAGCCACATTTTGTAAGGTTTACCTCCAGTACTTGTAAACTCAATTTTTTGTTAACTGGAACTCAGCCAATACTGAAACAAAAGGTATAAAACTAAAGGTACCACTTAATTTTGAAAAGCTAAACTTGCTATAATTTCGTGATATCCAGGAATACAAATTACAGTAATTCTGAAGTACCTGTACATGTATTTTGCAGATACATGTGACTTTATGTATGAATTTTTTTCTTCTTCTACTTTGTGAATTCTGGCTATCCATAAAAGGTACCTCGTAACAACTCTTTGAAACTGCAATGTGATTAAAACCATAATTGACATTTAACAGGACTGAATTTTAATGTATACAAATGGTGGAATGTTCATTGTTTGTCCAATACATTTCACAGTATTGCCATTTCTTGCAAATAAAATCTCACTCTGTACTATCTGTAGAGTCGACGTACCAAGGGTTGTACGAGTCTGGTAGGTACTATCGACCATTTTAAAAGATACATAGAAAAATTAGTCAGATGGTTGGGGAAAAAAGATTTGGCTTTTGGATGAAACATCTTAACTGAAATCCTTTGTTTAATATTTTTTTTTAATAGTTTACATTCTATATCAAATTACAGATTTACATAAATGTCAGTACACATATACATGTATTTATACTGCAGTATCTAAAGATCAATTACTTTCTACTTAGTAGACATTGATCGTTTTCGTTAAAACTTTCAGGAATGCACAAGTCTGATATTCCACAACAGATTGACAAATCAACTTCAATACCATCAACTCAGAATTGTGAATACCTGTACTACATTTTAATTACACTAGAAACTAACAGTACTATGATAACTGTTGATTATTGTTTATGTTTATCATGTAAGCATTCTATTTTCTACTTTAAGACTTTCATTTTGTATGAACTATCAATGTATTTTATATATTTCTGAAATTATATTTTGTGATATGTGGGTTCCGTGCTAAAGATGATTATAGTGGGTATTGTACATTTCTAATTTGATTAAGTGTATTGGTTAATATCTTGGTGACTATGTTTATCTGGAATAAAAGCTAACAGGTGCCTTTATTATAGATCCATGTATGTCAAGGTGTATTATGTTATTGTTATCACCGTGTGTGTAATGGATATACCAGAGAAAGGTATGTGCATGTACAGTGTACATGTGGTGGAAACATTTTGATGCTTTTTATCAATTACAGCTCACTACAGATACAACTGGAATTGAACTAAATTGTACACATAGGGAGGTTGAGAGCAAACATCTATTTTCCTTTGGGTAGACTTATTCCAATTATACTCCTAGAATATTTTTGCAATTTGAAATGGTTAAATTTTAGATAAACTGAATATGTGTGGGACACAGATTCAGAAAAATAACCCCCAAAATAAAACATAAAGCAGTATGAAGACAAAAAACAACCAACAAACACTGCCCCATTCCAACCCAATGGTTATAACCCGACCGTTTTAGATTTTGATGAAACTTGGTGTACTTGGCGAGTGTGATCTCACAGCACCACATCTCAAATTTTAGTTCAATCGGGAGAGGGGATTGGGAGATCATTATCACCATCAACGTCCTCATCAAAGAACAGACCATCAACACTCGTCATCATTACCATCACCACCCCTATTATCAGATTAAAACTTTAAAGCCAGCTTTCTGTAATTCAAATCCCAACAGAAGATATCTATACTGATGCAAGCTATCTTGTAAAAAAATAAATGTCTCTTTATTTCTTCAGCTAGGAGTACATCTCCTGTGGCAAAGTACACGAAACAAAACTTCTAGAAAAGGATCCTGATGTGTCGTATCTTAAACTAAACTAAATGTAAAATATGTATATCTCTATTCTATTTGTACTTCAGTTTACAATATCTAAACTAATAGTTATAAAAAGTCACACTCATATCATGAATATACCCAACAGTCTTTTCAAGGAGGAAACAACATTTAAACACTTCAGTTGCTTTCTTCGCCTCCCTGCAGTTGCTCGCTTACCACACATGTAATTTTGCACAAAATGATAGGCACCAATTGAGGGCAGGATTGCGTTGTCAACAATTGCTTTGCAGAAGTAGCCATTTCAGATCATGATTGGCTCCATTTCAACCCTTTTAATAATGGTAGAGATTAATCTCGCACTGGAAACGGTTAAATAATCCAGAAGCCTTTGGTGTATATATATATATTATATATATATATATATATATATATATATATATATATATATATATATATATCTATCCCATGATGGATCCAATAAGGCACAGGGAGATGGTGTGGCATATAAAGAGATAACCCACTGCTTACTGGAACCACGTGGTCCCTGTGTTAAACATGAGAATTACTAGATAACTCGGTAGTCGGCAGGTTAATAATACAAGTCTCATTCAAACATGACGAGGTAAACCAGATTAAAGCACCTCTGCAGCAATGTCGAATGGCATGCACGTACATGTACATGTAGCATACTTCTCATCATATCTCATCATACACTGCCACTATTGCATGCATTTATTTCTTCTTTTTGCTCTCTCTCCTCATTGCCGTTTGCCATTCATTTACATGTAAAACAGGCCGTTTAAAGCACCGTGTATGGAAGATGAGGCTTTAAAGCTCATCTGTACTAGTTTATAGGAGGAATTAGACCATCCTGCAAGGTCACTAGACAGATGGTTATCTCATCAACTCAGCTCTCAATTAACATAAGAAAAAGAGGATCATGGGGACCAATGGTGACCGATTAGGCATTGTTTTCTATATACATGTAGAGGGAGCAAGTAGCTACAATTAGTACAGTGTGGCTTTAAACTACATACATCATTTACATTTGTCTACAAAAGGTTTCCAAGTATTAAAGTGCACATGGCCATCCCCTCTCCAAGAACCAAGTCCTTCCGGTAAGCTCAACAACAAGTCATTGTACATACATATACTTAAAAATACTTAAAATAGAGTTTCAACTGAATACATATCTGTTAGTAGTAAGAGGTAGTCAGAGACCCCTCTCCCCTTCATTCAAGAATTCTCCTGCCACCTATTGGTCTAGGACCCAAATCCTTCATCAATATTTCAGGTGGACCAGAATTTTCATAGTTGCATGCAAGAGAAAGAGTATCAATCATAAATGCATCAAATTTCGGTCATTGATTCTTTGTCTCTAGGAAGTTTTCTTTGGAGGACTTGATCTTCAATGACAAAAGACGAGCAAAAAATTGTCTAGTTTAACTATAGATTATTCTTTGCTTTCTCATGGTTTGGAGTTCTGCGTCAGCTTTTGATTGTTGCTCCAATGTCTCTCGGGAGCTTTCCTTGAAGATCTCAACTTTTACTTGCTAAAGATCAGTGATCTGAAGAGTCATATTTCTCTTTCACCTACTATTCTTCGCTTTCTTCATGGTTTAGAGTTTCTTTCTCTCCTTTCGAAAGTTGCTTCAATGTCTGTAGGGAGCTTCCCTTGAAGAGCTCAACTTTCATTGGGCAATGATCAGCGAAGAGTCATCTTTCCCTTTCACCTGCTATTCTTCGCTTTCTTCATGACTTGGAGTTTCTGCGTCAGTTTCTGATTGTTGCTTCGGTGTCTCTTGGGGGCTTTCTTCTTGGAGGGGCCCTCGTCTGGGGGAGGGTCCTTTCCTTGTCTCCTCATGATCTCTCGTTGCTCCTCCCTCACTTGGGATCGGATGTCTGCGTTCTGCCAGATCAATGTGTTGAGTCCTGCCAGAAAGACAAGTTATAAGTATTACATACAATGACATGACACCTGGGGGTGTTTCACAAAGATCCCAAGTCGAACTTATCTCTAAGAAAATCTCTTTGAAAATATTTTGTAAAAGTTATTTTAAAAGGCATAAAATGTAAATTCAAATCATTCATATTTTCTATTATCAAGGAGATTTCATGTTCTTGATGTGGAATTAAAAAACAAAAGAGGAATCAAGTGCCTTAGTATTTTTAAAGGTTAAGGAAATTCAGACTGCATTTTTCATAATTAATCTTGCCAAATTATAGCTGCTCTAACATGTACTAAAATAAACATCATTTCTGCCTTTAATATAATTCTTAAATCAACTACACCTTTCAACCTTTAAAGCTCATCTGAACTAGTGTACAAGAGGGGTTATACCACACTGCAAGGTCACTGGACAGGTGGTTATCTCATCAAGTCAGCTCTCAATTAACATAAGAAAAAGAGGATCATGGGGACCAATGGTCACCGATTATGCATTGTTTGTTATATAGAGGGCGCAAGTAGCTATAAGTAGTGCAGTGGGCCTTTAACTGTCCAAATGATAAAAAACCAACTTAAACAGAATGCCGGTACTGAAGAATTTGCAGAAGCAATCAAATCTTACCCATCCCTGTTGCTAATGCATCTCCACTTGGATTGAATACATTCAGCTAGGAAAGAGAACAACAACAACAAAAAAGATGTGAGAATAACTTTATTGTTAGCAATATTCAATCTTAAAATGTGATATGGCCATCTCTAGATGGACAAAAGACAGAGAAAATCCTTTAAACATTATTATTCAATATCAATTGCATGGAATCACATTTTCCTACCAGCAAATCGAACATGAATCCAAATCGAACGACTTTCAAGGAACAAGTTGAATATTTACTATTTTGTTCACAGGAGCATGTTCTTTTTGGTGGGAAAAGGGAGGGGGGGGGATTTGCTGTTGTAACAGAAAAAAATTATCACAGCACTTTGTGTATTCTTTTGATTTTATAATTTGTTTATAAACTATAGAATCTTTTTTTGGTCATATATATTCTTTTTTCTTATTTGTTCATATATTCTTTTCTTTTTTTGTTTGTTCATATATTCTTTTGTTTTGTTATTTGTTTATGTCCTAAAAGGGCACTAGAAATGTCATAAATAAGAATTAGAGCAATGACCATGCACTTTGAGGGCATTTAATTGCGGTCTTAAATGAGAACTCAACTGTCCCTTTAACTGCTCATCCCTCCCGTGTAACCGTTCTGCATCAAGGATCCCAGACTACTTACAGATTGGATGCCGGTGGCACATTGGTCCATCAGCCTGCACACCAACTCTCCAGAGCTGACATCGTAAGCATCTATTGATCGCACCGTGTCATGTTCAAATCCCTCTAGGGTCGCATCAGGATATCTGCCAACTACGATTAGGTTCTGGAATGGGTGCCAAGTAGCCTGCCAGGGAGAAGAAAGGAAAGAACAGAGATTTGGAAAAATGAAAGAGTTCATAAGTTCACTCGTTTTAAACAACAATACAAATACAAAAGTGTTTATGTGAGTAAAAGGCCTAAATGTCAACAACTGCAAGAATAATGTACGCACAAAAGTTGTCAAAAACATCGAGATGAAATTGGAACTATAAAGCAATTTAAAACATAATGGAAAAAGATTTAGCACCATGACTCAAACCTGCCAACCTTTCACGGCAAAATTAGGAAAAAAGCCTACTTTGTATACTTTTCACCCAGAATATTTCAGAAAAAGAGAGGAATCTAGGGTTCAGAACAAAAGCTTAAGGGCCATAAAATAGAAAATTATTCCCTCAAAATAGGAATGGTTGGCAGATATGCATGAGCAATTATAAGAAGCAACAATTATGAAAGTAGTAGTAGTAGTAATAGTAGTAGTAATAGTAGTAGTAGTAGTAGTAGTAGTAGTTGTTGTATATCCACTTGGAACTACATTAACATGAGATATGATATGTAAATACCACGCCGAGCTATGCGGAAGGATACATAAATAAATGGTCTTACAATATGGCTACTAATCAATAACTACATCATCATGAATTAGTAATAAACCTGTCCGTTATCGTTAAACACTACCAAAAACAATTTGAAAGAAGAATTAAAACACAAAAAGTGACAGACTATATAGATTGAACAAAGGTTCCAGTTTATAGTTAGAATCTCACATAAAGACACTTCATCTATATTGGATAATAACCGAGATTTAATTTTTTTTTTTACTAATTCAAAGCAACAACAACAAAACAACAACAACAAAAAAGAAGAAGAGAGAAATAGCATACAATAAATAGAATGGCATGCAATGATGCTAATGTAAAGAAATGTGCTCAAGGGTATATTTATGTTGGATAATCAAGCAACATAACTTTCTTGAATACAGTGTTTTGTGTTGAGTTTTTATAAATGTTTCAAGAATATGAGAACAAAGTTGAATATATGTTCTAAAGTTTCCATAGAGTTGTTCAGTAGCTCTGCCCAGCAAAGTTTTTTGTATCAGCAAATTTGAAGCAATGTTTTGCTTACAAACTAGTATTACAGTATTTTGGTTGTAAATATATGTAAGTACAATTTACTTCTAAATGGCCAAGTTTGGATTAGCGAATAAGAAGTTGGAAATGTCAATATAGAAAAAAAAAAAAAAAAAAAAAAAAACTGTATAGGCATGTGTTTGCTGATGTATATGTAACCACATAGTTTTATTTCTATCATCTGGTTTTAGGTATTCCACGTATTAGTGTTTCAAAACAGGACTACTCTATGGAACTAAAGTGAGGTTGCGAATTTGGGTTCTTGCGTGAATCTTAAACATATTTTTAAGGTATTGATATTTGCAAAATGTTTGCTAGCAGGTGTTTGGAGTTTCAAGAGGTTTTATGATGAACTGTTATAACCAGGGGTGATAGTGAGCACTAAAAAAAAAATAGGGTTTTTGTTTTCCCCTCAACCACGCCCCCCTTTGAGTAAAAAAAAAAGAAGAGGATTCGCGGGGAAAAAATGGCATCTAACAACATTCCCCCCTTTCGAGTGAGAAAATTGGGAAAAAATAGGGAAATTTGGGGAAAAAAATAGGGTAGAACAGAGAAAATAAGGTGGAAATCAGGAAAATCAGGATAAAATTAATAGCGAAGAAGAAAAAAAAATCTGGTAAAAAAAAAAAAAAAAAAAAAAAAAATCTGGATTTTTTTTTTTTTTTTTTTTTTTTTTAAATCGGGAAGAATAAAAAAAATCGGGAAAAAATCGGGAAAAATATAAAAAATCGGAAAACCGATTTAAATCGGGTTTTTATCAGGCCTGTATAACTTTTCTTGGTTATTCACTTAAAAAAAATCTATTGTGAGGGAGATGTTGTATATCCACTGGGAACTACATTAACATGAGATATGATATGTAAATACCACGCCGAGCTATGCGGAAGGATACATAAATAAATGGTCTTACAATATGGCTACTAATCAATAACTACATCGTCTGCCAGAATCTATCATTTCACCGAGTCATATAACATATTACAACAGTAGTAGTAGTAGAAGTAGTATAGAAGTAGTAGTATAGTAGTAGTAATAGTAGTAGTAGAAGTAGTAGTATAGTAGAAGTAGTAGTAGTAGAAGTAGTAGTAGAAGTGGTAGTGGTGGTAGTAGTAGTAGTAGTAGTAGTAGTAGTAGTAGTAGTAGTAGTAGTAGAAGTAGTAGTAGACGTAAGTAGTAGTAGTAGTTTTAATAGTAGTAATGGTAGTAATAGTAGTAGTAGTAGTAGTAGTAGTAGTAGTAGTAGTAGTAGTAGTAGAAGTAGTAGTATAGTAGTAGAAGTAGTAGTAGTAGTAGTAGTAGTTGTAGGGGTAGTAGAGTATTAGTAGTAGTAGTAGTGGTAGTGGTAGTAGAGTATTAGTAGTAGAAGTAGTAGTAGTAGTAGTAGTAGTAGTAGTTGTAGTGGTAGTAGAGTATTAGTAGTAGTAGTAGTAGTAGTATAGTAGTAGTAGTAGTAGTAGTAGTTGTAGTGGTAGTAGAGTATTAGTAGTAGAAGTAGTAGTATAGTAGTAGTAGTAGTAGTAGTAGTAGTAGTAGTTGTAGTGGTAGTAGAGTAGAAGTAGTAGAAGTAGTAGTATAGTAGTAGTAGTAGTAGTAGTAGTAGTAGTTGTAGTGGTAGTAGAGTATTAGTAGTAGAAGTAGTAGTAGTAGTAGTAGTTGTAGTGGTAGTAGAGTATTAGTAGTAGTAGTAGTAGTAGTATAGTAGTAGTAGTAGTAGTAGTAGTAGTTGTAGTGGTAGTAGAGTATTAGTAGTAGAAGTAGTAGTATAGTAGTAGTAGTAGTAGTAGTAGTAGTAGTAGTAGTAGTTGTAGTGGTAGTAGAGTATTAGTAGTAGAAGTAGTAGTATAGTAGTAGTAGTAGTAGTAGTAGTAGTAGTAGTAGTAGTTGTAGTGGTAGTAGAGTATTAGTAGAGTATTAGTAGTAGTAGTAGTGGTAGTGGTAGTAGAGTATTAGTAGTAGAAGTAGTAGTAGTAGTAGTGGTAGTGGTAGTAGAGTATTAGTAGTAGAAGTAGTAGTAGTAGTTAGTAGTACCTTGATTGGTGTGAGATGCTGAAAGAACCTGTGAGGATGAATGATGGTTCTCTCTAGTGTATCCCACATTGGACCAGAATAGATTCTCAAGTGGCTATGCTGGTCTGTTGTTAGGAGCTTAGTCCCATCTGGACTGAAATATGCTGGAAAGTGAACAAAGATTCATACTTACGGATAAGATGATATATGACTATCAAGTTTCCATGCCTATTCACTTTGAACAGTGGCAGGACATTGAAAACATAAAAATAGGTTTGAAATTAATCATAAAAGGTATTTCCATGTGCCTTGTACATGAAACAAACAGACCTTGTGATTTGAGAGGTTATTTATCTTAATTTTGAATACACCTGTAAAATGGTCTACTGTTAATATTGGTTATGGTATTTTCTTTCATCCCAATCCATCCATCAATCCTTTTGCTCCTATAACCAATTATTCATGCAGGCTAACCAGGTACTATGTAAAGGGGGACAATCAGAAAACAAACACAACCTAAGGGCCAATTGTGAAAGCGTGTGAGGTATGCTAATTGGATTTCAAATGTGTGTGTGTGTATGCTTGGAGGGAGGGGGAGAAAAGGACGGGCCCATTGTACCCCCCCCCCCCCCCCCCCCAGAGCTGATGACCCTAGAATAGAAAATTAGTAATCACAAGCGCATGATTATCTGACATTTTTGGTGATTTTACTCACAGAAAGTTGCCTAATATTGATTTTCAGGTCATCACAACACATAAGTTTTCCATGAAAAATTGGCTTCAATTAAAAAATTAAAACACTTAAAACTTTCCCGTCTTTCTCAGCGAGTGTTGGACGGCCGCCATACTGCACTGTCTGCATTGCACATTTTTTTTGTAATCCGTAATTTTAGACAGCATTCCGTACTGCCGTAATGATCGTTGATTTCTGTACCAATTACGGGAATCAGTACTACCGGTAGTTGCCAGCTCTGCCCCCCCCCCCCCTCCCCCCATGATCATTCCTTCTCATTCGTTTTCTTTCAAAAAAAGTCCAACCTGAATTGATTGGTCTTTCATGGTTCATCTGGTAGATGTAGCTGGTTTTGCTGGAGACGTTTCTGATGTCCCACATCTTGACAGTCTTGTCTGTGGATGCGGTTGCTAGGAGCCAGGGGCATCGTCGGTTGAACTCGCAGTGGGTGACCTTCTGCTTGTGCAGTCTGTACTTCCACATCTAGAGAGATGAAGGAATTAATGTGTAGCAATATAAAAACAAAAGGACAATGCGTAGTATAGTTTAGTTTGTTATACTCTTTGTAAGATTTGCTGTTATTATACGCATCATGTTTATACTCAGCTCTTTTCCCTTAGATATCTATTTATGTAACATATGTTTTATGGACCTCTACCTTGTGCAGCTGAGTCTGAAATAAAGTTCTGAATTGAATTGAATTGAAAACTGTATCAATTGATACCATGGTATCGTGATAACGAATATCATCAGCAAATGCCTTGGCATTATACTATACATGTAGAACTTAAAACTAAGAATTGCTAGCTTACATTTATGAGAGGAAATTTGGTTCAAGCACATTAATACTCATGCAATAATTGCAAAACCATCATGAAATTTTAGTGAGGATTAAAAACTTAACCAACTATATTATGCAATTTTATTTGATACATGTACAAAATCATGAATGGTTTTTTTTTTTTTTTAAGTCAGCAAGTTTGCAAAAATTAAAAATGATGTAAATGATATAGTATGGTTTACATTCTTAATATAATCACCAGAGCCCTGTTGCACAAAACTTACCATTGATGGTAGCTTTGCCATCGATAATGACTACCATGGAAACCTTGATTTGATTGATTGTTGAGCCCTGTTGCCATGGTAGTTGCCATTGGTGGCAAAGTTATCATCAATGGTAAATTTTATGCAACGGGCCCAGCATAATGATCATCACTATCACCACCACAAATCACCACCACAAATCATCATCATCATCATCACCCATCACCCATCGTCGCCATCACCATCATCATCACCATCACCATCACCATCATCGCCATCACCATCATCATCACCACCCTCACCCTCATCATCATCATCATCATCATCATCATCATCACCATCATCATCACCATCATCATCACCATCACCATCATCATTACCATCCTCATCATCATCATCATCATACCATCAGCAGCAGCAGCACCCAATCATTATCATGATACCATCATCATCATCATCATCATCATCACCATCACCACCACCACCACCACCACCACCACCACCACCACCACCACCACCACCACCATCATCATCATCACCACCATCACCATCATCATCTTCATCTTCATCATCATCATCATCATCATCATCACCATCATCATCATCAAATCCTCATCACCATCACCATCACACCATCACCATCACCATCACCATCACCACCATCATCATCACCATCACATCACCACCATCATCATCACCACCATCACCATCACCAACACCATCACCATCATTACCATCATCATCATCTTCATCACCACCATCACCATCACCATCATCATCATCATCATCATCACAGGCATGAGCAGCATATGCCTTACCTCTTCTCCTTGCCGAGACATGAGTACCACATTGCCGTTGTTATCTCCTGCTGTTAGCACACTGTCTGTATAGTTGATATCTACAGAACAGTACCAGTGACTGTACAGACAAAAAAGTTTCATTAGCCAGTTTAAAACAGAAAAAAAATATTAAATGCTGAGAAAACACCCTTGTATTAACTAGGTTGTAAGGGCTTTACCATGGTAATGATACTTGTGAAGTTCAGAACGACCCCAAATTGTACAAAAATGAAAATTAGGATTTTGGAGAGTTCAAATGATAAATATCAATATCTTGTTTCCTATTCTTTTATCCATTTTTTTTTTTTTGGGGGGGGGGGGGGGGGGAGGTAGGTCAGGCAGGCTACAATATGTCTGAAAATACATAGCCGATACTATCTTTTACAAAGACAATGAATATAGAATCTGGGGGCAGTGGAACATTATCTTATAAATCAAATGTACCTCGCCTCCTGCATATTTTTTTTTCATTTACCAGGTGTTGGGATTGAAATTTCAAGGGTTTTCAGGCACTTGTCTCCATTGACATTTTGAGCTCCTCCCTTTCTTTCAATTTATCTTTTTTTTCCCCAACACTTCATCAGCCCTTGCACATAGCTGAGCCACTGATGGTCAAAATCAAAATGGGATAGCAATAAAAAGAGAAACACCCACTCCCAGTCTCTAATAATAGCTTCTCTTTTTCAGCTACTTGATAGGGATTTAAATACCCCACCCCCTATCTTTCCGCTGAGCCATTGTATCATATCAGATGAATAAGGGGAAAACACACTTCCAGTCATTTTTATTGAGGTCCATCTCTTATTTTTCTTCTTCCTACTCAAGGGTGGGGAGGGGGGTGTCCCTCTCCCCTGCAGATACACCATTGACAGTCATGAAGGGAAAAAAAGTGTTTTTTAAAGGGAAACACTCACTTCCAGTCATTGGTATTGAGGTAAATCTTCTTCGGCTGGCCATCAAAGCTGAGACGACTAACCATACCATCGATAGAGGAAGTGAATATCCAGGAGGGGTCAGAAAGGTCATACCTCAGGGCTTGGACTGAGCCCCCCTTACCAATCTACACATGCAAGAGGGGTGGGGTCATAGGTCATAGGTGGAGCAAAGGATAGAAGGATGAGGAGGAGGATGAAGAGGATAATGGCAATGACCAGCATTTGATGGTAAAGTTAAGAGAAAGAAAACAGGTATGAGTAGAGTGGAAGGATAGAAAATAGGAAAGATTTTAATATTGAAAGGTTAAGGGGACAGAGGACAAATAGAGACAAAGGGGGAAAAATGAAATGAGTGGAATGAACAGAGATTAAATGAGTACAACGGAGTGTTGGAAAGAGAGAAATGATCGAAGGAAAAGAAGGAGAGTAGAGGGGATAGTGGTGGGAAGAGGTGAGAAGATAAGAGAGAGGAAAAGAATACATGAGAACAGAAGACAGAAGAGAACAGAAGAAGAGACAAAAGAAGGGAAGAGATAAATAAAAATGGTAGAGAAGAGCAAAGTGGTACAGCGCAATTATTTTTTGAGAAATAAAACAGAAAAGGGATGTACGTAAAAGGTCAGTGCATGGTTGAAAATTAGATGAAGAGTGTAGAATGAAATAGAAGTGACAGGGAAGAAAACAAACATGAAAATGGCTTTAGTCAGTGACAAAAAGAATCCATTTTATAGAAAAATATCTTTTCCAAGAGCTTTAGATTCTGATACAACTATGCATATCAATAATCTGAATGACTACCCCTGGACTACCACTCAATATCGACTATGCTCTTTCCCCTCCCCCACCTCTCTGATAAATATACCAAACCTGGTCGATTCCCCCCCCCCCCCCCTCCTTTATAAACATGAGAATGACTCCTTACAAAATTACCAAGGGTTCCTGCCCTAGGGCATAGGTATCTTACAGGAAAGTATTTCTTAGGGGCAGTGAGGTGAGAGGAGGGCTTAGGGCCGTGGGGGTACCTTGTAGTCAGTTAAATAGTGGAAGTCAAGGTGGTTGTCCCAGAATTTATGTTCAATGTGGATGTAATCCATATTGAAACATTTCACTAGAAAAGGCAAGCTTTCCGATGCATACACAATTGTGTGGCAGTCAGCACACCAAATGACAGGGAAGTAAATTTTCCACATCATGTTTGCTATATGAAAATGAAAGAACTTTTTGTCACATGACCAGCCATCTCACGTCTGATTGGCTAACCTCCAGTCCATGGTGTTCTGAAAGAGATGGAGAGTTTTGCCCTCAAAGTTCTGTAGCCTGACCTGTCCGTCCAAGGACGCAGAATAGATCTCGTCAGGCTTGTCCCTGCTGAATAGCAGACTGGCAATATTTCCTCCGGGTCCTATCTACACACCAGATACCGGTAGGCAGATGTACATTTTTAAGAATTTTGAGTTGAGCTAAAAACAGCTGGTGATTCAGATATGAACTGTTAGACAATGTGCCTCCACTCTTACAGACTTTGTCAAATTGATGATTAACAATTTAAAAGTTAAAATGTGAGTAACAGTACAAATAGAAAAGTCCAAAAATAAATACTGATCAAAATGCCTCAGAAACCTACAACCGCCCTCTCGTTTTGCATTTTAAAGCTTTTCTTTTTCAACTTTCTAGACGCCAAGATATATTCATGAAACGAGGCAGTTCTGTACCTCATATTCTAAAATCCAGGGTGTGTTTTCGTGTCCCCCTCCCCCCCCCCCCCCCCCCAAAAAAAAAAAAATTTAAAAAAATTGGGCAGACTCTACACTTTCTATACTTAGAACTCTGCATTTAATAAATAATAAAATAGAATAATACAATTTAAAGCCCCACTGCACTACTTATAGCTTCTTGCGCCCTCTATATGGCAAACAATGCCTAATCTGTGCCTGTTGGTCCCCCATGATCCCCTTTTTCTTATATTAATCAAGAGCTGATTTGATGAGATAACCACCTGTCAGTGACCTTGCAGGGAGGTATAATCCCCCTATCCCCCCCCCCCCCTGTCAAACTAGTGCAGACGGGTTTTAATGGACTGCCAAATTCCAAAGAAGAAGAGGCTGATTGTTATCTCTTTCTTAATTTCATATTACTTACTCCTTGCACAACATTCCATCCATCTTGCCCTTTGCTGTAATCCCACAGCATGAGGTCACCGCCCTTTGACCCCACAGCAAGCATTGTGGGATGCTTTGGGTGCCATTCAAGAGCCGTCACTCTCCTTTCAAAAGGGCTTGCTCCGTGGCTAACCCTGAACTCTGAGAGCTGTTGGACAAATGGTTGAATGGTAGCCTGTAAGAGGAAAAAAAAAGACAAAAATATCACTTTCTATCGTCACAGATTTTAATACCAATTCCCTTTGATACAATTTGTTTACCGGTATCTGTTTTTTCCTTAAGCGTTTTATATTTAAATTTATAACAGTTCCTATTTTTAAAATGAGCAAAGCCAGGAACAACTTTTGATTACAAAACAATGATAGATATTACATAATGTCTCTGCAAAGTCTACGAAAGGAATTGTGAAAAACAACAAGCCTTTTCTTTCCTGTAGCACTTTTTATGTCTTTTTGTTGCTGCAGCAGCAGCAGACATGTTTGTGTTTAATCATGTATTATGACAGAAACCATGATCATAAAGCATTACAGTAACTAAAAAAAAAAGATGCAAATTAAGGTAATTAATTGTAAATAGTATTGATTATGGCGAAGTAATTCTATTTCTACACAACTTTCCATCTTCAGCTGTTTCAGTTAGCTGCTCAAAAGACATTTCCATCCACTAGCTGCTTGATGTCATCTAGCCATGTCTTCATCATGCTGCTCTCTTCAGCCATTAGTTCCTCCTGGCAAGACGGTAATTGAATAGACAGAAACTAAAAATAAAATAGAAGATATCGTCTGATCCAAGCCAGAAGAGCTCAGGGCCCCATTTCTAAAAACTTGTCATCAGTGACATGAGCTAGTGATTGGTTATCAGCAGATTTGTCACTGTTTTTTTGTCATTGAAAAAAAGGCATTGTGAAACGGGTCCCAATTTGGACTCCCTTTTTACTCTTAACAGGTGATATGAAACATTCAAATGTATATTACCTGTCTCAGGCTTTGTTTGAACCTCTGCCCTGTGGTATGTCTGAAGATCCGATGAACTATGTTGGAGCTTAATAGATCCATAGGGGTGATGGAGGGACTCACAGACTCTCTGCTTCCTCTGATGATGATGGCTTCTTCATTTTCTTTCTCCTCCACATCCAGCTTCTGCTAAAAACAATGAAAAATCAATGAAACTAAAATAAGACGTGGCCATCTATTCATATAATACGCGCTACATATAATTCAATGCACCTGAACTCTGAAGCCCTTAGTGTTCGAAGCATTGAAGTAATTTGTAGCTCTGCATGTTCTCTCTCTCTCTCTCTCTCTCTTATCATTTCATGAATGTTTAAGTCTCCCAATCACCAAAAATATTTTGTTTCATACATTAGAAGTTCTATGCCATAACACTATAGTCACAATCAAAATATTAGCTTAAAATATATTTATATATTTATAAATATATATGTTTTTTTTAAGGTGATTGGTATGCTTGAACATTCTTTTCCTCACAACAAAACATCATGAATTTTAACATGACTTTTATACCCACAATGAAAAGCTTAGACAATAGAATTCCAACTGCACAATCAATAGAACTTAACAGTTACTGACATTCATTGACTGCATCCGTTGAATATGTCATCAGGTCTTCAAAATGCATGTATGACATAGTTAAAGATTAAGATTAATAAACTTGGATTTATAATTAACTCTCCAAAGTCTTTAGATCTATAGATCTAGACTCAATTAAAAAATTGCAGGACTCCAAAATCTAACAACCAAAATTAATTGTATTCATTGTAAAACTTGACGTTTAACATGTCGCAGTCAAACCATCGATCTAAAAAATCTATAGAAAAAATATATGAAGTTAAAAAAGTCTGATAGTGATATGCGCATTTTTGCTTTAATAATCAATAGCTACAGTATAGTTCTCATGAAATATTGACCTTTTACCCTCTTTAAGTTAGATCTAGAGATCTAGGGTAGGGTCTACATGGATGCACGTTCTTACTTTCTTAATAATCTTAGAATGAAAAATACTAAATCATGACTCCAGCTTTAAACAACAGTAAAACACATTCATATGTTCATTTTGACTATACACAATTCACAAGACACTTATTCATTTGCTATACTATAGAAATTATAATATAATTAAATTTAACTCGATCCCAAAACACCTTCTTCACCGCTCCATTTGACAGGTTTGAACTTGTAGTTGCATCAGGAGTGGATCTATTCCTCTGTCTATCTGCCGTTGTTGATCTGCCAGATTTAATAATTTGGTCTTCAAAATCTTCTGTATCACTATCAGTTTCTCCAACTTTCTTCCTTTGCTGTCTAGTCCGCCTTCCACTCACTGCAGCTGCAGCTCTGGTTGTTCTTTTGCCAGATTTTGTTACTTTTTCTTCTGATGCACTGCCTGCAGTCTTGTCTTTCTTGTTTCTTGATGAGGTTGGTGCCATTTTCAGAAGTTTCTAGATCGACTAGAACTAGAAGATCTGCCCAAACTACTGCAAAGCAAACATGGAAACAGCTAGTAGAAGTAATCTTTAGAATTAGACTGCTATCTGCATCCGTGTATTCAGCTTCAGATACATCGCACTGCACTGGCATTGCATGCAGCTAAGCTCAGTGCTTCCCTCCCATCTCAATGCCTTGTGCATGTCAACTCATGCACGTGCTCAGCTGTTCCGTGTTTACAAAACGACTTGCGTAACATTTTTTTCCCGCGGAACAAAAGCAGTTCTAAGACTATGACTCTTTTTTATATTATACACTACCATAAATTCCATGTATAAAGTTAATTTTGTCTCTGATTTAATAAACGAGATCATAAATTTGACTTTTAAAAAAGAAACAATACTTTGATGTTGTGTTGTGAAAAATACTAAGTATTTTCTCAGCTTTGCCTTCAACTTGGCAACATCGTACGTGCAAAACCAAACCGGAACTGGACCGGGAATCCCAGGTCAAGGGTGATTGCGTGTGAGCTGTAGATGCTGCCGATTACACACATTTCAACTTCCAAATAACCGTCCTAATTTATCGATAAAATGGCGAGTGGAAGACGTTTCTGGGTTGGTGGAAACTATAAGATGAATGGGAGCAAGGCGTCAATCGACGGACTTCTGAAGATGCTGGAAGAATCCCAGATTCCTGGAAACACCGGTAATTATTGCATTGTCTCGGTCTGACTCTGTGTGATTGTGAGTGTGATTGTGAAACTGGCCTGGGTCGGTTGTGCTCGTGCCTGTTAACTCTCTCCGCCCGCCCGGAGACCCGGGGGCCACGTTTCGCTTTCGCAGGACGTGGTAGGCGGCTACCCTTGGCCCGGAAAAATCGGTTCCAGGGCAATTAACCCCCCCCCCCCCCCCCCCTGAGGACAACCATGTGATCCCTGGGAACAATTATCGTCTCGGAAAATTACCCCCAGGCCCAGCCCGTAGAAGTAGTTGTGGACAGTTACCCCCCATCCCTCCCCCATCCCCCAGTCCCAGAGGGGGGGGGGGGGGGGGGGGATACGCTACTTGTCCTCGGGTGGAATATCCTTGGTTGTCAAAACAAGGGGGAAGTAATTGTCCTAGGCTAGGGATAAATTTTAGGGGTGGGGGAACTGCCACGGTTGATTTGGGGGTAATTTTCAAGGGGGGGGGGGGTAATTGTCCTGATACTGTGGTAGCGATAGTGATACATGAAAAATCATTGCAGGTGCTCATGCACTGCAGACTGGACTACTACTTTGATTACCCCCTTTGAAAATTAACCCCCTCCCCCTCCCCCTGGAAAATTAACGCCCCCCCCCCCCCTGGAAAAAATACCCCCTTAGACAATTACCCTCCCAAGGACAATTACCCCATGGAAAATTACCCCCCAAGCACAATTACCTGCCCTCCATAAAAGACACCCTATGACAATCACCCTTTCCCGTTCCCCCCCCCCCCCCTTCAGACAATTGTAGAATTACTCGTAGGATACTTGCCAAATGAACAAATTATGACCTGCAAGGAACATACTGGTATTCAATTTATTCAGTTTATGTGTTAATTTCTTCTGATTCTCCAAACTTTTAGTCTCTGTACAAAACTCACCAAAATGATTTACTAAAAATTGGCACTTGAACGTTAAATTCTAGTTTTTGTTAAATGGCAAGTGATTGTCTTGACTTGGGCCTCATTCAGATATGACGAGGCAAATTGAATTTTATTGCACCAGGGATGTTTAGGTCAAATTGTTTCTCTATAGAGTTGAAATGAAACAAGATGTTATCAATTTTCTATTTATTGTTCTAAAATATCACTTGCGTATCACCTGATAAATAAAGAAAACTAAAAATCCTTGATACAAAGCAATATGACTGAAATTTTCAATCTGGATAGGTAGAAGCGATGTTAATATGGTATCGCGTAGAGAACCAACTAGACGTGAAAGAAATTTGAGCGCCACATCGATTGATAACTGGCTGCTAAAGCGACATTTATTACCGTTCCTTTCCGCAGATGTTGTCGTCGCGCCACCCACTGTCTACCTCGACTACATGAACTCCAAGATCCCGGCAGGAGTCTTTGTGGCTGCCCAGAACTGCTACAAGGTCCCCAAAGGAGCCTTCACCGCGGAGACATCCCCTGCCATGCTGCAGGACCTGGGCGTAGGATGGGTGATCCTGGGCCACTCTGAGAGGAGGCATGTCTTTGGAGAGTCTGATGAGGTGAGTTCGAATTGCCTTTGGCAATGGTTCAACATCTTCTCACGCAACAGTAACTCTTGAGCTTTATTTTGACAAAAATATAGGGTTAGGGTTACATTTGGGTTTTGGGTTAGGTTTAGAGTTTGTTTTGTATATATTTAGTATGTGGTTCAGGGTTAATAGGAATGAGTGCAGCAGGAATTGAATCCAATGACCGGGGTAAAAGTATATCTGTAAAGCGCTTAGAGACATCATAGATGTATTAAGTGCTATATAAAAACAAAATTATATTGCAGAAACAAATGTTGTACTACTCCTTTGACAAGACACCCACTTTTATACAGATAAAGTAAATAATAGGTACCTGAAGATTGTATGTGACCCTCTCCCTTCCCCTCTACCTACTTCTCCCTCCCTCTTTCTCTCTTTCTCTTTCTCTTTCTCTCTCTCTCTCTCTCTTCTCTCACGTGTAACATTCTATCTGTCATTCCCCCTCATCTCTCTTGGTCTCTCTTACCATATTAACGGTATTGCACTGGCCTTTCATTCTCTACTTGACCTCCCTTTCTCTTTATCTCTCTCTTCATAAACTGTTCAGTTGATTGCACAGAAGGTCGCCCATGCTCTCAGCTGCGGACTCAAGGTGGTGGCATGCATCGGAGAGAAGCTGGATGAGAGAGAAAAGGGTCAGACCAACGAGGTAGTCAATCGCCAGATGAGAGCTTTAGCCGGTATGTGTATCTTTATTCTTTAATGTATGTAAATTTAAAAAGTCATCTGAGCTATTTCATTTGACTTTTTAAAGATCTAAATTGTTTGTTTTTTGTTGTAGCAGCAACATTCCATTGTAAGAGAAGCTGTCAGATATAAATGTAGAGATCAGATTTATGTCTTATAAAGAGTCGCGGTTGATCTGGATTGATCACATGCCCTCCAATCAGTTGCATACTTGCAAAGTCCTATCTCTTCTGTATTAGAGTTGCGATTGATTAGAATCAATCGCAACTGCTTATAAGATGGGGCTCCTTGTGCTTTTGGGATGAAAAAGTCATAAATTTTGTTTTCAGTAGTAATTAGATTGCGGAGTAGTTTTAATAGGGAAATGAGGTGATAAAATCTTTTGTATAATAATAATTGATTCTTAGTGTTCCAGATGGATGGTCCAACATAAGAGAATGAGCGTTCGGCTGCCTTGGTGTTGGTGCGTGGGATCAGTAACAGTGTCTGATCGTTATGTGAACGCAGATGGTATCTGGAAGCTGGAGGAGTAGTTAGCATATTAGACAGATAGTGTGGAGCAGTATGCATCATGCACTTGTACACTAAAACTGCCAGTTTGAATTCCATGTGACGTTACTGATTTCATTTCAGATGTGATCAGCGACTGGGGCAACGTAGTCATCGCTTACGAGCCGGTCTGGGCCATTGGGACGGGTAAGACGGCCACGCCACAGCAAGCACAGGAGGTCCATCAAAACCTGCGCTCTTGGTTAACAGAACATGTGAATGCAGCAGTAGCGGCCAACACACGGATTGTATATGGAGGTTAGTTGGCAATAAGCACTGATTTTATTTTACGTTAATATATAGTAAAAACTCATTTACTTTTAATTTGTTATTGTATCTTTCTTTTAATCTTTCACCTTTTTTCTGGTCACTGGTCATTAGGCTTATCTCCACCTCTTTCTACATATCTCAATCTCTCTCTTTCCTCCCTACTTATCTTCAATACCCCTATTTTCTGCTACTTTCTCTCAATTGTCATTACCCTTATATAAAATGGGGGGAATTCTGATAATCTCTTTTTGTCTGAATGAAACCATTTCTTCTTGTTTGAATGTTTGATTAAAATGTCAGGAATATTATTGCAAAGAATATCCGGAAGTGAACTCAAGGGTACTAATGTATATGAAATGTGCAAATAACACATGTATACAAAAATTTGAAGTATTTTGTTCTACAAATACGATTACTGTAGAAAAGAGTGTGACTGTTGATTCCCGGAAAGTCTTTGTAATATTTAGATTTTTAGTGAAAATAACTTTAGCACCTAGTACTGGAGGTAGTACTTGACCACTTAATTTATACATGTATGCTATAACAATGTCCTTTTTCTACAAATGGACTGAAAGGCAACAAAAACAGATATACTATAAAGCTTTTTGTCTTGCACTCATCGAAGCGAGTCGCAAAAATACACAGAAAGTCAAAATCAGACAGTTATTCGTTTGCAGGGTGCGATAATCCACAGTGTCTGCAAAACTAACACAATGAAGGGCTACATTACATGATAATGATTATCAATTATAACTTCTGATGTTATTAATTCACTACCTGGATGACAGAACATTCATGAACATTGAAGGCCTATATTTGAATTGTTATTCATCAAATCAAGTATAGGCTTATATCAGATAAACATTTCATCATCAATAGTGATCTGTCAGTTCATGACAGTTTCAGTGACCCAATCAGAATTCTATATCAATTGTCACTCCAAGTACTTCGTTACTTCTTGAGCCATCCGTTTAAGCATTTCGTACCCTGTTGCTCCACATTCTGTGGTTACATCATCTAGAAAGCCTTTACAAGGTCTTCCCCTCTTCTTCTTGCCATATATAGGACCTTCTATGACTCTGATCATCAAGCCATCATCATGCCGCATTATGTGTCCAAGCCATTTCTTCTGTCTCTCTGATCGTTATGAAAGATAAATTCTAATCTCTCATTTTCTTAAAATTATCTTTTCGTTTCATCACAGGTTCAGTAAATGGTGGTAACTGCTGTGACATAGGACAGCAACCTGATGTAGACGGCTTCCTGGTGGGCGGGGCATCGCTGAAACCCGAGTTCAAACAGATCATTGCTGCAGGGAGTGCATAATGCAGGATTTTAAAACTACAGTCAAACCTGCCTCAGTGACCACCTGTCTACAAAGACCACATGTTTTGTTTCCCTTGAAAATTGTTTCTCATTGAAACATGTACTAAAGGAACCTGTCTACAAAGACCACTTTTTGTGTTTCCCTTGGGTGGTCGCTATAGTCAGGTTTGACTGTATCAGTATAGTGCGTGATATATTATAAGTAATATATATATTTCCTTTATTGTAGAGGTACTTAGTACTCCCTTTTGTCCATTACAGCAGACATATATTTAGGCTCTTTTCTATATGCCCACTCAAATAATATCCCTGGGCCATAATGTATTTGTAACCCTAAAAGGGTGGGTAAAATTTTACCAAATAGTATACTTACTAGGTAATTTTATGAAATATCATGTATGGTAATACTAGCTCGTTTATTTCAAAATTTCTAGTTTGAGTGTTTTAGAGACCAGTGTTTATTGCATGAAGCTACTGTAAAGCACAGTGCAATCCTTTTGTGAATTAGCCCATTGTGTGTGCCATTTGGTACCTGTGGCGTACCATCAAATGTGCCAGTTTCACACTAGTGGCAAGTAAAAGGTTTAGGCATTAGTCGTGTGTATTTTATACACCAATCAGAGCCATATAACATTAAATTTGTAACAACAAGATACATAGATTCTTAAAGGCTACTGAAGTCACTGCTTTGGATTGGTTAGGAGCGATTTTGTTGCAGAATTTTGGCAGTTTTTAATGACCAAGTTTTGTGAAACACTCCCCTGGTCTGGCTGCTGTCAATGCCCATGTCATCTGTAACTGGGGGCTTCAAGTATTCCTAGCAAAACTCTACAAAAATGTATACTTCCAGGACAAGGTGCTGAAGCAATGAAGGAATTTCTTCCTACCAGGTACCCATGCAATTCACCTGGGTCAAGGGTGGCATATGTAGGCTATATTTTTAGGAAGAACCTTGGTACCATGACAGGGATTCTGATCACATACCATTTATGATATATACTCCACTGCCTATTCACAAGATCATAATGACTTTTGTTTGTTAAATTCTTTTTTGTTATCTTTTGAAGGCCCTTTGTTATGTCACCAAAGAGATAAGAGTGTTTTTAAATTGTAAATGGGTCTGTATGTAGCTTAACTGCAAAGCAGTGATAATGTGATAGAGAATTATTGGAATATGTTTATAGGACCTTGACCTATTCTTACGTAGGTAGAGAAACATGGGAACAGACAGAATAAGGATTTAACAGTTTTTCTGGAAATTGTGTCAAATTCTACATTTCATGATTTTTGTTGTTTACATCAACTCTTTATTTACCTTGCAAACACTCTCCCTGTGCCACATTGTATTTGTCATGGGATCGATATAGCAAAGGCTTCAAGAGTGTTGAACCGTTTCAAGTGTTAAAAGGGTTGCAATGGAGCTAATTAAAACCTCTTTGTTGCAGGTGCTTCTTGTTTTTTGTGCAAAATTGCATGTGTTGCAAACAAGGGACCGTGCAGAGAAGTGAAAGAAGCAACTAAAGTGTTAACAAACTTTGGCTCTTGTGCAGTATAGTATTGCATTGAAATAATTTGGGGTTATGTCTTATTGGAGTATGAAGTAAATATGTGTGTATTCCCTTCTGAAGTAGTATGTTTCCATTAGAGTATCCCATCAATTCTTGTAACATTAGACTATACCAAATGATTTATCTTATACATAATCGCAAAGGCTATCAAAATTAGAGATGAACTTGAGTTCTGGTAATGCGATTGCATTGTGAAAGAAAAGGTGTTGAAAGGATCAGAAAAGTTGATCATATAGCATGTAAGTAATGGTGTGTAATGCAAGGTTCTGGAGTCATCAAAATCATCATAAATTTGGCAGATTCTTGTTAAAGTAACAATCACTTACACAGAAAGATGTATATGGGACAACACAAATGGTGTCGGGGGCTAGTACTACCCTGATTTCCTTATCTTTCTATGCTCATTACTCAGCCAGTATACATTTTCTTCCAAAATTGTTTGGCACATGACATTTATTTCTAATCTTGAGCATTCAGTGTAAGTTTCGTTAGATTCTGTGAGAATTAATTTTCTTTTTTTACCAGAACTCAAGTTTATCTTTAACCTAAGCTGATTTTTAGTAGCCTCTGCAAGGTTTTTTATCACCTTTTGAAATGTGGCGTCATTATAGTACTATGTTACATAATCCAAACATCATTTCTGTAGGCAATACTGTGGAATATTTGAAATTGCCTGCAGGTTGGTTGCTTCAAAGTCTTTGCGATTTTGTTTATGATAGAGTGACAGCATGAAATCTTGATCGAGGGGCATAACTTTGTTTCAATAGTATTATGTTAAATTGCCAAACCCTTCTAATGTGACATTTTCCCTCTTCAATTTGTTATGTTGTAAACAAATAATTCAGTGAATTTGTGGTGCTTTTGAAGGCATTCCCAATCAAATCGAATGTTTTGATCGAATGCTTCTAGGAGATTATAAGAGAAGGATTAATTTGTAGGGGGTGAATTTGTGGTGTCCCTGGAAAGGTTTGATGCCCTGACCTTATATCCTTGCCAGAATAAATTCAACATCATGTATGATTGTTATCAATATCCTGTTATTTTGTGATCGAGTATCCAACTATGCTAATATCTGATAATATAATTTGTGAGAGAGTGAGAGACAGACAGACAGAGATAGTGAGAGAGACAGAAAGAGATACAGAGAGCGAAAGGGGGGGGGGGAGAAGTTGGAAGACTGACACAGAGGGAGGGAATGGGTAGGAGAGACAAAGAAAAAGAGGGAGAAAGGGCAGATATAGGAAGAGGGATAGTGGAGAGGAGAGGGGAGCAATAGAAAGAGAAAATAGTGAGAAAAAGGAGGAAGAGGGTCGTGAGAGAGAAGAAATGTAACAGGGAGAGAGAGAGGGGAAAGAGAAAAGAAAAGGGATTCAGAGTGAGATTGGATGGAAGAGAGGGTGAGGAGAGTAGAGAAAAAGTAAGAGGGGAAGGAGAGAAAAGAAAGGGATTAAGCGAGAGAGAGAGAGGTAAGGAGAGAAAAGAAAGGGCTAAAGAGAGAGAGAGAGAGAGGTAAGGAGAGAGAACGGGTGAGGAGAGTAGAGAAAAAGTAAGAGGGAAAGAGAGAGGTAAGGAGAGAAAAGAAAGGGCTAAAGAGAGAGAGAGAGAGAGAGAGGTAAGGAGAGAGAGAGCGGGTGAGGAGAGTAGAGAAAAAGTAAGAGGGAAAGAGAGAGGAAAGGAGAGAAAAAGAAAGGGATTAAGAGTGAGAGAGAGGAAAGGCGAAATAAGGGGAGGGTGACGAGAGTGGAGAAATGGTAAAAAGAAAGAGAGAGATAAAGAGAGACAGAGAATGGAAAGAGGCGAAGGGAACAAGTGGAAGCATGGAGAGATGAAAAGGACTACCCTTTAAATGAATGGATGTATTTTGGACATGCATGGTTTGTTTTACCCGAAAGCATGTGTAACTATGCTTGTAATTAGCAATGGGAACGACGGCTACAAGTCCTCTCCGATGAAGGCCTAGAATTCGGCACAACATCAATTAGATCAGGAAGACAAATTTATATACGAATAAATAAATAAATAAATTATCCACATACGGAGCCGCTTTAATACTATATATTTATATATAACGTGTAAAATGTGATACAAAATACATGTAATTTGATAGAAAAATATTGAATTTTGTGAATGCTTGTTTTCATCCAACCGTTTCAATTTATTGCTGCCTAACTTCTTTACACGAATAACTAACATCAGATGTTACTAACTAATACATTGGAACACTAAATAGCGGCGCCATGGATAGGGGAGGGGGTGGAAAGACACACGATCTAATAATACGGTCATTCCCACCTACGCGCCACGATCCAATTGAAATGAATTCCCGTTGAAATGCCGAATCAAATATTAATACTACTTCTACCAGGGCCGTAGCCAGAGTTTGATGTTGTTGTTGTTGTTGTTGTTGTTTGTTTGTTTTTTTGGAAGGGGGGGGGGCACATACATGTAATTGATCGACGTCCCGGGGAGGGGTCTAAAAAAAGCCCCCCATGCCCCCCCCCCCCCCCCGTGGCTACGTGCCTGACTACTACTACTACTACTACTACTACTACTACTACTACTACTACTACTACTGTGCTATACGTCTACTACTACTTCTACTGCTAGCTCTACTATACTACTTCTGCTACTTCTACTACGTTCTACTACTACTACTACTACTACTACTACTACTACTTCTTTTTCTTCTACTACTGTATGCCGCTTACAATTTTTCTTAGTGCAGTTGTGGACGAAAGGGCCACTGATATTCAATTATATAGTGGACCTAATAATAATAATAATAATAATAATATTTAATTTTTATATAGCGCTTAATACAAATGTCTCTAAGCGCTAAGCGCTACTGTACGCCACCGTCACATAATTATAACGCCTTCACCATTAGCATGTTTTTCATAAACAAGTCGACCACAAATCGTGCAAGATACATTTACACCGATTTTATTCTCCTCCAGGAATTCAGATACCAGAAAATGTGTGATAAAATAATTATAGTCATAAGGTCAAAACTCAGAGTAAAGATAAACGTTAAGCCAAAGGGTTGAACTTTATGATACCAATGCAACGCCCCCAAAGCGAAAAAAAGTGAGGAGAAACAGCCGTTCTAAAATCCTGGAACAACGTAATGGCGGATCTAAGGGAGCGCAGGGGCACGCGCCCCGGCAAAAAGTTCGGCATACCTGGGCCCCGTCTTATAAAGAGTTGCGACTGATCTGGATCAATCGGAAGTCCTCTTATCAATCGCAAGTTTGCAGTCTCTCATATCTCTTTTATAGTTGCGATTGATATCGATTGCAAATGAGCTGTGATCAATCACAACTGTTTATTAGACGCCGCCCTAGATATTTTGTTTTCATTGATGACCCCCCCCCCCCCCCCCCCTCCCTCCCTCCACCAGAGAATCTGGAGCTTCCATTGATGAATAAAGCTCAGCTGAGGAGATGAAGTAATTCAACACAATGCGAAAAGCTTGTGTCTCGAATATCGTATAAAATCCGTGTGTTGTGTTAACTTGACCCGATATAAAGACAAGTTGCAGCCATGGAAGGACTGAACATTCTTCGTATCTGTTGGATGATCTTTATTCTGCAAGGTAAGATGCGGATTGGTGGAGTTGGTTTATGTATAGAAATATATAACAGTTTACGAAAGCTCCATCTATATAAGCAGTCCTTTATATATGTTATGATTCTTTCGGCAAGAGTTCTGAAACGAAATATTGTTAAAAGAAAAGAAGAGCCTCAACTTTTTGAACAGCTTGCTCTGTTCTGTTCTGTTCGTCGTCAAGACGAATTCTATATTTTGCACATTTGTTTACATACGCCTCTCTGTGGTAGAAGAAAATACTGACTAGAAAACACTCGTCAAGATGGAAGCTCTTAAAATTCAGTGAACATGATGAAATGTCACTAAGGCAACTAAATTTATATGAAATTCATTTATGAAGTTTATAAACGAGACAACTTTGCAAGGCTGTGCTTCCATTTTACAAGATTGATTGATGGATACATCATGAACTTACAACCAACTTTGGATGCAAATAAGAAAGAGTATTCTATAATTACGAACATGGTGCACAAGTTTGCCTAGTTATTTCATGCTATTTTGTATTTTACACAGGTCTTCCGTTAAAGGTACTTTCTACAACCTCAATTGGAGGTAAGATATAATTATGATTTTTTTCTTCGAGTTATAGTGGTTAGTGTGATTTCTAGATCAGTATAATATGTAAAGCATGATAATATTCGTGGATTATATTTTTTTAAAGGAAAATGGATATAGATTAGACACTGATTTCCTTATACTGAGAGCAATTTGAAAACCCTTTCAAGTATCAGTGATTTCCCTTTTTCTTTTCATGAATGAAGGATGTAATTTTATAAATCATTCTATGAACTGATAAAGAAGGCCTATATCAATGAAAAGAATGAAAGTGTGAGAGAAAGAGATAGAGAGAGAGAGAGAGAGAGAGAGAGAGTTGTCAATTGATACCACTTCACATGTACAGAGCGACGAACCATGCACATTTGACTTTTTTTATCAACTTGAATTTACTTTAATATTGTAACGAATTTAGATATGTCTGTATCATGTGCATATCTCATTATTATTTCGCTGATACATTGTTGCTTGCTGTGCAAGTCAAACTTGTCCTTCAGTAGAGCGACGGATTTACGACGTTGTTTTTCGTCCTCGAGTAATTCTTGAATTTCGATTGCGTAAGCCCAGGGCCACGCTCGTCTAGAGAATCTGTCCTCGTCTTACGTAACGGCAAGGACAGATACTCAGTCGCGTGCGGCCCCCGACTGACCCCGAGCGGAGGCCAGACTTCAAGTTGTCCTCAGTTTGAGGACAGACACTGCCCTTTAGCTCGAGGTCGGGTTGTGTCCTTGCTGGAAGGTTGGCCTGCTACAAAACAGAAGAAATCTAGCTCCCTATATAAAGCCAGGGAATCTAAAATCTCGAGAGTTCTGACTGAGAGTTCTGACTCAGACTCCTTGAGACTTCTCCTCGTACTCCTTTCTGCCGCTTTTTCGTAATTCACTGAACCTGACTGTATACCAAGTTGTCATTATTTGAAGTAATAAACGACGAATGGAACTGAAACTCACGATCCTACTACTCCATTTCTTCCGTCCCATTTGTTTTACATGCACGCATGAGTGAGAGAGGTATTAAGCGAGGACTTAGAAGAGACAATTAAGTAAGAGTTCGAGAACGAGAGCAGTCTGAATTAAAACACTTGTAATAAAATTTCGTTACAATATCAATGATTTTTCCTGTCCGATATAGGCCTACCTACAGAGCGAATAGTGTTGGTATCGACGACTACTGGAATATATCTCTCCAGGGGACCCGATTATGACTTCAACCAATTACCCATCTCCGTTGGCAGCCCTGGCGGACTCGACTTCGATGAGGAAATCGGCATGTTATTCTGGACAGATTACAGTAATAACGCGATAAAACGCGCAGAACTCGATGACACTAGCTCGACCTTCGTTATCGCTACTGGAACCAGTAAGTATAATCAAATGTTATTGTTACTGCGATTGTAAATGTAATTGTAATCGTCATTGTAATTGTAGTAGCAATTGCATTATTTGGAATTATAATCACAATTACAAGAAGAAGCAAAAGATTATAATTGGAATTAGAATTCGATTGTGGTTATTATGATTTTGATTATGATTGCAGGCGCGTACGCAGGGGGGGGGGGGGGGGGGGGGGGGGGGGGGGGGGTTTACGAGGTTGAAAAAAAAACAAAACCAATCATACCAATAGCTGACCTAAAAAAGTTGACCTTACCCCCTCCCCCCCCCCCCCTCCCCCCTTCCCCCCCAACAGAATAAAATGTCAAATTTTCAAATTTCGAGACTGAAAAAAAACAACTCGAAACAACATTGCAAATTAAAATTAAAATTAATTTGCAAGTGTAGGCTAATCTAAGATGGAAGCAACATGTATGGTCGTTCTAGACAGTTGTGATAGAGAAAGTAGAGGAAGCGAAAGATGGATAAATCGAAATTATTTGTTACTCAGAATAATAAATTGCACATGTTTATTCGCGTTAAATATTGAAAAGCAATCAGGTATTCATAACTCAGTAGTATAATAGTCGTAGTTAATAATCCTGTGGTAATACCTGTATATTAAAGGTACTATGTCCCATTTGCAGGCCCAAAAATGAAAAGGTTAAATTCCAACGGCATTTGAAAGATAATACTATATAATTTAGAACTTCCCTAAAAAAAAGATGGGGCTTGAAAATGTCTTCAAGTGGGAAAATAATGACTATTAGTTGTCGAATCGACTAAGAAGCTATAGAGCCAATACGTAATAGTCTTGATTTTCAGCCCATTGTACTGAATGGTCATACGTTTTATGCTACGCAAAGATTCAATCAGTTTAATTTTGGCCACACAGGAAGTGGGTTATTGATGTAGACAAATGCTCATATACCCTTTACAGCTCTTGTGTATGTTATTATCAAGAAGTTACCAGGCTGGTAACTTCTTGTTATTATCAAAGAAGAAAAAAGCCAGTCAGTCACTCAATAGTGTCTGACAGTGAAGTCTAGCAAGTAAACAGGTTTCCTTGCATAATTTGAATATTAGGACACTGCTCACATTTAAATTTTACAAATAGGACATACATGACATATTCATAATTCCTGCAAAGTTCTACAGAATTTGAGGTTGGCTGCAAAAGGGACATAGTACAAGTTTGATAATCCTAATTCTTGGGATTAATTTGAATTTCACATTCAAAGGTCAAAAGTAGGTCATATACCATGCCTTTGAAGAGTAGGTATACGCTCTATAGGCCTATATTTACGGTTCATTCGAAGGGTTTGGTCATTACGTGTATATTTAGTGAGTAATTGCACAGATATCCTTGTTCATCTTTTTTTTTGCTGCATCTGCTGCTGCTGCCGCTTTTGTTGTTGTTGTTGTTTTGAGGGGGATGCATGTCGTATGAGCTACATCTCTGCTCGTTCTTTATAAGAATATAACAGATTTTCGTCTTCGGGTATGTCTACACCGGCCAAAATGGTAATGCATTGAATTACGTCCTTCACTAACTAGTAAAAGAGGATTTTCTATATGCTTTAAATGCTATATTTCATTTTCCCCAAAGGCCCTGCAGCAATCGCAATTGACGGAAACGAGAACTTAATATTTTGGGTCGACACAAGGCTAAGCACGGGGACAATCCAGAGGGCCACGTACGATGGACGAGAAAGGACTCAAATTATAGCCACATCTAGGTACTCTGGTACGACTATCAACGGAATTACATTAGACAGGATTACAAGGTATGGTCACCAGTCTTTCATGTGTGGAATGATGAATAAGGAGAAAAAGAAGAAGAATGAACAAAAAATTGCTGTCTGAAAACAGAACTCAACCACCCCTCTAATGCACAAGAATTAAACAATTGAAGCAAGAGAAATTGAATTTTTTTTTTTAAATTAAATTAAATAAATCCGGCTGTTAATTAAAAAAACAAACTAAAACGAAATATCGTCAAACGTTCGTAGGGCAAGCTTGCTCAGATCACGCATATACAGTGCGTCCCAGAAAAAACGAAACCGAGAAGTATCGATGTTTTATCATAACTTAATCACAACCATAATAAATGAATGATACATATTTGGAAAGCTTAGAGTCTCCTCTTTCAGTTGATGCTACTCACGTGATGCATATTTCACGCATGAGTGATTAAAAGCAATTTGAAGGAAGGAAACCAAAAAGTAATTTGGCGGGCGGTATCTGAATTTCAAAGAAAAATTCATATTTCTAGAAAGTTTATTTTCTGCTCTTTCATATGATACCTCAATCAAGAAAAATGAGCCGGGAATGACAAAGTTCTGTTTGTTTAAAGTAGTGCTTACATTTTCATAATTTTAACAAACGAATTCGTTTTCACTGGGTGCTTGCCGTAGCAAAAAGCAGATTTGACAAAAGACTTAACTCCGTTTCGTTGACAATCAGCCATGCATGAAGACTCTCGTCTACGGCTGATTGTCAACGAAACGGAGTTAAGTCTTTTGTTAATTTCGTTTATTGATACGGCAGGCAGCCAGCGAAAACGAATGTCATATGAAAGGGCAGAAACTCGACTTTCTAGAAATGTTAATTTTTCTTCGAAATTCAGATACCGCCCGCCAAATGTCTTTTTGGTTTCCTTCCTTCAAATTGCTTTTAATCACTCATGCGTGAAATATGCATTATCTGAGTAGCATCACATGAAAGAAGAGACTCTAAGCTTTCTAAATATGTATCATTCATGAATTATAGTTGTGCTTAAGTTATGAAAGAACATCGATACTTCTCGGTTTCGTTTTTTCTGGGACGCACTGTATAGGAAATTTGTACCATTGCTGACTCGACCAGGTTAGAATTTGGTCCTCAGATTTTCAGTAGGTGAATGGGGAAATGGTTAGCATCATACAGCTAACGTGATCCCCTCTGTAGCAACCTCATAATCTAAAACATGAAATGCAATAATTCTATGTCATAGTATTTTTTTAATTTTGTTATAGTTTCATTTCAAAATGGCTGCGCAAAATATAAAAAGAAGAAAATATTATTTGTTGAAATATTTTTGAACGGATCATCTGAACTTGGCAACTGCACCATAATTATCTGCATAAATCGTAAATGTGGTATATGTGTAGATCTATATCAAAGTGAATAAACTCTCAATCGCCATACTGTATATAGTGCCTTTTGGAATGACACGAATTTGGATTTGGAACATTCTGGAATGAAACGTAATTTTGACCTTTCGAAATATTCTTAATTTTTTTTTAAATAAAGTGCATTATTTTGATTTCCATGTTTCAGATCCAAATTTCATCCGTTTGGAGCTATATAAAAAGGCCTAAACTCTGTGTGAAACGACATGTTATAATGCCCCTCCGGTTCTGAACAGATTATGTATTAATCTAAAAATCGATTTTGGTCGAAAGTGGATGTAGTACCTTTTTAAATTAAGCTCTTCATTTACAAAACAGGACTCTCTACTGGGGAGAGGGGCGTTCCGCTGTTCGAAGTAGCTCCTATGAGGGCCTGAATCAAAGGACAGTTTTCTCATCGGGTTCACTTAAACCCGATTTAGCCTTCAACACAGACGGTAAGATACTTTAATCTTAAGCCTGACGATCACTTTAAGACTTGACTACAATCCTAGTTGGAAGAATATTATTAGCATTCTACATGAACATTCAAACGTGTAAAATCTCAATAATCGAGGTTCTGAATTTTTGAAAATTATCGGGGAACTGCAAGCCTCTTTAAAGTTTAAAGTTAAAGCGGCTCAGAGTCGTAATGAAATTCATGAACAGACCTACGTGCTAAAACACGTATTTTCAAAATTAGTCTTCGAGCACGATTTTGCAATTTCTGTTACATTTTCAACTGTGTTTTGTTGTGGTGAAATAACTGCTATGCACGAAAGCTTCAAACTGGATTTATTCTAAAAAGAATTTAGCCTCCCAAGTAAACTGACCATCTTACTAATTTTTTGGCATACATTTACAATGTGAGCATTCCACTTCGATTCGGAGTTTACTGTAACACCAAGGTATTTTATATAATTGACCTGGTCAATAGAATTATTATGAATTTTCAGGTTTAGTGTCCTGTATCCGCCAAGCATCCTTTTTTCTTCTTTCAACATGCACTCTGTTTTGGAACAATTTATCTTTAGCACATTCCGCCCCATCAAACTTTGTTATGAGTATAATTAATTTTGCAGCACGTCTTGAGCCAAAATAGAGTGGCATGCCAGAAGAAGAAGAAGAAAGAGGGGGTTGAAGATGTTTCTATTGCCTTTGAGTTTCTTTCATTGTTTTTAAATTATCTTTGCGAATGCTTTAGGAAGTAGATTATACTGGTGTGAAAGTATATATTTGAAGACAATCGAAATGAAACCAAGAATAGGAGATGCGACCACACTCGAGAGCCTTTCCAATACATGTAGCGGCGTTGCATGGTCTGAAGGGGACTTGTACTGGACCTACGGTAGTCGAGATACTCTCAGCGTGAAGGACGGAGAGACGGATATTGTGCGTCTCATCCCTGTCAGTACATCATCGACGAAGGACATCTTTGTCGGCAGGAGAACAGTCGAAGGTATTTTTGAAAATGCCCGTTGGCACATCTGTGTCAAAGCCGGGCATGTACGTGGGTCAACCGCCTTTGGCAGTAGGGACTTTTAGATTTGCGTGGACTGATACGTGTGACGTCCATTCAAGGCAGTGCATTAAAAGGACGTCGATCGTAGCAATCCACGTTGTCGTTATGCAAATCTAAAAGTCCCTAATATACAGGGGCGGCGATTTCTGTTAATGACCAGGGGGGACGAAACGCGAATTTTTTTTACAAGGATGTTTTGCGAGGGAGCGTAGCGACCGAGCGAGATTTTTTTTGGCAATTTTATTAGTCTACATGCTGCACTCTTGGGCCTTCAGGAGCCTAAAAGTGTGTTGCAGTCATTATTCAGTATATGCTATACAATTTGTTTTGCACCTTTTCAAATTTCCAGGGGGGGGGGGGACGATCCCCCCTAAACAAATTGAGGGGGGACGTGTCCCCCCCCCCCCCGTCCCCCCGGGATCGCCGCCCCTGCTAATATACGCCTTGTGATTACTTTCCATGAAGGCGTGGTCTTAGCTGACGTATATAATGGTATCGTACAAAAATGTATGCACAGTGCAAAATGGATTTCAATCTACTTGAATTCAGCTAAGGTTTTCTTGTTATCGCAGGTAATGATACACAATCAAAATGGCATCTCGTACTGAACGAGCCATCGTTAGTAGGCAAAGCTCTCCAATTATTGTTGCCGCATAAACTAGGCATCGACATGCTCATGCGCCAAATATATTGGCCCGAATTTACAAAGTAGGTTTGTCGACAAACCTCCTTTGTGAATTCGGGCCATTATGTTTAATGAAAAAGTAGTCTGTGATGCAGTCCTATGTCACCAAATGACGCCTAGTTTGCAACGATTGGACGACTGACATTCTTATGTACAGCCCGTTGTATACGAGGAGTTTGTCTGACGTAGGACGGCGCTGGCGACTGGTATAACCTGGCGAGAGTGACGTCATACAAGATGTAATTGTAAAATGAATAATTCTTTTAAAGAAAAATCTATTAGTGGGAAACGGGCTATTTACATTCACGGGGTCTGTTTGATCTGCTAGCACAGACCCATATTTGACACATTTCCACAATTCCTAAAGCCTTGAGCAGAATCTCCTTATGTCAGTCGCATTATTCATACCATACAGAAGTCTCTTAGTATAGAGGGATTTTTATATTCAACGACTGGCAGGGGTTTGTGCCTGCATGCAAACTAGGCTTGCTTAAGCACATGACGCCTCGTGTGCACGGGGCGAAAGGAAGATGTTTTATTTATAATCAATCGTTAAATAGCACGTATGGATTCAACGATCAGATTTGTTATATCTAATTACAGGCCCTAGCGACGGAGAGTGCGACTTTGAAAAGATTAAATGTCGATGGCATTTCAAGAACTCTATGTCAAACGACTTGGATTGGACGAGACGGTCTGCAGAGCTAACTGCAAGTAACTCAACAGGACCAACTGTGGACCACACGACACAGAGCCGAAGTAAGTTATGAAGGGTTTAACATCTAAAATATACACATGATGATCGAAGTGCCGCATTTATTATCCGAACCCTCAAATACAGTAACATATAGGGCTTATTATGTTTAAAGTAGATATTCATTCATTTAAAAACTAACTTTATTTTCATTATTGCAAAGTTGAAACTTTGATTCGACAAGGTTATCTATTGCCTCACTCTAAACCCCGCGCATGGTTTTATTTTGATGAAAATTGCAGCGATACAAAAATAAAGGAATCTGTCGCTTGTAAACAAAATAAGACGCCATTGTATATTCAGCTGCACACACCGCGGTATGTTCGGCGTTTCAAGAGGCAACAAATGCCGTCCGTAATATTATTCCGGGGTTTTTTCAATTTGAAAATCTGGTTTCTTTTATTGTTAATTAAGCCATATCCTGTGTATTTACAAGCAAAAGATTTTAGTTATCAGAATCGGGTCATATCCCCTTTTGAATGGTTTGACATGCCATTACATCTATATACACGAAACTCATTATAATTTGAGAAATAATAGCTTTGCAATTATGTTCATTCTCTATGGGATGTCGTATGCTTGGGCAGTGTTGGTCCATATAGTGACGTCATTAAAACATCGTTATTTTTTCCGGCAAATCTCTCGTATATCCCAGCTGCTATGGAGGTGGTTGTATTTGTATTTTTTTTATAAATCACCCGATATGCAGTTGACCTAAAACTTGTACGATGGCCATCTGTTAGCTTACCAGTTTCTAGTGATACATTAGTTGACATATTTGTGATTTTCTTTGAATTTCACCTTTAATCGGGTATTCGCGTCGGGTCGGATTGTCGTGATACACGAACTTTCGAACACAAAGATCCGACGGCGAAAAAATGGATGGCACGAATTTAGCCGTAAAATATAGTGAAAGTTTTCATCAGCTAGATATAAAATAGATATATACGCACTTCAATACAATTGAAACACTGTATTTAATTATAAATGATTAATTCTTTCAATACTTTATTTCTTATTTCGTCAGATATCTTCTGTTGAGGTGTCGTGATATAGCGGTTTATTCACTTGACTCAAAATGGAGGAATGAGGGTTCAAATCCCAGTCCCCCACCGATATCATTTCGCAATTACATTAGACCACATTTGCCACTCTCCACCCATGTTTAAATGAGCATCTGGTAATTGTTGGGGGTAATACAAATTACAGGGCCACATGGAAAGCTGTATTTGTTGTGATGTGGCTACTCTGGTTAGACACTACCAACTCATTTCATAGTCATTATTATTTGCCTTTTATCGCTCTTTATCTTTATTAATCGAGGTATGTTTGTTTCTTCTTCTTTTTTAGCTGGTCAATACATGCTACTTAACACGAGCAGTCCGGCCAATTCGCCCGGGAACTTGGCATCCCTCATCAGCCCGCCAGTCAACGTCTCTGGGCCGGCACCTAAATGCTTTCGATTCTGGTACTACATGCATGATGTCACTAATGGCTCTCTCACGGTCTTCTTCCAACAAGGCGAGACCAGGTCCTCCCCGAATGGTCAGTCCACTGGTGAGACCAAACTGACCACGCTATGGTCCGCCTACGGCAGCCAACCCGACGAGTGGGTCGGCGCGGAGATCGAGGTGAGGGCTGCGGGAATCGGACACGTTCTCATCAAGGCGGTCGTTGGCGATCCAAGGCTGAACATCATCGGCATCGACGATGTCCACTTTGGAGAATGTCAGCAGGGTGAGTATTGTGCGAGACAGATGAAAAAACAGAAACATGTATTCCAGCCCCTTTATCTTGTAAAGCAAGCGAAGTAGCTGATTTGAAATGTGAGATGCATGAATGTCTTCTTGGATTCGATAGGTTGATCACCCTATTGGTGATCATAAAATGAGCATTATTATTAGGCTTTAGATAATTCTTGATGGGCAGATAAAGTAACTACAGACTGCCCAAAACCCTATTTCAAATTCTGTTTCGCATTTCAAAGATCATCCTCTTGTTATTATCATCATTATTAGTACGTAGTACTACTACTACTACTACTACTTTTATTGTAACATCACGATCGTCGTCGTCATCATCATTGTTACCAGTCTTTGATGTTGTTTTAGTCGTCGTTGTTGTTTCATCATCGTCATCATCACTATCATCATCGTCACAGACTCCAGACTGGTGTGTGAGGACTCTTCAATGACCGTATACCTGGACAAGGCAAGGCTAGGGATCTCAAGTCAGGATAGGGTTTCATTCAAGAATTCTCTCTGCCGAGGGGCTGAGTATGATGCAGATACGGTTGCTATTACAGCGCCCTACAATGGATGCGGCACAACAGTTAGCGTGAGTACATTAGAATATATACAAAGATCAATCTATTTCACGACAAGGATTACCACCGTCTTCATATATATTTACATATTAATTATTGATATACATATTTTCTGCCTTCACCTGCATGTGCCGAGCGATGCTAGTGACATTTCTATAAACCTCGCACCACAATTTTTCCTTTCAATCTCAGGAGAGTGATGACGTCATCCTTTTTTCCAATCAAGTCAACGTCATGATTCACTCGGATATCCGGAGCTCCGACGTCTCTATCCGGGTGAACTGTTCGATGAGTCGGACCTATCACGTGGCAATGACGTACTTGGCGCATGCGTGGATCAGATACATCAGGGAGGATGGCTACGGGAATTTCACGGTTCGCATTCGTCAGTATACCAACGTTAAGTTTGAAGATGCATACCCGGGTGATATCTTCCCCCAACAGGTGGGCATTAGAGCTATCATTTGATTTTCTCATCCTGAAAACAAACGAAATATTTCTGATTTGATAGTCGAAACATGCCTCTATACATGTTTCTTATAACACACGGCACAAATTCAAGCGCAATGGGGTAGCGTGGGTCCACAAGGCCTCGTGACTCGGGCTATTTTCCACGCCAATCAGCGGCTGAGATGAATCTAGCCGGCGACGAAGAGAGACTAGATACCCGGGGTGAACGCGCGATCGAGTGGCGTTAGCTACGAGACCTTTTGGATTCTAGCAATTACTGCTCTGCAGGAAGTATTCATAACTTTGGATTTATTGACCATTTAGAACGGCCTAAGTTAACAATTATAAGTGAGATAATTGGACTTTCCCTGTATATAAAATGAACCAGTCAAACTCGTTTTCGTTCCATATTATATAGGTTTTAGCCACTGACCTCTACCTATGGTAGAGGTCAGTGGTTTTAGCCCGTACGTCGTTCGTACTACGTATAGTTTACTGTGTGCGTGTGTGTGTGTGTGATTGATAATATATGCTGACGTCACGCGATGACACGTCCGCTGATTGGACGCTACCTTATTGGTAAAGAAATCTAATCGGAAACAAAGGTTAACATAAGAAATCCAAACCAGATTACTAAAGGCCTCCTGGCTGACGCTACTCGCTCTAGGGTTCACTAGGGTTTTCGGAAGTTGAGAGGCATCGGCATGAAAAGTGAGCTAAAATGGCCACGGATTAGGCGGAGGGTGAGGGAGGGGTACCCGATATGCTAGAGCGCTACGTATTGATTTATTCATTTCCACTTTTTTTCAACTGTTCCCTGTTCGTTCCCACAATGCCTCTTCACTCAAAGTATTGTATTACATGCTGGGGCTTATAACTAACGAGCTATATGGTTTTACCTGACACTCCTTCATATCCTGATTTCCAATTTTACTCAGTCCTTATATTACAAGTAACTACAACGACACGCGCTATATTAGAATCCACCATTGTTATTAGTCGATGTATCATTTATTCTTTTCTCGTTAACTTTCCGTAATTCACTTCTACTCTCGTGACTATTTCTTCTATTTTCAACACGTGCTCATGTGCAGAGGCGGTGATCCAAATGGACGGGGGGGGGGGGGGCTATTTCCCTTGAATTTGTTTGGGGGGGGGGGCTTCCCCCCGAAAAAATGAACAAATGCACAAATGAACAATTGACTAGTACAAATGCAAAAGTCTTCTCGCTCGGTCGCTACGCTCCCTCGCATAATATCCTTCAAAATGTACAGGTAAATATTTTAGAAAGTCTTTATTCCGGTGGTGCACCGTGATACCAACGAATACAGATTTCCCTCGCATTTAGTCACCCCTCCGGTCATGAAAACAAATCGCCGCTCTGCTCAATCATGTGACCTTTTAACAATGGTAATGTCCAAGCGGTCATTTACATTTTTGTTGTAGCACGATCGCAGAAACTTTGTTTAAAACCTGACATCGTTTCAATTGCCGTGTGGGCCACATTTTAAATTGAGCGAACATATATTATTGAAATTTTCTTTACTTGATTTTCGAATGTCCTAGGAATCATGTTGTTCGTTTTATTTTATTGTATTTATTTTAAATAAATCTCTCTGTAGGTTGAAATAGATGATAGGATTTACATGGCAACCGAAATGGTCACTATCAAAGACGTGGTAGATACGACACAAAATGCTCGATGCTGGGCTACTCCATCACGTGACCCTTCCGACCCTGTAAGCCGTGACATCATAAATGATGGGTAAGCTTGTGATCTTGTTCATTGGTGACGTTTGAAAAAGAATGCTGATTGTTATTATCATTTAATTTTTTTTTTTATTTGTACAACATTTTATTCGTATATTATTATTTGTATTATTATCATTTTTTTTTATAAAGGGGGGGGGGGTGTACCCGCACTCCTTTCTCAAGCATTATGATGGATATTACGATAACGTACATGATCTAGATTATTTCAACTGAAATGGGAACGTAGCAAGAAAATGTTACATAATTCGAACACAAATAGCCAAATGTTTACTATTTCGCTGTCACATACAGCAATAAGTACATGTATGTTAGCAAAATCACGCCTCGGGCGCAATTCGTTTAACTTGAATAGATACTGCAATATGTTTTTTTCCTTTTCCACAGGTGCCCCATAGGAGATGGGACCAAAGTCTACACGCTGTTGACGCGTGGCCTGCAGGCTTTCTCATTCAAAGCCTTCTCCTTCTCCCGGGATGAGAATCTTGTAAGATATCTAATTTTGATAATCAACGTGACAATATAGAAAACATCACTTTTAAATGCTCATTTAAAAAAGTCAATGTTCGTCCTTCTTTATCAGATAAAACCATGTGTGATTAATGCATTGTAATTTCTCACTGATTGTGTTTATTTCATCTTTCTTTTATTTTTGGGGAGGGTCACAACCTCCTCCCCCAAATGAAATAATGTGACCCCTTCTTAACTATAGGACGCAAAAAAGACCTTGAAAATCTCATACATTTTTTCTTCTGTTTTGCTTGTAGGGTAAAGGATCACTTTAAAATATGATAATTTTTTGCTTGTTAGAATTGTATTCTTCTTTTTAACAAAAACGTGTATCCGCACCTACAATACTTAATGATTATTAATTTATATTTCTATTTTATTACTTTGCTTGTAGATCTACGTTCATTGTGACCTCATCATCTGTCAAGATTCAGACCAATCAGCGTGCTCCTCAAATTGTAGTCATTCTCGTGCTGTACGAGAAGCTCGCGATACACGAGACTCTGGATTTGGCCCATATACAGTTTCACAAGGACCATTTATGTACAAGATAGATGCGACTCGTCAGAAAGGTACTTATTTTTCTGATACCTGTTGCATACACACGAAGCGTTTTTTTCGCCGGTCATGGTCGGTAATTAAACGCTAATGTTTTAGTTGGTTGTTGCAATTAAATTGTGTTCGAGAGAGATGATTTAAAAAAAAACTATTTGGCTTGTCCGAGAATTCGAAGCGATTAACTTTTGTAACAACCTCTGTTAGTTTGCAATTCTATTTAACGTAGTATCCTGTTTATTGTAGTATTGTTGACTATTTGTATACCCTAATTAAGTTTACAAGCAAAGCACCAGAGAAATCTGTTAAACTTAAACCCATTTTTTGTATTATTTCAATTTTCCTTTTTAGATGGTGCGTCCATGATTGTCATTCTTCTATCAGCCCTCGTCTGTACCACCGTTCTCTTACTGGCAACCATCTTCATAGGAGTCTTCATCTACGCGCGAAACCGAATGGGGATGAGATGTAATTGATTAATCACGTGATCACATCACGTGATAATTAGACGTGTTTCTCTGAGTGTGCTACGGATCGTGATGTTAGAGTTAGATATAAAGTAGAAATAAGGTCGAGTACTGCTCATGCGATTAAATTGTACAAGAAACTGAGTGGAAGCATTGATGAAAGGTCGATTGGGAATGCATGTATACTGTGCGGTTTTGAAATGATCAGAATGAAAAGGAATTGTCTCTATCGTGCTAAGAACCCACACTGCACACACAAAATTGGTATATGGGACTACAGACATTATGAAGTATGATCAAAATAAAGTTTAGCTTTTTCTATTCATAATCCAATACATAGATTTCTAATCAGATCGATCCTGTCCAGGGGGGCGGGGGGAGGGGGTCATTTCTACTATAATATTCTTCAAACTGTCATACTAAGAATGAGAAGGTTAAATTTTGTTTAGGCATGTTAGGATGCGAGGTCGATGTGATTGAAGTATTTTTGTGTGCTTGTATATTTACCCCACCCCTGTATACCGCATTTTTATCAACTCTTCATTATACATCTATATTACTTTATATTATAAAACTGTACAGCGCCTTAAGAACCAACTCATTTATGACTTACATATAAGCACACAATAAGCCAACATAATGATCCAGGTGCCTAAACACAGGCAAATGGGATAGGAAGGGAGGGATGGGGGTGTTCTTACTTTGCAGTCAGTAATAATTTACATTGGCATTGTAAAAAGGCAAACAGCTTTTTGTGTTACACATTTTATCAGTCGTTGAATGAAACGTTAATTTTGTTCGGTTTATTTTCTTTCCATGGAAATGTATGGCCTCAATAATATCAGAATAATTTTATTTAAAACGTTTTACATACCACATTGGATATACCTATATATATTCCCTGGACTGGACATTATTAGTCTAGCTTTTAACTTCTTATTATATATTATAACTTCATTAATAAATTGAACAATCACCCAAGTATGTTTGGTGTCTTTACTTTAGTGCAATTGAATTTATCATAATCGTTGGCCTACTGGTGTAACAATCTAAACAGGTCTTGGCTTTAAATATTTGTGGTTTTGTTTCTCCAGAGTTCTCATTTTACTTAGATGAATCCTGATTTACTCCCCAATCGCATTCATCTAGACATAATATACACACATACCCGCACGCACACACGCACCCACGGGCCCCGCCCATCCCCTACACAAACACAAAACATTTGGTCATGCTACCCCATTGATTCGAGCAACCAATCAAATGTTTCACCGACCGTCAACAAATCAGACGAGCCAAGTTCTTACTTCGTTTCCGATCGATAATGCGATCGAAATCGAAAGCAATCATTGTCGTCTGCACCACGTAACGGGGACAAACATCTTTCAATGCAGCTGATGAATTAAGATTTGTGTGGGGCATGGGCACACGAGCTCAAAATTAATTCACAACTCGGGCAATTTATGGCAGCCGCCTGTTTCTTCTGATACGCCAATGTTAAATTTGCTTCTGCTGCCATGTTTTTAATAAAACATTGATGGATTGTATTATTTGGATGTTTTTTGGACTATGTTCGTCAATATTCAATGATTTGAATTACAAACTACAAAATACAGATGGTGACCATGATTTAATTTGCATTGAGGAGGTAAGTTGGTGTCTCTAGCAAAATTTCATTAACAAAATTATTTCAACATTGTTCGTTGTAATAGATCATGGGTTAAAATTTAGGTATATTATCTATAAACATTGAGAAGTTGCATCTCATAAGTGCTTGATGAACTGATATAATCATCATTTCGATTGAGCTTTCACTTTCGATAAAAATCTACTCTTGGTAAGAGCAAAATTATACTGACTTTCAAATTAGGCATATCGCTCTTAAACTAACCAGTTACTGTACAATTGTTTTCCAATATATTTTTTGGACTGAATATTTTACGATTTAAGCTTATATCCAAAGGGGCGTCTCAAATATTGTCACCCTATTTCACACCTTTTTCAAATCTTATCTCCAATTTAATTTTTGATTTTTTTTTTCTTTCTTTCTTTTCTTTAAATCTCCCAGATCAAATAAATGTAATATCCCCTGTGAAGACATGCTATTTCTTTGAAAATTAATTTGAATCAATCCTTAATCAAATTTAGTCAGGGCTTGAGATGCTGGTCGAAGAGCTTCGCTTTTTTTAAGTTAACAAAATACAGAGTTATTTTTATTATATATTTTTCATCGTAATAATAGTTAAAATTAGTTAATCCACATAACGTTATAAAGTTACTTACCATTGGTATTCAAGATTTTACAGACGCCGTCCCCTTTAAATCCCGAAACCATAATATTATATGACTTTATTTTTTCAATCTAGATTCTACAAAGTTTCTGATAAACGCAATATTACTAGCACGCCCTTCATAGAACTCATCGTAGCACACCATGTCATCATCACGTCGTCTTACGAGTAACTTCCCGAGCGGGAACGACCGATACCAGTCCCTCCAGCAGATCAGCAGCAGGATCCTGAGCCGAGCTGGAACCTTGAACAGCATGGAGGAGCGGGAGCTCACCAGGAGAAGACAGCAGCTGGAGTACAAGGAGGGACTCAAGGAAGCGCAATACCAGTCCGTCAAGAAACGCCTCTGTGATAACCTCAAAGACCACGTCCTGTACAAGCGAGCTCTGCGAAACAGCTTGAAGAAAAAGTCGAGGTCTGAAGTTGACCTGCGAACATCATTCGACGTTGACCCATTTAATGAAAAACCTGACAACTACGATGACGACGATGATGATGATGATGAAAGATCTATGTTTGGACGTTATTGTGGACGGACGCATCCGCGTTTCACAGATGCCATGCTGGATCTCGATTATAAGATGAGGAATGGTGAGAAGGAGAAAACCAAAAAACTCCTGGGTATATCCAGAACGGAAAGCGACATCCTCATCGACCGCAAACTGACCACGGATCAGATTTTAAAAGCAGATCATCTTCCGTTGTCGCAGAGGTTGACCCTGACGAACACGGAGAAATTCCAATCCGTTATCAACCGAACGCGCGCCTTTTATGTCTTGAAAAAAATGCGGAACAGAATTGCTGAAAGAAAGGAGCGGGAGAAAGGAGTTAAGATTCGTAAAAGCTCGAAAGGTGAATTCTGCACTCAAAATACGAAGACAGATCTTCGATTGGAAACAGATCTTCTAATTGAGTAGATAGCAATAACTCTCGTTTTTATTTCACTAGTTTATCGGCATTGTAAATGGATGTGTTTAGCCATTCGCGACAGTTTTGTGTGATATGGAATTTGCTGCGAATTTATTGGGATTTTTTTCAAAAACATAAAAAACGTGTGTTTTCTGGTGGTATGTGGTGCGATGGCTCAGTGGTAGATCAGTGGTCTTGTACTAACCGGGAGGTCCGGGTTCGAATCCGAGTCAATACGCTCGTGCCCTTTGGTAAGGCATTGGTCATCATTACCAAGTTCCTCGGTGAGTATTTACAGCCATCGGTCCCGTGGTTGTTTACTTACAAGCATATACATGCTTTCTTGGCAATCAGGAAAGAACGAATGTGACAGATGGCTCCTATTCAGCAAAGAAGGAACTGCCACAAAACTTGTCTTTTAGACATTTCCCCCTCTCATTTTGACTGTATGAGGACTTGATTTGTAATTGGAGTGGGGTGACGTTCTTTTAGGGCTTAACCAAGAAAGGAATAATTATGCGATAATAATAGAGGCAAAAGTCCCGATAAAATTCATTAAATGTCTTGGTAGAGAATGTATAATGTGAAGATGAGATTAACTTCCTTAAATTTGAATTGTCTACTTTGGTAGTCAGGTTGGGGAAATCAAAGCAATATGGTTGCTTTGTTCTAAATTTTGGAACTTTTATTTCAAATGAGACTTCACTCTGAACCCATTTTAAATTGTCATTAATTTTTTTTCTGTACATGACTTCTAACACCGCGGTATGGTAATTTTGGGTGACCAGGTAAAGCAATGCATTATCTTTCTTTCGATATTTATGATATAAATAGATCTTAAAATGAGAAAGGAACAATTTTTCCTAAACCTTTAAAAACCTTTTGGAAAAGAAAACTAAGAAATAACCCAAGATCAAACTTTTATATCATAATAACAAGGAATAACTCATTGCATTTCTTCCAGAATGATTAAAGTCATATAGATCTGCAAACCAACAGTATAAATATCATGGTATGTCATTAAGAAATAAAGGCAACGTTTATTTTTGTTCTTCATTTTTTTGAAACTGACTTTATTAATCTTGTCATGGTGCAAAACGTTTTGGCACAATGTTTAGAATGTTTCCAAATCAATGATCCCTTCACATAAACAGGAATTCCTAACTTATCCTTTTTATTCGGCTTTATTTATCTTTTTACGGTGTAAAACATTTTGGCACAATGTTTAGAATGTTTCCAAATCAATTAAACCTTCACATAAACAGAAATCTGCAACTTGAAGAGATAACAACTTTACATGATGGTCATAAGTAGAGATAACAGATTTACATGATGGTCATAAGTACTTAAAAGAAAGGGAAATGAGTCATACTAATTTGTTTTAACTATTATGAAATTGATGCAGATCTTGTTGCTGGGATTGATGTGTTCCCCAAATCTGGAGTTAATCAACATTTACTGTCAGAACAATTACTTCCTAAAATTAGTTTAATAATGAGTCAACATTGCAATTGTCATTTTTTGTCAGTGTTTTGATTAAAGTACGAAAATTAGCAAGAAATCATCTTCAGTGTCAATCTATTTGTGATATTCGTGTATCACATCTGTGGATACAGAACCCTTTGGATTGGGTCTCTCTCCAGAATAGTTTTGGGAACTACGACATTTTTTTGAAATGGAATTGACGATTTTGAGATAAAGAGCGGAGCAGAGGGCGAAGGGAAAGGGAGAGGGGATAAAATAAAAGAGGAGGGGTGCTGAAATGGAACGAGAGAGAGGGACGTGGAGTTATAGTTTTGCAAATCGAATGAGATATAGAAAGGTAAATTTAAAGGTTTAATCATTGATTTATCATGCTTTATACATATGACATTTACGAAGGTTAATACAGGTTTTGTAGCCCAACTATTCAACAGCACATTGTTGTGAAAGCTCATAACTACCTATTCATAGTTATTTATGATTATATCATCATTATCGTTATCATTATTATCATTATTATTCTTGTTATTGTTAGTGTTATTATTTGTCTGAATTACCATGAAATGATATGAGAGGCTTTGAAAAACAACGCAAAATCGTATGCCTTCCTTCTCAGTGAAATTTTAAAAATATTTGTTACGTCCATCAGATCCATGAAATCTCTATAAAGTTCCCCAAGTGCTGATTCAATTCATCTGACAGTGCTTGTGTATCTCCAACTTGAAGTTCACATTATGTCAGCACAAGCACGCTTTACAATGTTAACAAATGACCCCGAAAACTGTCAAGTTGACCTCGGTGAATATCACTTCGAAGAAAGAGAAAATCGACCAAAGAAATCATTCAACCTTTGTTCTATCGTGTCTTTCTTTCGCTTGGCTCTTGTAAGTTCTTCCAATTGGAGAAGTAACAATAGCAGACGTTAACGACTACACGCTCCCGCGATTGATCGAACCAGTGATCGATATCACGGATTGTCTGCCACTTCGACACTGATGGATATGCATTGTTGTTGGACTTCGATGTAGTGGCGGAACGAAATCAGCGAAATGTTTTAAATGCAGGGGACTTAAGCCGACTTTAAATAACTTCTTTCTAGTCGACGTCTCTGTGTGTCATCCATAGAGATCCTAAGTTTAATGTTCTTTTTTCTGTTTTTGTTGTTGTTATTCTTTCTTTTTACCGGTAAATAACACCACCTTGACCACCGTTTCCTGTAAAGTTCTTTTCTTTGTCACCTTTTTAAAACGTAATATTTGATTTGCCTGTCTTTTTTTAGGAGAATTAGTTAGTTCCTAACTTTCTCAAGACTGTCACTTGGATTTTTTGTTTTGTTTTTGCTTCTAAAAATTCCCCGTTTTCTCCTTTGGCTTGCACTCTCGTATTTATAACTTTTGTTATTCAAATTTATCCTTAATCATTTTTTTTTTCTTCAAATCTTTATTCCTTTCTTATATTTTTTTTATAACAAATGCCAATTTCCAATTTCAATTCATTGTAATTATTACCATTTTACGGAAAATTACAATCAGTTTCTAGTTGTTCTGTATATCTCTTTCCCCCCCCCTCTCTCTCTCTCTCTCTTTCTCTCTATCTTTCTCTATCTTTCTCTCTATCTTTCTCTCCCTCTCTCTCTCCTAGTGTCTCTTTCTGCCCCGGCCGGTCTCTAACTCTTTATCTCTCTGTTTATCTCTCTGTCTCTCTCTTCCTCTCTCCCACTCCCAACTTCTCTGCAATACATCTCCAATTTCTCTCTCTCTCTCTGTCACTTGTATTCTATATCTCAATCTATGACATACCACACTTTTCATTAATATCCCACACTATGCGATAATGAGTTATCGACAAACTAGATATACAAAGAAGTGCTTCAAAAGACATTGACGTCATCGATACGCAGAGAGCGTTTTCTCTCTTTCATCTCTCCCCGAATTTTTGACATGTAAATCAATAATATCAATTATAGCATCAATATACCAAACTGAGCGTTCCGATCGACAGAATCTATAATTTGGGACATCGTCTCCACCTTTAAATTCAACCTAACCAAACGGACTATTTACTATTTTTATAGCTTTATTTTTTAGTCGATATATAAAAGTCCATTCAAGACTCGTGAGGGGTTGGGACAAGTAAAATTTACTCTTTAGTTTTTCACATGATTTCGAAAATAAGGAGGAGGGATTTTATATTATATCCTTGATATTTTTCTTGAATAAACAAATTCGAAGTAGGTAAATTTTGACACATATGCCTATTCATGAATTGCATTTAATTTGTAACTGTACTAAGATGGAATAACTCTATTTCAATTATCTTTGTTATTACATGACCTCACATTATTACTGGTTTTCCTTTCACAAAGAAAATATCAAATAACAAAAGAGGATTGAGGAGGGTACGAGAAACTAGTAAATATGTCTTTTAGTTAGCTATACACAGATAAGTCTGATATGAAACGTTCCAAAGTTAGCAACGAAAGCTTTCGATAACAAAGATTACGTTACAGTACGATATTTTGTGACATCCAAATCGTTCAAAATTACTGATTGATAAAAAAAAAGGCATGAGAATCCTTCTCCCAGTTAGAACAAGTTTGAACCAGTTACTTGGAAACAGTTGGAACTAGTGACCTAATAAATAATGAAAAGCAAGAGTATATTGACGTTAATTCAAAACTCTTATCCACTTCAAATAGGAAATATCAGTCAAAAGTAATACAATATAATTTAATGAAAAAGAATCACAAACATGGCGAATCAAAATGTAATGTTATTAAAAAGTGCAAAAATATATAATTTGTTCATAGAACTGCTTATAATTTATAAAATACGGTTGAATCATTTATGAGAAAGTTGTACTTTCTAAAAATGTGATTATAATGCCGACCTGACATTTTAAAGTAATCTCCATAAGACTCTATAATCTCCCGATGATAACAGAGGCGAAGACTGTGGTTGTATTATTTTTTCTTTCATTATTATTCATCCTAAGCGATTGAATGAAATGAACACCTAACCCAATTATTGATTTTATTTTGATTATGAATAACGTTCATCCCCATTTTTGCTTCAAGTCTTCCATTTCGCCCCTTGGCATTTGCACTTAAATGCAAGTACTTACGTCACAATACAATCTTCTTTAAAAATTAATGGAGAATTCTTTCGACATCATTCTTATCGGTTATCCATCCGGAATGAAATAATTGCCGCTATGCAAGTACTGTACAAGCGCTGCACTAGAACAGTCGTTCTCTCGTTTTATTATGTATACGATAATGTCTATTGAGTGTATAAGTGGTCGACATCTCCCCTCTCATATTTTATGGTATAGGATATTCAACCAAAATGTGTTTAATATTCGATTTGATAAAAATTTAAATAGGTTATTTATTACGGTAATTTTCTTTTTTTCAAATCAAATGTGATAATATCTATACGTATACACATTGTAATATAAAAGCTTAAATTATTTCCAACGGTTTCATACGACGACGACATGATTTCAGCCTTTCAGGTCCATTTCGAGTTTGTTTTTGGATCAGCTGATTGGTTGCACTGACTAGTTGAAAAGCAAATATTTATTAACATCAACATAAAATGAAGATATAAAGATGTCATCAATAAGTGCTAAAAAGTATATCATGCTTACAATATACGTTTTATACATCAACATTGTAAAATTCAAGATTATGTAATGATCTACTCTCTCACAGTCTCGAACACTTATTCTTTTATTTGGTAAAAATATATAAGGAAGACAAAACTTCCCCTCTGTTCATTCAATCTCATATAATAATGGAGGATATTAATTCAACAACCAGAGTTGAACGGAAATATAGATTAAAATACAAATATTACTGAATATATAAAAAACAATATTTTTCGTATAAAGATACTCCATACATCCTCTAGAATATTTCCATATATGAGTAGGAAAATGAGAATGGAGATGACTACATTAGAAAAAGGGGTAAAATGCAGACCGTGGGTATTACCTCAGCATGTCGTTCAGTGGTCTGGAGAAAACTATGACAAATGAGACCTTCATGGACATGGACTCAACGTACAGGAGATTGTCAAATACATCTCACAATAAATCAGTGTGCATACCGCCAATACGTGTCATCATTATAGTACAAAGAATTTGCTGTTCGGCTTAAATTCTCATCGAAAGAAGGGCCATACACGCTATGAGTAGAACTTGGAAGGGAGCAGCGAAAAATTTCTGTGGAGCCTGTGATGAAGCACGAAGTGGAGAAACGTCTGTGAAATGAACAGGGAAATTACATTTTGTTGAATGAAGATCGTGCGATGAAAAGTGCAGCGGCTTTTGCAATCATGTTTATTACCAGTTATACCAACGCTAATTACAGCACCGGTGCCAATACCATTGCTAATTTTATTTCCAAATAACTACCAACTGCATTGGCATCGTATACCAATACCAATACTAATATTAATACCATGGCCAATACCGCTTCCAATCCCGATGTTTATAAACCAATACCAATACCAATGCCAATACCAATTCCAATACTAATCATAATATCATTGCCAATATCAATACAAATGCCAATACCAATAAAAATGCCAATACCAATACTAATACTAATACCAATACCAATACCAATACCAATGCCAATTACAATGCCAATACCAATACCAATACCAATACCAATTCCAATACCAATACCAATACCAATACCAGCCATGACCAATACCAAAACCAACAGTGTACATATATTCCGACACTAAAACTAGTTCCAATGTTAACATAATTAATACCAATACCAATGCGAATATGAATACCAATACTAATACCACACCATTACCAATCCCCCCCCCCCCCATTAAATAAAATTTCAAAAAAAAAATGAGAAAATATACCTGGGGATGGGTCGATGCAGACGTGACCACACCCATTACTGCAGCATTTGAAATGACCAGGGCAACCAGCATCGTTGTTGCAGTCTTCCACGCAGAGTCCTATTGTGTTAAAGAGGACCGCCGGACACTCTCCCGCCTTGGTGACTGCAGAGAAGGGCAAAAATGTTGTTCTTTTTAATGGCTAAAATTATCATATTTGGGCATGAAATAGCAATCAGGGAGACAGGAATAGAAAATGCGTCTAGATACATGGAACATTGACGGAAGCGATTCATAAAAATACTTGCGGAAGTTTATACATAGCTACAAAAAAATATGAGGAAAAAGATAAATTATAATGTAGGCTTATAGTGCACGAAACTGGCAAAGAAAACATTATGTAACGATTGTTTAATAAAGAAATTCATTACATTTGAATTGAACGATGATCGGTTAGCGGATGACTATTTAATTTCATTTAAAGGAAAGTAACTTTGTGTTGTAATAGTCATCGAATGAGAGGATATATAATGTCTAGGTCATAGGTAATCAACAAAATTAAAACATGTGAAAAGCTGCGAGTTTATGGTATGATTTGTTAATCTACTCAGAATTCAAATTCATTTATGTCCAAACAAAAAGCCTACCAGGAACCGGGGCGTTACAGGTCATGCCGCAACCGTTATGGCAACACTTCTTATCTTCCGTACAACCGTGGTCATGCTCGCACTCGTTGACGCAGATTCCGAGAGAATCCGAGTTCGTTTGGTTCGGGCACATCCCCGGTTTCGGTGAGGGTCCTAAGAAGAATAAACACTTGTATTGAACACGTTTCCTTTACGATCGGCCGTATGTAATTTGTATCTACTATTGTTTTATTCATGTAATGCAAGCAAGTAAACCATTACAAATATGTCATCTCCGAAAGAGACAAAATGCGAAGATTAATTGTAAACTTACTTCAAAGACGTCGAATGCAAGCCGTCGATAGGGTCGGAGGAGCACACCAAAACGTAAAAAGGGCAAATAAATTAAGTATTGTAATGCTTGCAAGAAATGTAGATAATGTCGTAGACTATGGTTACTCAGCAGCACAATAGTATATATCCAAGACCCCCATTCCCCGTCCTATCGGATGATTGAAAAAAGGAACAGGAAAAAAAAAAGAGAACAGAGGGGAAAAGTGTGGAAAAAAAAATCGTGATCCCACCCCTCGGGCGCCCTACACTAAAAATCGGTTGCCTTCGCATTAGATTCACCGTGCCCCCTCCCTCTCCCATGATGCAGTGCTCCCCCTGCCAATGGTTAATTGCTAGACCCGTGCTATACCACTGATTCCGACCCCAAGCACGGCCCAGTATTAATTTTGAGTATGCTCCATGAATTATTATCATCCATGAATACAGGGGTCAGCTCACAATTAAATGGATGCTCACCTGGTTCAACGCAAGATAGTCCACATCCGTTGGAACAGCATTTGTTGTCCCCATCACAATTACCATCATGTCCGCACATGTTAACACACGTACCAAACACGCCATCGCGCACCACGGGGCAAGTACCAGCTTTAACTGAAAGGGGTAGATGTGAGACTTGTTAAAGCAAGGTCGGGAAGAACGGGAGTTGTCAGAAGATTTTCATTTTTTCATTTTATCATTTTATAGTTATTACTTTCAAACAATCAACAAAAGGCCTTTTAAAGGGAATTAGTAACATTGTTCAGATGAGAGAAAATGGTGCTAAGGCAGTGACGTCAATGCTAGATGTACAATTAAAGATAATCTAAAAGTTTGTGTGAAAACGGACCATTATTAGTGATATTAGTAATATATTATTACTATTCAATTACATTTTAGGTGAATGTAAATCGTCACAACGCAATGAATTAGCTATATATACCATTACAGATATTTAAAATATAATTATGATGTCCAAAGTCATTTGCTTGACTGTGTACATTCCTAAATCTTAAAGCCAACACGATAACAAATCGCAAAACTTCTTTATATTATAACCTATACCATCATATCAATGGTTAGTAATAATTTTAGACAATGTAGAACTCTTCTGAATTTAACTTAGGACACCTTTCGGTCCAGTAAATGAAATATACAAATACTGTATAGCTATTTCTTTCCTGGGTGCCTCGTAATAAATATTAAATTCAGCTGTTACAATTTTAAGAATGCAGGTAGGATAGAATCGTACGATATAAAAGCTGTTGATATGTCGGTGATTACTCTCACAGCCTAATGGGTCTTATATTGCAACCATGCGGTAACTGATGGATGGATGAGATTTCAATATTCTAGTAAACTGGGCAGCGTTTCACAAAAATCGTCTAATACAAGTGCGCCGACAAGCCATTGAAGTGCGTGTAGTAGATTTAACAAGTACGGTTTCAATGGGATGACGGTGAACTTGTACTTGAGACAGGTTCGTGAAACGATGCTCTAGTTTGTACCTGGTTCTACAACGGCATCCATGCACACGTGACCGCATCCGTTAGAACAGCATTTTTGATTGGCTGAGCACGATCCGTCGTCAGCACAGCCCTGGATGCATATTCCCGCACTGCCCTGGGGAAGTAGGTTCACGGGGCAAGATCCCGGATGTAAAACTACAGAAGTGAAAATTGAAGAATGGTTGATCTGACAATCTAGAACACCTCAAAAGTTACTTGTTTCAGAAGATGTGTTAATTTAGACTTTATTGGATGAACCTGCACATCTGATTTTTATAGCCCCATACAAAAGATTTGAATAATGATAATCCTCATTATTGGGCCTATCATCATAATCATCAACATAATTATTATCATCATCATCTTCATCATCATTATCATCATCATCATTTTCATCATCTTCATCACCATCATTATCAGCATCATCATTATCATCATCATCATGATCAGCGTTATAATTATCCTCATCATCATAAATATCAACACCATCATCATCATCATCTTAATCATCAACATAATTATCATCTTCGTCATCATTATCTTCATCATCTTAATCATCAACATAATTATCATCATTTTCATCAACATCATCACCATCATCGTCACCATCATCATCACCATCATCATCATCATCACCATCATCATCACCTTCATCATCTTAATCATCATTATCAGCATCATCACCATCATCATCACCATCATCATCTTAATCATCATTATCAGCATCATCATTATCTTCATCATCTTAATCATGAACATAATTATCATCATCAGCATCATCACCATCATCACCATCATCATCTCTATCATCATCACCATCATCATCATCATCAACATCATCGTCACCATCATCACCATCATCACCATCATCATCATCATCACCACCATCATCGTCACCATCATCACCATCATCATCACCATCATCATCATCACCATCATCATCACCATCATCATCATCATTAACCATCATTATCATTATCATCATCTTCATCATCATCATGATGGTATTACATCCGTCATCTCACCTGGTGGAGTGTAACACGAGCAGATACTACAACCATCTTCGTCTCGGAGGAACCCGTTTTCACAATACATCATGCACATCATTTCTGGGCAGCTCACTGCTGTAAAACAATAAAGGACGACACCAAAAAGTGAAAGAGTTTTAGTCATCCCTGTCGCATGAATGACATCTCAGAGTTTCCATAGTTCATAGAAATAGGATTTACAACTATTGCCTTCTTGCCCAACCCCCTTTCTTTGATTAATTTATCCTATACATGTATAGTTTGCTGAGATCCAGAAAGGTATTAACTCTTGGTACAATTTTTAGGAGTCACGATAAAGTGGAATTAACTAAAATAAAAAATGGCTTGAAGTAAATTGACCTGAACTAAATTTACGTAAAAGGTTTGCTTGAGATTAAAAAGGAACCCAGGGGTAAAGAATAGGGGGTTAGAGGGGTCTATACTACTGGAATGGAAGCATGGCACTGAATTAACTTACAACTTACTAGAACGACTAAAAGTGACCGCCGTAAACACAAATGAATAAAAGTGTTTATCAATTCAATAGACTCATAATAAATTTGTGATTTTTTTTTATCTAATTGATTTTAATAATTGTGTGTTACTTACGAGATTGGCAGCGGCAGACATCACAACCGTTCTCGTCGTGTTCAAACCCGTTCTCACACCACATGTTACACATAATTGGAGGACAAGTCACTAAAGGAAACGAAAATAAAAAAATTAAAACCTGGTTCTTATCTGGCATACATTTACGTTTAGACATTTAATAATTTACACTCTTGAGCACACTCATGAAGATAAGGTAAAAACTGAGTGAGAAATGGAGAGGGTAATTTGTTGACCAAGAGGGAGAGACACACACACGCCCGCGCACACGCGCACTCACACCAAACAAACACACCAAACAAACACACACGGGGGCGGCCGGGGAGGCTATTAAGGCGGTGAGAAATTATACAGACTACAAAAAATACAATAATTATTGACCATTTTAGAAAATATAAATAACCGTATAAGCTATGACAAAATGAACGTATGAATATAAGTAAAAGTAAAATACAATGATTCCCGCATCATCGAACGAATTGAAACATATCACAAGTTTTCTTTGTTGAAGTCACGCAAGTTAGTAGTACGTTAAAATGGGCATCACTGGATTATTTTGTTGTTATCGTTGGGGCTTGTTTGTCTGACCAAATTACTTAAACAGTAGGATTTTTTTTCTCCATCAGGCAAAAATTTAATAATAAAAGGGGTCATAAGAGATGGTGTGGTATTCAAATTTGCCAACAGATGATCACATATTTTATCAACAAATAAAAGAAAGAAAAAAAGGAGAAAGAATGTCAATAATTTGTCCGACAGCACGAGAAAAGGTCGCCTGTGCCAACCGCAAAATTTTGTGGGCGGGGAGTGGCACATCCACCCCTGTACAGTGGCGCTCCTAGATATGTTTAAGCGTACTGTTAAAGGTACTATGTCCCTTTTGCAGCCAACCTCAAATGCTGTAGAACTTTGCAGGAATTATGAATATGTCATGTATGTCCTATCTGTGAAATTTAAACGTTAGCAGTGTCCTCATATTCAAATTATGCAAGGAAACTCGTTTACTTGCTAGACTTCCCTGTCAGACACTATTGAGTGACTGACTGGCTTTTTTTCTTCTTTGGTAATAACATACATAGAAAGAGTTGTAAAGGGTACATGAGCATTTGTCTACATCAATAACCCACTTCTTGTGATGGCCAAGATTAAACTGATTGAATCTTTGCGCAGCATAAAACGTATGACCATTCGGTACAATTGTCTGAAAATCAAGACTATTACTTTTGGGCTCTATAGCCCTAAAGTCGATTTGACAACTAATAGCCGTTATTTTCCCTCTTGAAGACATTTTCAAGCCCCACCTTTTTTAGGGAAGTTCTAGATTAGTATTATCTTTCAAATGCAGTTGGAATTTAACTTTTTCATTTTTTTGGCCTGCAAATGGGACATAGTACCTTTAAAGCATCAAATTGGACCTAGTTTATTGTCCTCTTACCTGGTTCCGTATTGCACACGCAGGTGTTACATCCACGTTCATCTTTCTGTGTTCCATGCTCGCAGAAGATCATACATAGAACCGCGGGGCAAATAACTAGATGGAGAGACATGATAAATTATGGATCGAGCAAGTTTATGACGCAACTATTTAAAATGTCTGAAGGTCTTGAAATACATCGTAACTAAAGAGTATCATCTTCTAGAAATACTCCGTGTAAGTACTCAAATCGATCACAAGGCCGACTGAAATGAACGTCAGTCATTTTCGTTTTGGCAATGCAGCGAGGTAGGATGTCATGTGACAGGGTATCGAAATGTCAGGTGATTTATCGAAAGTCTCTTCAGTCTTTTTCTCAGTTCAAGAACAATTATCTCATTATGTAAAGTTTTGACACAACGGTTTATGAAAATATAATATACTCAATAATATTTTGAAGTATCTTTCTTCAGGTCGCTGCGAAAGTCTGGGCAAGATAGATTAATGACATATTATTTATCATCATGAAATGTGTTCATTAACACTCTGTCCAAATGGTTCTATTGGTTTTTGAAATAACATCCGGTCTCTTTGCCGTGTTTTTGAAAAACATTGACTAGTTATGCCCGTTGCAGACAATGCGCCATTTCGATTGTTCCATTGTGTGCGCCTGCGCTGATCAAGTCCTTGAAGAAAATTAAACCCACATGTCAATAATTCAACGTTATATGTGAATTAAAGACGTTGCAATCAATTCCCTATGATCTGACAATCACATGGTGCGTCAGACAGCGCGCCAGTCGCTGACGCAGTCTTACGTCAATTATTAGGGACTTTTAGATTTGCACGTCGACATAGTGGACTGCTACGTGTGACGTCCTTCTTAGGCATTGTGACGTCCTTTTAAGGCACTGCCACTGCATTAAACGGACGTCACGCGTAGCAGTCCTCTATGTCGACGAGCAAATCTAAAAGTCCATAATGACGCCTCGTCCGCAACGGGCATGAGTCGTTCTGTCCCATTCATACCTGGTTCAATGCATTCGCATGTATCGCAGCCATCGCCATCTTTCACATTGCCGTGCTCACAGAACATCATACACATTACACGGTCTGAACAGTCAGCTGTAGATAAAGGAGTTAGAAAATGAGGTACAAATTAAAATGAGGAGGCAAGTTGGATCAGTCGTTAAAGCATGTGCCTGTCGAACAAAAGCTCATGGGTTCGAATCCAACCCAGACGGATGATTGAAGCCTGCGTTGCGTGTAACGTGCCCAAAGCTTCCCTGATTCATAGACGCAGGCTCACAGCCACTTTCGAGGTAATCACCTTTTTCATTTTTTTGTGTTTTTTTTTTAGCTTGCCAAAGAACTTTAAAATGTTGCGCCCCGACTTCTACAAAATCCTGGACCGCCCCTAAATCATCAAATCATATCTCTCTCTCTCTCTCTCTCTCTCTCTCTCTCTTTCCTACCACTCCCCCTCCCTGTCGCCCATCCCGCTCTCTCGCTCTATTTTCTCTCTTTTCTTTATTGCTGTTACTCTCCATTTCTCTCTCTCTCTCTCTCTCTTTCTTAGTAGGGGTTAACTTACGTGTCATATCTATGCATTCGTGACCGCACCCATTTGAGCAACATTTCTGATTGGCTGCACACGAGCTATCATCAGTGCAGAGTTCAGCGCAGAGACCGAGTAGTCCTCTCGGTACATTACCAACAGGGCAACTCCCTTCGTGGATGACTGGATATAAGAAGGAGATTAAAATGGTTTTTAAAGTCTACCAATCACCTGGAAAAATAGTTGTGTATAGGTGGAATTTATGAAATTACACCCGAAAATAACAACTAGGTATACGGTTAATAAGAATAAAGAGAATAAGTGATAACACAAAAACATGCGTATAGGGTGCACACGGACTCGATTTCCACACATTTAAATTCATTTATCTTTTACTGTATTAAAATCTGTTCTATTCTTAATTAACTTTTTTTAAACAAAAACATTTCATACGTATACATATCATATGCAATCAAACGCTTTTTATGCAGTTGTAACGATTTTATGACTTATATTAACATGATAAAGGGAAATACATGTCTTTATCTAATTCCCATCATTTTCAGATGCTCAAATTTCTTTTGTGGCGAAATTTTAATCCATTATTTTCCAGATACCAATGTGCATGTTGTCTGGAAAACAAAAATGCTTTTCATTTGCCTACATTACACCCAAAGCCAAGAAGATCTATTTTACACCCCACAGTCGGAACATCGCTATCTTACCAAGTTAGTCAGATCGTATTAAGATATTTGGGGTGTAGTATATGCGGCCTAAGCTATCCGTGAACGTTAAACTTCATTTCTGTTGCACACAAGGTGTCATTTCGATAACGTAGAAAAGCGTCAGCGACCTTTGTGGTCTTTGGCACGCCAATTGAAAGTGACATCCCATGAAAGTCGATTGCAAAATGAACAGAAAAAAATAAAATGTTGCTTAGATTTACGGGAGCATTATTCGTGGTCTGTGGTCTAGTGGATAGGCTAAGTCAAGGGACTGTAGATAACAAGGTACGTGGTTCTAATCTCAACTCGGCACTAACGTCCTTTTGCAAGACGTTAATCTACATTTGCCACTCTCCATCCGGGTATAAATGGGTACCTGATATACTTAAGCGCTCGTTACTTTAACGGTTCGGCTATAGCCAGGTTACTATAATTATGTCTAAGCGCCATGAGCGTTACTGCGTCACAGATAATATGCTCTGTATATAAATGGCCATTATTTCCTTCACGGAACTAATTAGCGCAGATAATAACGCAATCGAAATGACTCTTGTGATGTGATCAATGGGCTTTCCCTGTACCTGGAGCATGAACAGCTTCCAGACACATGTGACCGCAGTTGTTGGAACAACACTTCTGATTGGCTGAGCAGTCGTCATCATTGTAGCATTCGTCCATACATACTCCGACTCCATCATATCCATCGGTTGGACAACTTCCAAGATGAACCGCTGTAAAAATAAAAAATATAGACCACTAATGTAAAGGTTAATATGTTGAGAATTGACATATCGGGTCTGATTTCTTTCCGTGCTCCTTTTATTTGCCACCAGTGCCAAAAGACCGATTTACTAACACAATTCTCGCTACCCTAAATAGGTACGAAAATCTCGAAATTCGCGAGACGAGGTAATTTTCACTCTCTCGGGTCGTCACTACAACTTCCGGTATAGAGTCCCATCCCGCTGGCGCTAGCGCCTGTGTTCGCTGTGCAGAGTTTTCACGCACGCTAAAATCGATGCCAATCAGTGTAATTTGTACAGATTATAATATGCAATGGAAAGCTTCGGGCAGAATTAGTGACTTTAGCACAAAAGGCCGTTAAACTCTACCGTGAAAGAGAGGGTTGTGATCACGAACGCCTGCACAGGAAGCTGTAATGTCGAAAAGCTATCCCATAATGCAATGCGCGTTTTCAGGATTTTCCCCGGATCTCGGCAGAATCGCTATTTGGGGTAGCGAGAATTCAAATTGTATGCATAATTTTCAACCAAAGGTTGCTCTTGACAACCTGAAGAATTTCCAGACAAAGCAACAAATAATGTATGCAGACTGGATTCCAAGTATTGTAGTTCATGCACTAATGACAGGTTAATGGAATACCTCGTCTGCTCGTCACTAGGCCCCCAGGAAAGAAACATCCATACATGTGAAAGTGTTTGTAAACGGGTCTATTGGCACGGTTGCTCGTTTGCCATACGTGCAGATCGACACAATAAGGGAGTTTACAGATACAATCTGCGCATGGGCAGCTTAAGGTCATGTGTACCAAAATGGTAAAACCCACAGAGATGAATACTGGATATGCGCTCATGAAAGTTATGTAACATTATTCATTTATGCATGCACCAACGGTACATTCTATGATACGCGGGTGGAAGTATTCTTTTCAAGAGGTCAAACAAAAGGTATTCATGAAGCACATCTAGGACTTTGGCAGTTATTATTCTAAGATTCTCAAAGTGGAACTTCTCCATGTGTAAAAGATCTGTGGATATTTGGGTTCATTTGTACCATGCGCTATCTGTAAACTCCCTTATAGAATAGGCAGTGCTTTGTACAACACAGCCACCAAACCGACAGATTCTTTTTCGGCATAATAGGGGTACTGTTTATTTTTATTATGTTGGTGTGTGCGTGCGTTCGTGCGTGTGTTTGCGTGCGTGCGTGTGTGTGTGTGTGCGTGCGTGTGCGTGTGTGCGTCGGTGTGTTCGGTCCGTAGTCGGTCTGGTTTTGCTGTTGCTTTCTTTGGAAAAGTAAGAGTTTAAATTTGTGAGAAGTAGAAAGAAACGTACTACAACTCGATAACATATAACATGATCCTAAAGACTTGCAACAAATCAATATTCAGGGTGATTTCAACAGCCTAGAACTAAATCAGGCGAACATTACAAATACCAGTTACACGAGACAATATGGTACGGAAACTGGCCTAGAGTTCAACTCTTCTGAAAGTGATATTTTATGAATCAAGAAACAATTACCAGGCTTCTCGTTACAGATGCATGTGTCACAACCGTTTCCATCCCTCACAAAGCCAAATTCGCAGAACATGTCACAGAGCATATCAGGACAAGGACCTGCAAAAGAACACAAAAGTGCAATGAATAGGGGTAATTTTCCAGGGGGGGGGGGGGGGTAATTGTCCTCGGGGTGGTTGTCCTTTTGTTGTCCTGGAAGTAGGGATAATGGTTCTAGGGGCGAATTTTCAGAGACAGGGGGTAATTGTCGTAGGGGGTAATTTTACCGGGGTAATTGTCCTCGGGGGTGGTTGTCCTTGTGGGGTAATTTTCTGGGGGTAGTTTACCGAGGGGTTAATGTCTTGGGGGGAGTAGGTTTTTCAGGGGGTAATTTTCCAGGGGGTGATTGTCCAGGGTAATTTTCCTGATACGGATGGTAATATGGGTCACGAACTCATGATACTGACAGCCTATGGACCGAAATTGTCGATCTCGTGGGCCTTCTAGCCTATTTCCGGGGGTTCATTAGCTTAGACACGAGACCGACATTTTTTCTTCTCCAAAGCATTTCTTTCTTCTGTCGGTCAAGTGGGGTGGCGGTCTCGTGTGATTTCGGTCTCTTGGACCTTTTGATACTTTCTTATTTTCTTAATCTTGTCCTACATAAGAATCACCGCTGCGTTTATTGTTTGACCATTGGAAAAGGAATTTTTGTTGTATGACTGGTGAATCAATAAATTCAAATACATATTTGTTTTTTGTTTTTTTCAAAACATGCCTATATTTTAAGTCAAAATTATTTGGTACATACTTGGTTCGTCTACAACTACAGTGACGCAGGCATGACCACACCCATTTGAGCAACACTTCTGGTTGGTGGAGCAGTCTCCGTCGTCATAGCAACCCTCGTAACACGCCCCCATCGTCCCATTGGACAACGCACCGGTAGGACACGTCCCTGGTCGAGTTATCACTGTGATAGTGAAAACACAAATGAATTAAAGAGGCAAAAGTCTCGTTCGAATATAAACCATCACACTTTACTTTGTCATATTATGAACAGATCTTAAAACATATAATTGTGTATATTATGGCTTGTTATTACTATCAACAGCCCTCCCCCCCCCCCTCCCCATTTAAGAAGGACATCTACTATTATTACTCAGTTAAAATCTTTTTCTTTCAGTCTGCTTGTTATTACTCATTATGTATTGTATTGTTCTGCTATTAATTCCAAATGTTTCTGTTGCTCTGTCACATTTTGGTAAACATTCTTCAATACGCGTGTGTGCGTGTGTAAACAGCATAGACAGTACAGGCCCGTGGGTACACCGGCGCTACATAATTAGCCACTATAATCATAGATATATATATATATATATATATATATATATCTCACCTGTAGGGTCCGGCTCGAAACACGAGCGTCCACATCCGTTTGAGCAGCATTTCGAGGTCGATGAACAGGACGTATCATCTACACAGTGATCCTCGCAACGACCAAGAGCGCCACCAGCGTTTTCTAACCTTGGACAACTCCCCGGTTTAATGTCTCCTGTATTAAAAACATTTTTTTGGTTACAAACTCATCTACAAGGTTCATCTCCTTTGCATTCATGATGTTGATGTTAATGTTTACGCTGTTTTATGTTATCCATTTTATATGAGTTGACATGATTATCATTATTCTTCGGACTACCGAAATGTATCATATTTCAAATGCCATATTATTTGATGTTTAATAAATGCCGAATAATTCTGCATCTGAATGATAACGCAGTAGCTAGGTTTCTCAAAAGTAAAAACTAACCTGGTTGGATAGCGTCGACGCAAGTGTGCCCACAGCCGTTGGAACAGCACTTCTGATTGGTCAAACAGTTCCCGTCATGTTCGCAAGCATCGTTGCAGGTTCCAAACATACCACCCATCAAAATAGGGCACACTCCTTCGTGGATGGCTGTCAAAATGAAATACATAAGTAAAATTTAATTTGCCCTTACGTCGCTTTCTTTAAACTTTCTGTTATTGTGTCTTTTGTTACTTTGAAAAATAAGATAAAAAGCTCACGCGATCTTTTGCGATTCAATTTTGAATAAGTACCAGTCAAATGTGCATCTTTTCCCCCACAAAATAAATATTAAAAAACACTCAAAGCATAGAATGAATAAAATCAAACAGTATGGGCGTTGCAGGAAAGTTGCGATTAATTGCAACTCCCCACTAGCCTCCTAAATGTTAAATCAAGTTAACTAGATCTAGCTTTTATTCTCCCCCTCTCACTCTCTCTCTAGCTTACTAATGGGGCGTTGCAAGAAAGTTGAGTTGCGATCAATTGCAAATTTGCAATCAATCGAAAGACTTACGCTTGATTTTGAGGATTTGCAATTGATTGCAAATTTCTTGCAACACCCCATATGACTATATATCGCTAACCATATTCACAATCCTAAAACCTAAACGTAAAAAGTAATTGTAACTTTAACCCTAACTCTCCATATTTCTGAGCAAACAAAGCCCGAGCAATTGTCGCCGAAACACGTGTCAGAGCTACCCTTTGTCGAGATTTAATAGAATTTAAAAGATTTAAAAGAAAACTTATATCTTACGACTCACCTGATTGGCTGTTGCATTCGCAGACGTCACATCCATTCCTTCCCTTCTTGAAACCATGAGGACAGTATTGCATGCACATTATTTCAGGGCACACTGCGTATAAATGGATACAAAAGTGATATATTTTTTTAATTCATTTTTTTTTAAAGGGGGGGGGGGGGGAAAGAAAGGGGAGGAAAGAATAGAAAAATCTCAAAACGTGTGGCATTCAGTCAGTGTAATTGAATCCTTAACATCTAAAAAGTGTGGATGCATTCATTTTTTTAGAAACGTCTGTATAAAGCGCCCTATAAATGTAATTATTATTATTATCATTATTTATACAAGTGGAAAAGGTCGAATGCTTTTCCGCTAACCTATTGTAGTTATAATCCATTCAAATGTAATCTTAATGGGTCACTGTCCAACCTCCACTCTCCTGCCAAAGATAATTCCGACTTTGTTAACCCTTTGTTGTTGGCTGAGAACTCGAAGGACATTAACTCAGTATTTGAATGCAAGAATGCAAGTTAAGACCATCTTGCTCTCGGCAGACGATACTTTGTTTAGATTCCTCTTTTCACTTTCAAAAAGTCCCCACATTTTACAACTTAGCCATGCTTACTCGGAGGCACATCCACTGCTTCTACGCATCCGTAGAATTGCCCATCGGAACAACACTTCTGCAAGATCGGGCATTCTTCATCATTATCACACATATTGGTCTGTAGCGATCTCCGGTCCGGGGAGATGGGCGCAGGACAAACACCGGGTCTGATTACTGAGATTTAAAAAAAAGAAAAGAATATGAACAAGAATATTCGATTTTAAACAATGTTAAATGACATGTTTCTAAAGCTATTCTAAAGGAATATGAACACGAACATTAGATTTTAAACAATGTTAAATGACAAGTTTCTAAAGCTATTTTGTATGTATTCATTGTGCATGAATTCATTTCAGAACTGATTTATCTATATGGAAGTGTCATCGCGTTGTTTTAAGCGATTAAAGGACTTGACTAGCACCCCTCAATATAAATACCCCGAGCAACTAATTTTTATTACCCCTAGGACAAAAGCTTCCGAGACAAATAACCCTGGGACAACTATAGAGTTGGAAAACTACACTCAAAGCTTCGACTACTATTCTCGGGTAAGTAATTGCATTGAAAACTTTCGTCAATGCCTTGTTCTTGTTCGCGTTTTGAATTCCTCTTCTTCTTCTAATTTCCCGAAATCCAATTCGTTTTGTTTTGCACGTAGAGCTTGTACTCCAATCTAGGTCCCTTCCTCTAACCCGATTCTTTTCAAATCAGGCACTATTGAGTTACTGACTGATTCCTTTTTTTTTTCTTTGGTAATAACATTCATACAATGAGCTGTAAAGGATACATTAGCATTTGTCTAAATCAATAACCCACTTCTTGAAGTGACCGAAATTAAACGGATTGAATCTTTGCGTAGCACGAAACGTACGACCATTCGGTACAAGGGTCTAAAAAATCAGATTACTTAATTAAACGACCGCGATCACTAATTTCGATTCGACAACTAAGGTCCCACGAAAAGACATTTTAAGCCCTTTTTTTTAGGGGTGTTCTAAACAAGTATTATCTTTCAAATGCCGGTGGAATTTAACTTTTAATTTTGTTGGCCTGCAAATGTACCTTTAAACAACGATACATTTTAAAGCTGCACTGGAAACAGTTCAATAATTTGGAAACTTTTGGTATATCTCTATCAAATGATAAATAAAATATGGCTCAAGGAACTTATTTTGTGTGGGATATAAAGAGTGGATCTTACCGGGGGGCTGGCTACATGTACAGATCTCACAGCCGGACGGGTGTCTCTCGTAGCCGTGTTCACAGTACAACATACACATCACTTCGGGGCAGTCCTCTGAAATTATAAAAAAAAATATTTAAAGGGAAAATCCAACTTTAATAGACAACTACACAAAAACAAAGCAAACTCAAAGCAGGATGGTGACATTTTAAATGAAATCGGAGGATAAAAGATAAAGCTGTGAATTTTTAAATGTCGTAATCAATTATGTATAGGCACTTCAAATTGAGTGAATCCGCATCGTTACAAAACAGCATCTAGATCTAAAAGCAACCCTGACCTAACCACCAAAAATATAATAAAAGAGAAACAATAAAAAGGAATCAGCAGCAGGTGTTACTGTACTGTCTTTTAGTAGTTTGTTATTGATTGTGAAATCGTTGTTTCTGTATGTCGAGACAAGAAAATTAAAAAAGTAGCTCGAAAGTTGAAAGTGAACTTTATCTTACCCAGTTTTTCGTTGCAGGCACACATGGGGCATCCACCTTCATCTAGCTGGTTACCATAGGGACAATACAATGCACATAATACATCTGGACATGACGGCACTGATTGGAAAAGAAAAACAAAACAAAATCATGGACGAAAGACGTGATAGTATGGCTGATCGTCAGCGGAACGGAGTTAAGTCTTTTGTCGACTCTGTTTGTTGCTACTGCAGGCAGCCAGTGAAAACGAATTTGTTTAATCAAATTATGAAAATGCAAGCATCACTTTAAACAAACAGAACTTTGTTATTCCTGGTTCATTTTTCCTGATTAACGTGTCATATGAAAGGGGGAAAATGAACTTTCTAGAAATGTGATTTTCTCCTTGAAATTTAGATACCGCCCGCCAAATGACTTTTTGGTTTCCTCTCTTCAAGTTGATTTTAATCCCAAATGCATGAACTATGCATCATGTGAGTTGCATGAAATGAAAGAAGAGGATCGAAGCTTTACAAATATGTGTCATTTATTAATTATAATTGTGATTAAGTTATGAAGACACATCGATAAGTCTCGGTTTCGTTTTTTCCGGGATGCACTGAATAGTATAGGAAGCACAAACTATATGATGCCTGCAAATTCATGATCATTCTCTGTCAGGAAATGAGGGTACAGTTAGAAATATAGTGAAGTAGAAAAGAAAAGGGAAAACTCTTTTTAATCATTTTTTATGGGTTTTTTACACAATAAAAGAAGAAAAGTAATTCAATATTTTACCCGGATGTTGGTTGCATTCACATGTATCGCATCCATTCTGGTCCTTCTGGTTGCCGTGTTCACACCACATTAAGCACATCATGAGCGGACAGAGGTCTGTCAAAGTTCAAAGTTCAAGAGAGAAATTCATATGTTGAACAATACTTGACATCGTTATCGAATGGGGTCATGTACATGTCATTACCAAAACAGTTACCAGGGACGTTCCTTTTATAAAGAGGACAAGAAGTAAATAACAGATGCGTTTAGTTGTCGAGTCATGTAAAATTGACAGTTTTTAAAGGAGCTCGTGCCCTTTCGCACCTGGCGCCTAAAGTGTGATTCCTTCGATTATACTACAATTAAATACAAAGGAAATACTCAATGCGTCTCTACTTCGCCTGATAGGCCTAAATATGTTTTCCTTAAACGCGATTAACAGGTCTTTCCTTTGCATTAAATTAATGAACGGAATCCACGGAATCACATTTAAGGAGCTAGTGCACAAGTGGCATTTTGTCGACTTCAAACCGACCTAGGCCAATTCGGGGGTGGGGGAGGGGGCTATTTTCGGTCTCTGGTCAATCTCCTACGCAACCATTGTTAAGACTGAGATAAAAAGCATTGGTCCGAGCGTTGGGGGTAATAGTATTACATAAGGTCCGCAAGTTTGGTAGGTCAAATGACTCCACCATTTATGTATTCAGGCACCTTTTCTTCTAAATGACTTACTCATGAGCGGAACGTCATTTTGCAAAGAAGGCGATGTTTTACACAATTTTATCAACATATCTGCAGACAGATAATCACTAAAATTTGTTTTCACTGAAAGCCTGAGAGAAATATCTTTTCAGAGAACAGTGAAGGAAAAAAAAGGGGGGCTTGGAGCAAATTAGCCCCCGAAATACTAAAAAGAGCCCCCGAAAGTCATAAAAGAGCCCCCAAAATGTCTACAAATTCGATAAAAATAAGAGCATTTTGTTAAAGGTCTAGAGAACATCCAAGGACTACTTTTGAGGCATCTTTAATGCCGTTATCCCATTAAACTTCATTTATCTTCCTCTCACCGCCTGCAATGTTTAGTTCATCTTCGTGATAGGCTATATAGCCCTCTGAAGATTTACTTTAGAAGAAGAAAAAGAAGAAGAAAGTCGCCTCACGTTTTGAGCGGGGCGTTTCCTCTGAACCTACCAGTTGCGTTACGTGACGTTGTCACATCGACACAGGCGTGCCCGCAGCCGTTGGAGCAGCACTTCTGTGTCTCTGAACAGTCGTCATCCTCCATGCAGCTCTCATCACAGGTTCCGACCACACCCTCAGGCAGTAGACCTACCGGGCAAGTGCCGGCGTGAAGGCCTACTGGTGTCTCGCAGGAGCAGATCTCGCAACCACTTTCGTCCCTCTTGAAACCATGTTCGCAGAATACATGTAGCTGGCAAATGGCGTCAGGGCACTCATCTATCAATACCGATGGAAGAATATTATATCTTGTTTAACACTGTTATTAATCATTTTCGAAAAGCATATTGGTTATTTGAACAGTAATTAAAAAAACTGCAAGTTTAGTCATAAGGTCGGAAATATGATGGTATACTGTCAGTATTAAAAAAAACAAGCAAAACAAACAAACGACTATTCATATTTAAAATATTTATCTGAAAAAAATACATATTTAAAAAATTCTTTATAAAAAATTACTTCCCCTAAACGCTTTCCAGGCTATAGGCATCACGTTGACAATTAATGAACTCAATGATTATCATTGTATTGCTATTAACCACAGTTTAATAAAATATGTTGTTTTCAATTACTCCAATTTTTTTATTTTTTTTAATTGACCTTTTTTATATTATTTCCTTGATTGTGTTTAATTGCATGTTAATCATTCATTGTGTAATATTTTAGAAACCTAAAATGCGTATCGTCTTAACTTTTGAAGTCTGTGAAAACAAAACTACTAACCGGACACGTCAGTAGCAGTGATACAAGTGTGGCCGCAACCATTGGAACAGCACTTCTGATGCGGTCCACATTGCCCGTCATGAGAACACATTTCTGAGCAGATCCCTGATGCACCATTCGGCAAGTCGCCAACTGGGCAAGATCCCGTGTGAACTATTTATAAAAATGACGTCAGCATTGACAGCATGATTAGAAGGGGTAGTAATAATATGTTCCGCGCATAGAAACAAAGTATTAGGAGCATTATAAATGTGAGCTATTATTATTATTATTATTACTTTTGCTTTCCCATGGTACACAAAACTTCGGACGTACATGAACGTTAGATTAACGTCATCAGGAAGTTTGGCAAACATTATTGCTGATTTGTCATGTCATGACTTACTTTCAATTTGTTGACTTTTACTTCATTCTTTCAATGGAGTATTGTGTAAGATTGGTAACAATAATTATTTCATGACAGAAAATGAAAATGTTTCCAAAGTGATACATAACAACAACTTAAAGCGTGCGTTAATCTTAAAGCTTATCTGCCATAGTTTACAGGAGGGATCAGAGAGCCCTGCAAGGTCACTGGACAGATGGTTATCTCATCAACTCAGCTCTCAGGTCACCGATTAGGCATTGTTTGTTATATAGAGGGCGCAAGTAGCTACAAGTAGTGCAGTGGGCCTTTAATGTTTGACATTTTAAAAACGAATTTATTTAAAATTTTGCCCATTCTGAAGACATTATTCTTCGTTGTTACCTAATTACACAATATATGACTCAAGTTTAAAGCTTATCTGCCGTAGTTTACAGGAGGGATTAGACCGCTCTGCAAGGTCACGGGACAGGTGGTTATCTCATCAACTCAGCTCTCAGTTAACATAAGAAAAAGAGGATCATGGGGGACCAATGGTCACCGATTAGGCATTGTTTGTTATATAGAGGGCGCAAGTAGCTACCAGTAGTGCAGTGGGCCTTTAATATGCTACGGTCACAAAGGTTCGTACGAACGATCATTTCGTACGAATCTCCCTGTTTTTCCATTGTCTTCCCGAATTTCCATTGTCTGAAAATCGTTTGAACGGCGTTTGTACGGCGTTCGTAGCAGTTCGTAATGGCATTTGTGACCGAGGCTTTAAGTTAAGAAACGGGAAGAAATAGTTGGTTGGATACATAATTAAGCTCATGCTGAACATTATCTTACCAATATCTTTAAGAGTGTTGGGTAATGAGACAAATAGAAACATTTAACGAATAGATAACTAAAATGACTATGGCGGGAACACACCTGGGTAGGTCACTGGTGCAAGACAGAGGTGACCGCATCCATTCGAGCAGCACTTGTATGTTTCACTACAATCAGTGTCACTAGAGCATAAATCAGAGCAGATTCCAACCGTATCCGACGAAAGAGTGGACGGACAGGAACCTGCTTTGCTGGCATCTATGCCAAAAATAAACCAAGGAAATGAATATGCTATTTTTCTCGTAACTATGAAACTGTCAAATATGAAGCAGCAAATCATGTGAATGCATAAAGGCAGAGTAGGTTCTACACGCAACGAAGTCCTAGACAAACTATGGAACTCACTTTAATTCAGTTCAAAACAAACTGAGTAAGTGACTGCAACAGTTTCCTAATATAAAGTGATTTTATTACCTTTGATATCTCGGGCATTTATTTTGGAATATTCACCTGTACAAATTGTAATGTTGGCATTTTTTTAAATAGAATTTCTTCCCTTTTTTCACTCACTGTACCAGTTCATCCCTATATATAGTCCCCAATTCTCCCAGTTCAAGACTTATTTTTAAATGATTAATTACTTAAAAGGAAAAAAGTAGGGATGGGGTCTTATATGGAGTGTAGCCTAGTATTGGTATTACATTTATATACAGAAATGAGAGGTTACAATAATCTACAAAATTGTAGAGTAAAAAGCTTGGCATCATGATTGATGTCCTACTTCACCCGTTGTCCCCTATTGTATGTAAAACATAGTTAGCAATTAACTAATTAATTACATTATCTTTGCTACATTTAGTTAGTGGATTTTCTTAGAAGCATGCCTCTATTACTGGTTAAATAATGCCTACTTTTCCGAAAAGGGTTTGCATCCGAGTTTGAATTAGTTACCAATTCACTAATATGTACATCCATTAATTTATTGTCAATACAATATACATACATATTATTTGATAACTGGAGCTTACAAATGGTAACATGCTAATCTAGGTTAGCCCAGAGTAAATCTTTCATTATTTCACACTGAATGCAATTAAAACAAAACTGTTACTAAGTCCTTATGCAAACTGATGTTCATACATGTACCTTTCAAGGAACGTATATACATATACACTATGTACAAAAGAGGTTCCTATGTCCAGATAGCTTACCAGGTATCACAGCATCTTGGCATGAGTGTCCGCATCCATTAGAGCAACATTTCTGATTGGCCGAACAGGAACCATCGTGGTCACATGTTGTCATACAAATACCCATCATGCCTTCTGCTACGACCGGACATTCCCCTTCGTGGATTACTTTAAGGAAGATCATTAAAACGCCAAAATAAGTTGAAAAATACTATATAACTTGCCGTGATAAAGTGGTTCATTCACCTGGCTCTCAATCTAAGAGTCGAGGGGTCGAACCTAAGCCCAAAGCTAGCGTCATTTGGCGAGGCATTAATCCACATTTGCCGCTCGTCACCTATGGGTACATGATTACCTTACAGGAAGATGTGCCTACTACATTCTAACTGAACGGTGCAAATGTACACTGTAGTTATTACCCTTCTTCCAAGATTTGAAACCGTGTATTATGCTACCAGAATTAAAGTGCAATGATTTTTTTGAGGGGAGATGGAAGAAAGAAAAAAAATCTTCTTATTTTCCACTATCAATTATCATTATCATCGTTGCAATCGTCGTCATTCTCTTACTCTTCATCATCGTCGTCGTCGTCTTTATCAACATCATGACCACTATCATCACCATTAACATTAACATTAATGTATTGAATAGTACTATCAATATCACCATAGTCACCATCATCATCAACACCACCGTTGTTATTACCATTATCACCACTACCATAATCATCACTATCAACATCATCATCATCATTATCTCGACCACCGCCATTATCATCAACACCATCAACAGCGTTACAGAGTACATAATTCCCTCACCTGTTTGGTTAGCGCATTCACATAAATTGCACCCATCAGAATCCTGTTTGAATCCATAAGGACACCACATCATGCACATCACTTGTGGACATGGCGCTAAGGGCAAAATAAACAAAGATCAAGTCGTTTTCATTGACGTGACGACTGCAATGACGTTTGAATTGAATTATTAGGATTATATTTCTACAATAAAGCGGTGACGGAAGAAACACTGGTGGCAAAATAAACGCAAGGTAATGAGTACGTATAAAACATCGGCTTGTCTGGTTATGTATTGTTTGCTGTTAATCCCAGCATGAACCCTTTCGAATTGAATTAAACATTTGTATACTACTAATGATTACTACCCCATGAATGATATTCCGGCGCTACACACGTTGCGTTATTTGCCTGACGCAGAACTAGACGCAGAACTGCGTCAACAAGTGACTCAGCTTATGATGACCATGGGAGAATAATATTATACAAAAAGTGAATGTAAAATGTGCACATCTTCTTTTAAACATCTACAATAATGTCCTCCACGAGCTGGATTAGCTCAGGTAATGACGCAATCGAAATAACGCACCAGTACAACAAGGGTTAATTAGATATCACTAACTTGATTCAGTTCTCATGCAGAGATGACCGCAGCCATTGGTGCAGCATTTTTGGTTTTCATCGCAGTCGCCATCATTGTCGCAGGCCTCGACGCAAAGGCCCACAATGTTCTGATCGTCCGGTGACCCTGACGCCGGACACGAACCCTCATGGATAACTGGTGACGAAAGTCATTTTTTTTTAATATAAATATTATACACCGTACATTTACATAAATTCAAAGAAATATTTTTCATATTCTGTAGTATAACAATGCTTATTTGGTCTGATTTAACCAAGTATCAGAATACCTGTTGCTCTTTCTGTGGATCCCGCAATAATTATTACCCCATCGTTGCCAACTCCTCGTTTAAAATATTCCTGGGTCGAGTGGGACAAAAGTGGGTAAAATTACCTCGTATTTAAGCACCAGGCAACGATCGAACCTAGGACCTCTCATATAAGAGTCGAATGTGTTCAAACTCTGTACCACAGTACTCCCAATGTATGTTTTTAAATAAATAGATAGCATTTAAAGAAATGATACAAATAGCGGTATATTTTGAAAAGTTTGAATCACGAGTTATCAGCCGGAACGGGTTCCTTAAACTACTTGATGTAGTAATAATGTTATTGAGTATACGCGTACAGAAAATATATTCGCTTAATATTTTCAATTTCAGTTCCAGATTAAATAACAAAAATAATCTATCACTTCATATATACTACTCATTGACTACCTTGGAGTGAATCCGCCGCCATGCAAACATGGCCGCACCCATTGGAACAGCACTTGTGATGAGTGGGACAATCGAGGTCGGTTTCACAGAAGTCTGCGCACACACCCATCGTTCCATTTGCCAGGAGTCCGACAGGGCAGGTTCCAGGGCGGTATGCTATAATGACAAATTAAAAAATGAAAAAAAGAACGAAAGTGGAACATTATTCCTTCAATCTTTGCTCGTTTCTTAAGATGGTCTTACGCTTGAATTACTGCCCCCTATCTGCGAGAAATATTTTTATTAGCACATTAAAGCAAAAAAAATCGCAAGATAGAAAGTGAAAATTGCTTGCAAAATGCCTGCAGATAACCTCGAATGTCAGAAAAATGAATATGTGTTTCTTTTATACAATCACGCGAATACCCGCAGATGGATGGTTTTATAATTCATTTGACTATACGATCTTTGATTTTGAATTCAGTCTGTGGCTAGTAAAATGTTCTTTGTTAATTTTTAATTTTGCAGCAAAAATAAATCCAATGTAGAGCAAAAGCTAGCATCGTCAAGCATAGACAATATTCTTTTTCACTATGGGGGGGGGGGTTGGGTTCAGGGGAGTCCTCTTGAGGATCATCAGGAAAAACAGTTGTGTCTTTTTTTAGAGGGAGCGTGACGACAAGGTGACAAAGAAAGTAGCGTTTTAAAGTATTGAAACCTGCCATAATAATGCTATAATTAGAGACTCATTACGCTGCCAATATTAAACGATCATTATTATATCATGGGGTGGGCTTTTTTCTAAGTTCTCGCAGGGGCAACATAAATATGTTCAGGAGGCACGTGCCCCAAGTTCCTAATTTGTAAACGCCGCTTGCAAAAATTGCAGTTTAATTTATAAAAAAATCAACTTACACGGAGAACTATTTGTGGGATCCACACAGACTTGACCGCAACCGTTGTGGCAGCACTTTTTCGACCCAGAACATTGTGTGTCGTGCTGACACTCCGCGACACAGGTGCCGAAACCACCATCTTGAAGAGCTGGGCATTGTCCTTGTTTTTCTAAGAGTTTAAGATAATTGATTGACGTGGATATTTCATTAGGTTGTACGAACACGATCCAAACTACTTTCGAAAAATCGCTCTAAAGGCAATATCATTGGCTTGTATGTTACCTTTTGAATTGTGCGAATAATTACTATGACATAAAAATCAGAACATGGTTTTTATGGGACAAACAACAGGGTATTGAAATTGCCCTTGAATCAATCTTACGGAAAAAAAGTTGTTGCGCTCGTGTTTACGACACATGTCATGGCGAAAAATGTCCCGAGGTGATATTATGAATCATACATACATGTAATTCTTAACTTCAATCATGTCAACCCTAACCAAAACACTATACCTTACCCTTAGGCCTACCCTTAACATAACCATAACCTTACCCTAACCCTAGCCCCAACCCTAGTCCTTACCCTAACTCTTATCCAAACTCTATTTTAACCCTAAATATTACCTTACCCCTGAACCTAACTGACTAACCCTTTACTTAACCCCGCTGGAGCATGTCGGTGCATCGTTTCATTAATGTCATTTGATTTAAAGGATATTCATAAGTTGTGTAAATTGGCAAAATCAAGCTTTGAATCGACAGAGGGAATTGACATAGGGAAATTATGCTCTAGTTCCTAGTCATTATGACAGTGACCTATAAATAACCAATTAAATATGAGCCGTTCGTGGATAAGAGTAATGCTGTGTTGAGTCTATTGTCGGTTCAGTGAGTGTTACAAGGATGTCTCTGATATAATAAATTGAGTTTCTACTTTATCCCTTCTACCACCTTGCCTCCTTCTTCTAATACTTGTTTAATATATGCTTATTTGCGATGATTACTCGTGCCACCAAATTTCCGTGTGTATGTGTGTAATTGTTTTTTATTTCAGACTTGTATCAATCGGATATGATTATTCGTTATTCCTTTGTTTTATACGCTCTTGGAGATATAAAGGGTACATCGACCCGTTATTATGACGTCATACCTGGAAAGACAGCATCTTTACAATCGTGACCACATCCATTTGAACAGCACTTCTGATTGGTCGAACAGTTACCGTCATGTGCACATGTTTCTGCGCAGATGCCGATCATGTCAGATACTGGACATTCGCCTTCGTGGATCTCTGGAATAATTACGATAAAATATATTCAGGATTAACAAAAATAGAAAAATCGGAACAACTGCGGTACTTTCCACTTTGAATCTCTTTTTATATGTACTTATTCAATACTGTTAACTTTTGATAATCCATTCACTTCTAAAAAATGTTTCGTTTGTAGTGTAAAATGTGTTTCTTTTCAACTTTGTTACTTCTTGTTTCTACTTGTATCAAGCTGCTCAACATGTATATATATCTATCTATATATATATATATATATCTTTAAGTCGTTTTGTTTTTATGTTGATCATTTGAAAACTGAAAGGTTTTTATGCATATTAGGTAAAATAGATAAATGAAATTAATTATATGTACCAGTTTGCTGGCTGCAATTGCAGGTAGGGCGTCCATTCGTGTCCAAAACGAAGCCATGGGGGCAATACATCTGACACAGTACATCTGAGGGGAAAAAAAGGGATGATATTAATGATGATCATGATCATAATGATGAATATGATGGTGACGAAGACGACGAGATGATGATGATGATGATGATGGTGACAATGATGATGATGATGACGATAAGGATGAAGATAATTGATATTTTAATAAAAATCTGATGACAAATTCCAAAATGTCTTAAGATGTTGGTAAATTAAAGTTAAGCTTTCAAAGAAACTGCGTCCCAGAATGAGAAGCGACAATTATTGTTATCAATTTAATTTAATTCAATTCAATTCAATTAATTGTATTTCCATAACTCAATCAAATCATGAAACTGCTTACATGAAATCAATACCAATGAAATTTACAATAAAACAAATAAAATAACAAATACAATAAACTTATATGTAATTAGAATAATATAGAATGTCGATAAGAGATCAAATTAAAGGATACAAGATATTATAATCATAATATTACCATAAATTAAGTTAAGTGCAAGTAGAATTTTTAAACAATTGAGAAATCCACTAAAAATCAGAGCTTTGATTCGTGTGGATAACTCCCCCCCCCCTAAAAGGTAAGAAAGGGGAAAATAAACACATTCAGTTAGCTCTGGTGAAGAGGCAATTTCCCATAAAAAGAACATTGCAATTATAAATAAAGTAATTTTTTGTTTACAATGAATCAAATTATGAAGTGATTAGAACGAAATTAATATAAATCGGAAGGTGAAGTTTCTTTTTCTTACAAGGCTCGGGTTCCATACATGACTGCCCACATCCGGTCGAACAACACTTATCACGTCCGGAGCAATCATCGTCCGATGTGCACGTGATTCCGCACGATCCAAAAGACTCGAGTGGTATGGCTGGGCATATTCCGACCTTTTCGGCTGTTGAGAGAGAAAGAGGGAGAGAGAGAGAGAGAGAGAGAGAGAGAGCTAGACTAATTAGCTTAAGAACCTGTATTTATGGAGTTAAAAAGGTAAACATCCATGGAACAGTCAAGATTTATGGCTCGCAAAAAAAGATTTATGACCACACGTCGCTTGATTTTCCTCACTACAATGTTTTAATTACCTTTTAGGGGGTATCTCACTGAGCGGCGAATGCTTGCGAATCCCCGTTACACACACGTTCAGCAACATTTACCATAAATTATAACCCATTTTTTTCTATTTTATTTATTTTTATTTTTTTATTTATTTATTTATTTTTTATTTATTTATTTTTTATTTTTATTTTTATTTTATTTTTTTTTTTGGGGGGGGGGGACGGGTACAAAATGAGTTCTAAACAACACCCTATTTGGGAGGGATTATCCAATAGACCCTACACATTCACAAAGTTACCCTATTTTGTGTTTGAAAAAGACGTGAAATATGACCCTTTTCTTGCTCTATAAAAAGATAGTCCCTTTTTATTTTACATTCGCGACCCCCAAAGTTACCGCTTTTTAAAAAATTTTTTTTATAGAAATGTCTTATTATCACAACATTATAACATAGAGTCAATATGAAGTGACACAATATGAGCGGGGGTATATGGCAGGAAGAAATCCATGATTACTGGTAAAGTGCCGTGGTGGAGTCCATATGGGATAGAGATCGACATAAGCACTTCAAAACAATATTCAGGACTAGCTACAAGTTCAAACACGAGATACGTGATTACCAGTTTTATGACACGCCATGAAGTTATATTTACTTTACACCGAGGAGCCTAGTTTGTTTATAGAACAGTCTTAATTGGACACAATAAACCTCTAGTAGTGACTGTGAATTACCAATGACAAATACAGTGTTCAAGTCATGAAATATTATCGAAATATTGAAAGCAAAACGAAAGGCAGTCCAACTTCAAAACACACCGTAGAGCCACTGCAAGCTTAACACCTTCACTGCTTTCTCCGCCTTTCCGTACGCTCGCTCGTTTGCACACCTGTACTATCACTAACTGACGTCGTACGCAGGCATCGACTTACAAATTGCATTCATCATGTGCGTGCTATTATGTGAAAAATTAGCCGTGTCCCGATGTAATTAATTTGGATATGGCCACTGTCTTGTCACTAAATGAGTTAATGGTTGCTTCTGTTTGCATGTTTGCATAATAAATGGGAAGAAATTGAGTGAGAAAGAGAAATAGAGAGAGAGAGAGAGAGAGAGAGAGAAAAATTGAATGAGAAAGAGAGAGATGAAAGGAACTTTTAGTTTCCATATCTATAGGCATCTATCATTATCAGAATATGAGGAAAAGAAATAAGTTAATAAAATAGTTATAATATAGAAATCGTTTTTGAAACTTTCATTTTTAGGCAAATTTTACTTATTGTTATATCATCTTTAAAGGTAATACAAAGTTTTGGTATGAGGTCATGAATTTGGTTCAAATGCACATTATTGGAAGCATATGCGATCCTACAATATTCAGTGATCGTTGTCGCGGTTGAAATCAGGCCTAAACTTATGAAATTATATATAATAAACTCTTTATGATGTATAGCTCCCTCTCAAGGTCAAGATATTAATTAAGCTATAAAACAATGTTTGTTGACTAAAATCGACCAATTAGCTATTCCCATTTGGAAATTATATATCACAATTACATATTCTGAGACTTACATGGTCGCAGCTACTATTGTACGGCCGTAGGCGCTATTTGAAATTTATCAAAGATTTACCGGGAGCACCGGTAAATTTTTATATTCAATTTTACTCGAAAGTAGCAGTGTTTTGGGGGCTAATTTTTTTTATAGTGCTTATAATACATCTACAGGGGCATCCAAATATATCAAAATTGTAAAGAATCACTATCTACCCAATTTTCAAAATTTCCCAAAACTTTGTATTACCTTTAAGGACTGGGGTCAGTCATGACGGTAGGAGGTTGGTAGTTGAATAGGTAAGTGAAATACAAGGATCTAGCTTTAAGGTAAAGACCAGTTTTGGAAACGCCCCCCTCTCAAAAAAATGAAAAGGAAGCTCTTATTACCAATCATCTGAAAGAATATGTTTTGACTAATACGGGATGATACAAATTTTGCCGGGAAACCGCCTACTAATTGATATATTTGGTATCTCTATCTATCCGGACTAGATAGATATCGAGTGGTTTCATATACATCTTTCTGTGTACAGTGCTTGTAACTTTACCAAGACTGAGCCAAATTTCTTATAATGTTGATGATTCCAGAACCTTGCACTTGCAGTACACACCAATATTTATATGCTAGATGATAAACCTTTTCCGATCGATTCCACAACGTTTCTTTCACAATGCAATCGCATGGCCAGAACTGGTCTATACCTTTAATGAAAAGGAGAGAGAGAGAACAGAGGGATGTTGCTTTTTCACAATCTTAGTCCTCTCTCTTTAAAAAAAGAAACTTATTTGTCTTCCCCGAATTAACTAATAATATATGCATTTATATCTACCTTCATATACAACCCATTTACCCTTCTATCTCTCCCTCTCTGTCTGTCTCTCTTTCTTTCTCTCACTCTCTCTCTCTCTCTCTCTATATATATATATTTATATGTGTATAATATATATATATATATATATATATATATATATATATATACACCACCCCCCCCCCCCGCACTCCCACATACACACTCATACCCACAAACAACGGTTTTTCTTTGGTGTTTAAATACATTAATGAAGGGCTGTTTACATTTCCCTATTGTACTCTGGCACATTTTGCTAGAAACAAGTTGAAATAAAAGACAACTTTCATCTCTTGTTATCGTTTTAATCAACATTGAATTGATATAATAATAATAACATTACTTATTCAAAACAATAACATTACATAATTCAAAACAACGCTATATTAATTTATTGAAGAGTAGTTTGATAAAAATGTGCAAAACATATACCAAACCAACCGATTAAATAGATGAAATACATGTACATTTCCTCAGGATTTTGCTACAAATGATTTAAGATGGCATAATTGATATAATTGATATAGTATGATAACATATAATATTGTATTTCCTTGTTTATGTTTTTACCTTGTCAAACGCAGTAGATTCTACATTGTAGTCCATGTAATGCGCTGCATGTGGAAATTAATCGTTATTATTGTAATAGGCCTATTTCGTAATGTAACCAAATTTAATGCATAGGACTTTGTGAAGTTTCACAATACAAATTATTTCATTCACCTGATAAGAATAATAGAATTTCAATAGACAGAATACGAACTGCATAACTAGTTGTTGCCAGGTAGGACAAACATTATGGCTTGAACTACCTAGCAACACTTAATATATGCATTTCGGATTCTGACTATTGAAATACTATTATTCTTATCAGGTGAATGAAATAATTTGTATTGAGGCGAATCACAAAGACTTATGTATTAAATTTGGTTACATTACGAAAATTGGCAATTGTTATATTTTTTAGTTTCTTACCTTCCACCAGTGATGCCGTAAGGCACACGAGTAAGATCAGTAAAACTCCTGAACGAAACATTTCCAGTTTACACGTTCTTCCGAACGTTTCACTCCGTATCACGTTTGGATTTAGAAGCTCGCAAAGATTCGCAAAAAAATCAACTGCTTTTTCTATCAAGAAAATTCCAGAACCAGAATGTGTTCCCATCTGAGGTCAACGATGAAATGAAAAGCAAATGTTGATCAAGCTGGCCAATGGCATCAGAACCTCTGGCAGACTGTCCCACAGTGTAATTACAAGCGGTGGCGATCCTTTTCTCTATTTTGTCCAAAAAAAACAATATTTGCCCAACAATCGAGAAGAGTGCTAACTCCTTAATAAATAATTTGTCCGCGCTGATAAACACCGCTTTGAAAAATAAATTATTCCTAAAGTGTTCTGTTGGCCAGCAACCTCTCAGGTACAGTCCTTCAACCTTTCTCTTGAATCCAAATACTAGGTGGTAAGTTTATATAGGCTCGGTTTTTATTAGCCTCTCCGTAAGAATGCGTACTGTTTACCCGAAAGATAAATAGGCTATAAGATGGAGGCCTATCTAGAAGGCTTCAATGCGCCATGAATTGCCGCCGGAAGGTTAAGCACAATGGCTTGGAGGTGAAAGGTAGCCTACGCCTCTAACCTTGCACGTGACACTATATATCATGTAAACAGTGTGATAAATCTAAACATGGAACTACGAGATTGATGTGCAAAGTGATTAATTGGCGTAGGTCGAGGTTTCTAAAGTGAAAGAACTAATTAATATTTGCTATATGCGTTCAGCTTGTAACTTAATTTATTCCATCATTATCATTATTTACGCATGTCCACTGCACTTCGCATACGTCCAACAAAAAAGTAACAGCTAGAGATAACGAAAGTTATTTTCGTGATGTAAACAAATTTAATGCATAAGTCTTCGTGAAGTGCCTCATTACACATTTGTTCATTCACCTGATAAGAATAATAGTGCAATAGTCAGAATGCAAACAACAAGCCATAATGTTTGTCTAACCTGGCAACAACTAATGTATGCAGTTCGGATTCTGTCTATTAAAATACGATTGTTCTTATCAGGTGAATGAAATAATTTTGTATTGAGGCACTTTATAAACACTTATGCATTACATTTGGTTACATTTCGAAATTGCCCTGTTGTGAAAATAATACAGCTACAGTGGTTCGGACATGTAACTAGATTGAAGAATGGTTTGGAAAACACCATCTCGCAAAGAGGGGACGACCATGCATCTAGAACTGATACTAGGGATTTTTAGATTTGCATGTCGGCATAGTTAAAAGGACGTCACACATAGCAGTCCACTAGGTCGACATGCAAATCTGAAAGTCCTTAACATCAAACCATGATCAAACAATGGACGGGAACGTCATTTGAGAAGCTATAGCAAGAACAGCTATACAGGGTCAGTACAGGCAGTTACGGAGAATGTGTGTCTCAAGGTCCATTTACAGATTTATACCTTCTAGATAGAAATAGCAGTTAATCAGAAAATTGTATCGATTTTACATTAATAACAACAACAAATGTTTGTTAAGATGATGAATAAACCAATAAATCAAGTAAAATTAAACAAAGTCAAATCAAATCAAATCAAGAGCGGATTAATCAACGGTTCACTCTCCGATGCTAATAGGGACTTTTAGATTCCGCACGACGAGAACGCGGACTGCCCTTTTAAGGCAATGTGACGTCACTGCCAGTGCCTTAAAAGGACCTCATATTGCCTTAAAAGGGCAGTCCACGTTCTCGTCGTGCAGAATCTAAAACTCCCTATTACTGTCATGGTCACTCCCAGTTTGATAGAATATGATTCTACTTCCAATCATTCTCCTTTTTTCGGAATAAGATCATATCAACTGAGTGACAATCAATGCATATGTGCTTCGGTTGTTGGCTTGTACGACCTGGCACTGTGAAAATAAACAAAAATGAAACAAACATTCTTTACGACCGTAAATCGATGGAACCGCAGGCTTGTAAATCAAAACATAAAAAGGGGGTATATGGGATCAGTACAAATACAACTTTGGAATATAATATGAATTGCCTTGGAATTTTTTTGTAGTAAACCAGTTTTCATTTTCAAAGATGAATGAGGATAGGCTATCGGGGAAATAGAACAAAATGAGTTTTACATTCAATTTTCTAACAAATTTGTGTATCATCTGGTTTCCGACTTCACTTTCACTTCATTTGGAATTATTCAATAAAAGTCAGAGTCACGGTTAGGTCACATGAAGCAAAGGTTATTGTGAAATTGCAAGCCTACTCGGCTTTCCGGTTTAAAATCGAGTTCAGACTCAGATTTCAATAACAAATTTGCTGTCTTGCTGCAAAGAAAATGACGTTGGCTGCCGCCATTAAAGTACTTTGAATGTACGAACTGGGACAATGTGCAATTAGTGTGACCACTTGCAAGCACAACAATGACGTCACATTGCAAAAATGATATGATTATCGCAGGATGTGGGTTGATTGTTTGGAAGAAGGAATTTGTTAATTCGAGTGACCTAGTAACTTTCGACGGGTTTGAGTGTGTGAGTGTGTGAGTGTGGGTGACACCTTTTTGTCATTTTCTTTAGTGTCTCAGTGATTGGTGGTTGCAACTACTGCGAATGTATTTGTGTGTGTATGTGTGTGTGAGAGAGAGAGAGAGAGAGAGAGAGAGAGAGAGAGAGAGAGAGAGTTAGAGAGAGACGGAGAGAAGGGGACAGAAACAAAATATATATTAAAGAGGAAAAATTATTACACGCGCGAGTACACGTAATTACAAGGAAGTACAAGAAATTATAGAAACAGAGTAATACACTAGTTAAGAAAGAAAGTGAGGGGAAACAAGAGCGGAAAGAAAGAGAGGGGAATATGAGAGCACGAATAAAATTATTTCCTTGAGTAGTGTAATGGACGTTAAAGTTAAAGTAAAAGTAGACATTGATTAACATACATTGCATGTCAAATGGTAGCTCTTGATCTAGAAAGTGAAACATGTCATTTTCTTCTCCCTTAAAATACATATGTGACCACAATCAGACATTTAACATTGAATCCTGGCACCCCCCCCCCTCCCATAAACGAAACCAAAGTCATATATATTAGGTGGCTTCGATGATACGTAGGCGATTGAAGCAATGCCGTACTGATAAGCTATCCATTGATATATAGTTATCTTTTTATAGAATTACTACTTTAAGAAGGCAAGAAAGTCAAATCAAGAGGGAAATTGTATATGCCAATGTGCGAGTGGGGTTGCGGGTGGGAGGGTGTGTGGGAGAAAGAGGGGATATGGGTGAGAAAGATATAGCTAGATTTATTTATTTATTTATTCAGTTTTATTTAAAAACAGGGTAGTCTTTTCAGTGCCAAAAGGCCTGCTTTACAAAAGAGCCCTGTACATACAAAGATTTACACACAAAAATAGGCATACATTGTAGAAAACAAAGACATTATAAACAACATACCATAAGAGATTGAGGAAATTATATCAAATGAATAAAAAAAAACTTAAATCAAAACTAAAACAAATTAAAAACTAGATCAAAATGAACATGTTTTTTTATTAAGGCCTAAAATATTAAACATTTAAGATATTGTTGATACAAAGTAAAATGACCCCCCAAAAATACAAATACACATGCCATAAAAATAGACATAAAATCAAACGGGTAAAAGGTAAGAAATAAAACTACTACAAAACTACACAATTACTAGAAATAAACAAACACAACTAACTGTATGGTAAAAGTCTTGATATAACATTAGGTACCAGTGCATGCATTAAAGTGATGGAGGGAGTGACTTAATTTGGTTTTTGAACATTTGGAGTGAAGTTGCCGTGCGAATATGAGTCGGTAGATACTTGGAGCGACCAAAGAAAATGATTGTTTTCTAAATTCAGTCTTGGGTTTTGGGATAAATAAGGGATTTAAGGTAGAATGACGGGTAACATAGTAAACTGGACGTTTACAAGCAAAAGATTCTCAATAATAAGGGGTTAGATTATCGAGTTTTTTGTAGACGAAAATGCAGTAGTGGTAGTTGATTCTATTTTCAACACTTTGCCATTCAAGACTGCTTAAAAGGGTGTCTTGGGGTTAGATAGTCTGCATTAAGGACTAATCTTGCATATCTGTTCTGCGTCCTCTGTAATTTGAGTAAATCTTTCTTTTTGCACTTGCCCCAAACAACTGAACAGTAATCTATATGTGGAAAAATGAGGGAGTGACAAAGATGTTTCAGTAGGCGTTGGTTCAAGTAACTCTTAATCCTCCTAGTGCATGCAAAACCTTTACAAAACAGTGCCGTGTCATCAGCGTACAGAGATAGAGACAGAGATACAGTGACAGAGAGAGAGGGAGCAATATAGGGAGAGAGAGAGAGAGAGAGAGAGAGAGAGAGAGAGAGAGAGAGAGAGAGAGATAGTCTATAATTTGTATTGCCTATATTCGTAAATACTTACTATGCCAGTTGTTAAACGTATACCATAGGTTCTTCATGTAGTACCTATTTAGTTGACAATAAGGCGTTATGGGTTTTAATGTGTATAAAGGGCTCTGATTTCTGGGATTTTTGTTGTTTTTTCAGGTAAAAATACCTCTCACATCAGATGGGAATCTTTTTGGAATTACAAACAAGACACACTTGCTCATAAAATGTTATCACACAACAGGACACTTGAAGTATTTGATTAAAGAGTATGAGACTGATACGTTTTAAAGACCGTCAATACTACTGGGCCAGAAGGGATTAGACCACACAGCGAGGTCACTGACAGGTGGCTATCTCATTAACTCAGCTCTCAACTAACATAAGAAGAAGAGGATCATGGGGAGCACCATGCATGCACCGATTGGGGAAGTTTTCTATATAGAGGGAGCAATAAGTAGCTACAAGTAGGACAGTGGGGCTTTAATGTGAATATAAATGCTAATGCCTTATAGATGAGGAAAATTACAACTTCTGATAATAACAATTAGTAGAAAGATGTTACGCTGATAGTTAAATCTATGAATTGTGTTGTCAATATGTAAAGCGCTTAGACACATCGTTGTATCGAAGTATTGAGCGCTATATAAAAGCAGAATATTATCATTATTACTATTAATATATTTGATTCAATGCCGTAAAATCTTGTTGTTTTTTGTTTTGTTTTTCACTTGTTAAATTTCTAGTACAACAGAAAACTCATGACCACGGATAATACTGGTAAAACTTGATTCATGAAAAGATATTCTCAACAACCTGACTACGATATTGTACATCAAATTACATCAAAGGGAATCCTAACAAATTCCTTAGCCACAAACACCATTTTATTTTGAAAAGGGGCAAATGAAAACAAACTGAAAAATAAATGATGATAAAAAATGAATACAAATTCTACTCCACATTTGAATTTCAACAATGAAATTAGAATTCATGAGGTAGAAACTCGATCTGTTTAGCTCTTATTCAATGTTTATATGCTAACCCTGCATTATATAGTAACATAAATAAGTCAGATCAAAAGAAGTTTATACAGAACAAAATGGTGAGATTCTCCAAGAACTCCAAAAATCATAACAACTCGTAATCGTATCGCATCGATCACGACGGTGCATAATCATACTAGGTCGAGTCATTATATTCGATCCAACTTTGATCTTGTTACTGACTGTTAATTTTATTATCATCATCATCATCATCTTTGATACGTTTTTCTTCTTCTTATCTGTTTGTAAATATGCCGCGGCCCCACTATCACTAGAATAGCTCTCGATCGAGCTTTCGTGGGTTATCTATTTCAAGCTGACTCAATTTTGATCTGTCATTCTTTTATATTATTGTATGTTTATAATGAAGGCTTGGCGAATAAAATCAATCAATCAATCAATTTACCGCGGATGATCGCCCAGGGGGTAATTGTCCTCGCTGATACTAAATGACTAGATAGGATTTTCTTCGCTTTTTTTCTCGATCTATAGCTCAGCTTATAATCATGCAGCTTCACAATTTTGTATTAAATCTAGGCCATCGCATCTTTGGTTCACCAAAATGATTTGATTTTTTTTTCTTCAAATGATCATGACAATGACTTAAAATATCTGAATATTAAAAAATTTGGGTTTCTGCGAAATTAGTTTTAAAAATTGATTCTCCAAAATTTCATTTTGTCTTTGTTTGTTTGTTTGCAAGATAAAACTGTAATCGGTTGATTTTTTCAGGTAGAAATTGCCAAGGAAAATTGACATTATCGCTCAAGTTGCATGCACCAAGATCATTTCATGGTCTTCTAGAGGTAAGCCAATCCAATTCCTTCATTTCTTTAACCTGATTATTTTTTTCAGAAAACAGAAATGTCATTTATTTTGAAGACTGACATTACACCGATTTCCAACCGAGTGTTTATATTTTTTAACCGTTTTTACCTAGGCCCCACATATTGTATCTTGTGTTAAGTTCTTTTTACAAATCTAACGAAGGTCGCGTCGCTTCATGACGTTAAATTGTCACCGTCCAACCACTCACGGAACTCTTTCAAATTACTTTTTAATCATTAATCAAACACGCTAGTATATTATGTGTATTATTGATAAATAATGTAGATTATAGATAGTCTAGTCTAGATCTTGTTTGACCAAATATATTTGTTGGGGACCAGACACTTTTGAGCCAAATGAATGGACATAGAGGGCGCAAATCATTTATATATTGTACTTTTGACTAGTCTACTGGTCTACTATACAGTCTATATATGTACTAGTAGACGTTTGTCTCTTTTTGACATATTATCTGTATTTGTTTTTCTTCTTTTTCTTTCTTAACAACTTCAAAATTTAATTGGCTTGCTTAACATGATCTAGACCTAGGCTAGATCTAGACCACATGACATGTAGACCTTTCCGCATATCGCGCGCATTGAGCGCTGTGCGCTGTATCAAGTATCAAGTATCAAGTATCAAGTATCAAGTTTATTTGTCTTCCAGAAAACACATGTGACAAAATATAATAGAGTATAATCATAACAGTACAATGTAGAACAAAGGAAGACGAGGAGACCTTGGTTGAAGCACAGCTTGTTAAGTTAAGGCCCCCTCATATGATGTGACAAAGATAACTTATTTATGAATACAACAACAAAAATGGAATATATAAAACTATTTACAAAATACTCTCAGAGAACAACTACCCACCGTTGCATCTAATATGATCTAATATGGACAAACCCAAGCAGACACCAAGTCGAGACATCAATGAGTTATTGCTCTCTGAGTCCAGAGGTCAAGTTGGAATATATGGTATATGTAGTATGTACAGATGAGAAAGAAAAAGAAGAAGAAAAAAGAAAAGGGATAAAGGGGGTTATATGTCAAAGTCAAGAATTAACGAAAAAAAGATCAAGAGTAGAGTTAAATATGCTACAGTACACTAACAATAAAGCTTGATAACACATTCATGTGTCATCGACATACTTGTCAAGAAAATATGACTTAAGTCTACGTTTAAAAACTGAGATACTTGAAGCATTTGTTATGGTAGTATCAAGTGAATTCCAGAACCTGGGGCCAGTGGACATTAGTGTATTCAAAGTGAAGGTTGTCAATGGAGAGCAGAAGCCTGTCTAGTATTCATCACGATCTATCATCTAACACTCGCTCTCTCTTTCTCTCGGCCAATGAGATTGGCGGATCCGCTCGAGCTATTTCAAATTTAAGTGAGGCTGAGACGGGATGAACGATATGCAGAGACGCCAAGTTCAAAGATCAGCAACGCGTGACATTTTCATGATTCGGCGCGCGGATGCGCGGGCGAGGGTGTAACACACATATAAGGTAAAGCGTTTTTTCAAAATCTAGCGCGCGTTGTGCGTGAGAGCGTTTCCAGACCGTCGAAATGTGTGACACTTGGTAGCTCTGGATATGCGCTAAATGTAAGCTACAGATCTATGTGCCACACCACTCGTGGACTTAGCTTAGCTTAGCACTGCAGCATCAAAGCCATTGGTATACTTAAGATCTTTGTCTGGTAAAAACAATTCAAGACACCTAGGCCCGTATTCTGAAGTCGTGTCTAACTCCTGTTTAACTAAACAGTTGTCTAAGTCTTGTCTAAGTCCCGTCTAACTTTAGACACGAAGTCGTGTCTAACTTTTTTGGTATTCTGAAGTCGTGTTTAAATAAAGTTAAACACGAAGTCCTGTCTAAGTCCTGTTTAACTTTAGACAACTGCGAGGGGTTGTTTAAGTCCTGTTTAAGGGCGCGATTCTGCTGCTTTTCAACGTCGACGGTACACTGTACTTGCTGACCCCGAACTTGCGGGGGAGAACGATGGTACGTGCATTCTCCAAAATTTCAAATACGTTTTGCAGGATTTTTTCTCGTGTAGCCTAATTTTTTTTCTCGATAATATCAACTATTCTTATCTACTGGTGACATCTTGGAAATTCCATAATCTATAATAAACTAACCATTCTGTTGGAGAAGTTTCTTTTGTGGTTCTTCCGAGCACTGAGGCACCGATAAGTAGTGTGTTTGTCAATCTCAGTGTACAGTACGTGTACTACGTACGTACGTACACAAAGTACATGCAGTCTAGTCATTACGTCACGATCACATCACCATGGTACCAGCACGCGCACAGCTAGCTGTGCGCGTTAATTTATTTATCCGGTGCGCGCACGCATGCGCATTGGGTCTTTCGTCAGAATTAACACCTACTGGGCATGCCCAGAAGTCGTGACTAAGAGTTAAACACGACTTGCGCAGAACTTAAACAGTTGTTTAGTTAAACACCACTTAGACAGGACTTAAACAGTTGTTTAGTTAGACGAGACTTAGACACGACTTCAGAATACGAAATTTAGTTAAACAGGACTTAGACACGACCTCGCGTCTAAGTCCTGTCTAAGTCGTGTCTAACTAAACAGTTGTTTAACTTTAGACGTGGCTAAGTTAGACACGACTTCAGAATACGGGCCCTAGAGTCTAAACCTCTTTATTTTCAAAATTCTCAAACAAAACTCACCAGAATGCACTCAAAAACTCTGCACTTTCATGACGATTGATTACACCTAAATGGCAGGAAAATTCAATCAATTCAACTCGCCAATCTTGGAAAAAATACTATTAGAAAATTGAAATCAGAAATCTATTGTGAATCCTGGCGAAAAGCCCATTTTTTATTCATTGCGTGCCTTTCTTGGTCACATCGTAAGCTGCAGAGCGCTCGATTCTTGAGGCAAAAATTGCAACTTGTTCTTAAGAAAATTCAGTTTGTATCACAAACCAAAAAAGTCTAGATTTGATTGATGCGTGACATGGGTGAGCGATGTGGACCAAGTTTTTTTGTAGCCTTAAGTGATAATATGATATTGATATATCACCTAGCCTTAAAGGGCAAGTCCACTCCAAAAATAACTTAATTTCAATAGGAGCAGAAAACTCAGACAAACCATTTAAAAAAGTTTGAGCAAAATCGGATAACTAATAAGAAAGTTATGAATTTTTAATGACATGAAAAAATTTGAAAATCACGATAAATTGGCAACTCACTCATAAGTCTGTGACGTCATGCCCTCACTATCCACTAATTATTTTCTTTATATTGATAACATAAATTTCCTATTTTCTCCCTAAGAATCTTATTTCTTAACCCATTAACTACTCGGCCCTTTCATTCCCATAGGCTTTAATACAGCAGCCACCCGGTTCCCGTAGGCTACGGTTTAACACCAGCACCAAGTTAGATTGATAGTGCCCCGGTAATACGTTTTTTGTGCGGATGCACTAATATAGATTTGTTTTATTCCAGTTAAATCATGAAAAATGTGAAAACTATTTATATAAAAATCAATAATTCTGAATATACAATATTCATAAAATAGTATCAATTCTTCAAAGTTCATAAAGTTTTTGGTGAAATGTCATGCACGCAATATAATACAAATCATATAACCTGGGCAAAGGCATGGGGAAATCAAGTTTTAGGGGATAAAAAGGGAAATTAAAGATAAACTTGAGTTCTGGTTAAAAAAAAGAAATTCAATTCTTACAGAATCTAACAAAACTTACACTGAATGTTCAAGATTACAAATAAATGTCAAGTGCCAAACAACTTTGGAAGAAAATGTATACTGGCTGAGAAATGAGCATAGAAAGATAAGAAGTACTAGCCCCAGCACCATTTGTGTTGTCCCATTTACATCTTTCTGTGTAGTGTGCTTGTTACTTTACCAAGACTGTGCCAAATTTGTTATGAATTTGATGATGCCAGAACCTTTCAGTACACACCAATACTTACATGCTACATGATCAACTTTTTCTGATGCATTCCACACCTTTTCTTTCACAATCAATCGTGTTACCAGAACTCACCTTTATTTTTAATGGGATTAAACTATATAGAGCAATTGATAAATAGTGAGGACATGACGTCACAAACTGATAACCAAATTGGCAATTTGTGTAGTGATTTCCATTTTTCCATGTAGTTTTACATACTTTTTTCGAAAATTCATAGCTTTCTTATTAGTTATCCGATTTTGCTCAAACTTTTTTTTATTGGTTTGACTGATTTTTCTGCTTCTACTTAAAGTGACTCAGTAACATTGTTGAAGGTTGATAAAAAAAATTGCTTAATTTTTGTATAAAATGTTACTTACTATATTCCTTCTACTATACTAACCCTCTGACATGCAAAAAATCCTGAAAAAATTCTCAAACCACGAAGATATCTATGGTTTTCTTTGCAGGCGTTGATGTTGGACACCCTCTAACAGTGATTAACAGTAAATTCTTCCAACCATTTTTTGAATTTTCCAAACCGTTTTTTCCATGAAAGAAATACATAAGCTTTGTGACGATTTACATTCACCTAAAATGTAATAAAATTGTCCTTGTCTAGATGCTGAACAGGCTTTGACAAGTAGCAGAATAGAAGTAGAATAATATAGTTGGGAGAATTAAGGAATTGATCAGATCAGTTTTTCCCAATTTTTACCATGAATAATGGTCCGTTTTCACTCAAATTTTCAGATTATCTTTAATTGTACATCTAGCATTGAAGTCACTACCTTAGCACCACTATCTCTCATCTGAACAATGTTACAAAGTCCCTTTAAAGTAAGTTATTTTTGGACTGGACTTGGACTTTAATTGGCACTGATACCCCAGCGTGAAGAGTGATGTAAACAAAACCTAAAATGCGTTCATAATCACCCCTTGCCGCTCCCGACGAACGTTGTAAGTTCGCTAGTGGACTTTCTTCTCAAAAGCATTTTGAAATCAGTTAAGAATTTAACAAAAATTGTGCAAATTTGATACCAGAGTGATACTGATAGCGATTTACTTTATACCACATGTTCCTGATGATAATGAGCAAATTTGAGATTTACATTACAAAAACGCTGACCTCTTACGAGAGTTCCCGATGTTGCTCAGCTTTGTGAGCATCTGGCTAGCTGGAATGCTCCCCTGGCAGTGAAGAATGTGCATACATTGTGTGCGGGCAAGCCTGAATCTGATGACCAGGATATCTGTAAAGCGCTTTAATATCATTGATGTATTAACTTAAGGGCTATTTCAAACCCAGAATATTCTCTATCCTTTCTGTTTTAATTATCAAACAGCTTAACCTTGTTCTCAAATGGCGGTGTGAAACAAGATGGAAGAAGAAAGCTCTGGTGTTGTCAAGAAGATGGACAAGGAAGTCCTGGTGACTGCAGTTTCTGAGGGATCATCAGATTTTGTCAGAATAAAACAAGAAGTGGACCTGCCAGAAGGTAACAATTAGCATTGTACAATCTGGGCCTTGTCTTAGAAAGAGTTGATATCAATCCCAACTTATTTGTGATTGATATCATTTCAATCACAACTACATGTATGTACATAGGAGATAGGAGACTGCAAACTTGCGATTGATTGGAGGACTTGCGATTGATTTGGATCAATCGTAACTCTTTGTAAGATGGGGTCCAGACCTGATTTAGCAACCACCTTCACTAGTGAGACTATGTTTTTTGTGTCTTACAGGAATCTGTATTCAGTTAATTTGTACATGAAGACCACTGCCTCTAAAGATCAGATTTGCTGTCAGACGCTATCGGTCTCTATGCACAGGTTTCTCTACAGGTGTTAAATGACTTTTTTTTAATCAATTTGAGTTTCCCATGTGTATAATGATTACATATATTTACGCGTTTTCTTCAGGCCTTTCTTATCTTCTTCATTTTTTAAAAAATATTTACCAATCTGGTTCTTTGAATTTTCGATTGCCCCCCCCCCCCTTTCAACTTGTTCCAAAGTTTAGCTTTGTCTAGGAATTTCTTGATGAGTCCCTTATGCCTCAGTCACACGTTTGCGTATTTGGCTTGCGTATTGCTGTGTATTTATGGCAAGCCGTTTAAACATTTATTCCTATTTCTTGATATCAAGAATTAAATTGAATTCTTGATATCAAGAAATCGTATTCTTGATATCAAGAATTACCATTGCTTTACAACAGAAAATCGTTTCTTGATATCAAGAAATAGGAATAAATGTTTAAACGGCTTGCCATAAATACACAGCAATACGCAAGCCAAATACGCAAACGTGTGACTGAGGCATTAGTTTTTGTTAGTTTGTTAATATTTATATAAACAATGACATTTTCATATTTATTAGATGACACCTACTACCCAATGGACTTTGGTATCTCTGTTGAAGATGAGGAAGAAATGAATCCAGTTTATGTCAAGATGAGAAGTAAAGAGCCTGGTTCCTCAGGTAAGTCAATTTATTTTGATTATATCAATTACCACCATCTTTTTGTTAGTTATATATATATCCAAATTTTTGTTACCTTATATCAGAATCTTTTAAATTTTTGGATTGTAGAAATATATTAGAACTAACTTTCTGTGGCCTTTTCTGTAAAAACACAAATTAGATATAATTTTGGATTCCTGATTATTTGTTTTGCCAGAAGAAGTGTGATAACGGTGCAAAGTGTTACCTTTCACCATATGTGTATCTAACAATAACTTGTAACTCAAAATATATAAGGAGAACTCTGGATGTAATGCAATAATCCGGGAACGATCATCGTAGGCAACTGATGTGTCCTTTTTTCAACTTCCAATGCATATACTGCACCCCCACTGATATGGGAAAATCCCTATTTCATTTCTTTTGAATTTGTTCATTAAGAACCACATTGAAACAGGCAAACAACATAGATATAAATATGTATAATAATCAAGTTTTACACAAACAAGCACATTCAAAATATCCAGAAAAGAAATAATGTATGTACATAATTATCGAGGAGTGCTGATGGTGTAAAGGAGTTTGACATGCGTCTTCACTGACATTGCATCATTTTAAGAATTCTTATAGCTGCATGTTGCGATGTTCTTGTATCGATGTGTTAAAAGCGATGTTAAAAATCCGAGACAAAATAGAGCAACCGTCGTTCCGTCCGTTCCGAATCTCTACAGAGCAACCTGAAGTCAACTCCAAGCCCACTGCCGCTAGGGGAAAGGGCAAAGCCAAGGCCAAATCTGTCCTGAGGAGGGGAAGAAGCCAAGCCAGGGCCAAATCAAGTAACCCTAATCCTCCTGGACTAGATCCGGACCAGGCCTTGGGTTGGGAATCTGAAGAAGAATACCTAGACGGATGTATGACCTATGATGACGTGACTTCTCGTGATGCCAGTGCTAACGGAGGTAGCCAGCAGCAGAGGAGGCACAAGATTTTCTCTGACCTAACGAATGAGGAGGAAGAAATCATGGTGAGGTGGATACGTGAGACGGATTGCCTGTACAACAAAAAAAGGATTGATTACAGAGACTTCCCTATGAAAGACAAGCTGTGGGCTGACAAGGCCAAAGAAATGGGAAAGAAAGGTGATTATGTAATCAAAATACACTTTTTATTTCTGCCTTCGAATGTTATTCCTTTGTGCTTGTATTAAACAGGTTTTGATTAGTTTATGAAGTGATATGTACAGTTCTTTTCTTAAGCCCCCGGCACTATATTGATTTATTATTATTCCATGTACCTGAAGAAAAATATTGATGAGTGTTTCTTTTATATTTTCAGCTAAAGTCCTGCAAGTGTGGTATAAGTCTATCCGTACTAGATATGTGAAAATTGCGAGGAAGAAATCTCAGTTTGGGGTGTCTGACTTGACGGAGCGAGACCATTGGATAATGATGAAGTTCGGCTTTCTGGCCAAGCATATTGGGAAAGTGAGACTCAAAACAAATTTCAGAGTAAGTAAATATTGATTTGCATTTTGTTCTAATAGCATTTCATGTTAGCTGCAATGTCAGGTTTCTAAACTTTTCTACATGTATTTTTGTGTGTAAATAAATGAGACTCTATTCAATAAAAAAATCTTTAATGAATTATAAATTGCCATTTTGCAATAACTTTGCTGATTACAATAGATTGGTTGACAAAGAAATGAAAAACAACACTGACACACAATAGCCTCCCATTGGAATAATGTTTTATATTTCAGCCCAACTGCCTAGATTGCTTTACTTGCATGGTGGTATTCAGATATTTCAATATTTTTTTTTTTAGATTTAAAGCCTCACTGCACTACTTATAGCTACTTGCGGCCTCTATATAGCAAACAATGCCTAATCGGTGACCCTAGGTCCCCCATGATCCTCTTTTTCTTATGTTATTTGAGAGCTGATTTAATGAGGAATAACCTGCCAAGTGACCTTGCAGGGGTCTAATCCCCCCTGGCCAAACTAGTACAGACGGCCTTTAACACTCGGTGTAAATTGTTGTTGTTCTTCGTCTTTTACCAGAACTCGAGACTACATGACCAGGTACCTAGGAAGTTGAAGGTAGCCTCCAGTGTTTGTCCTGGCCGAGTTTCTCCTGCTGACCTTTCTATTCTTAAAGTTTATTCAGTTAATGAGGATGATGATGGACCTGGAGGCCACAAAGAGCCACCCCCTGAGGACCACATGGAGCTTTTTCCTCCTCCTCCTCCTCCTCCTGATAGTTGTTTTAGTCCTGGTCCTGGTCCTAGTTGGAGAGCGTTGGAGAGCATTTCCAAGGATGGACCTGGACCCGAAGGAGGTCCGGCAGCCCAGACATCAGCAGAGGTTCAAACTGCAAGTGTAAACCGGAAATACGAGCAGTTTATACAGGTAGGCAAATCCACATTTGTGATTACACAGTATGCTGTTGAGATTCTTGTTATGATTCTTCATAGCATTGATATGTGTTGGGTTCTCACTGATATAATCTAAAAGGTTAGTTGATACACTTGCTATCATGTAAAAAGGGGTAAATGGCCCAAAGTTGGACAATAGAGTTCACTACCAAACAAACATTGGTTGCAAAATTACATTTGAGATCTCTGCATGTTTTGTTCTATTTTCTATGAGACGTTCAAAAGAATGTGGGCATCACCTCATGAAACCGTCATAAGTACAAGTTCTCTGACATCCCATTGAGATGTTAACTAAAAAACACTCCTTTCAATAGGATGTAGGCAACCTTGTACTTGTGGTGGTTTTGCAAAATACTGCCCAGAATACTTGTTGATCAATGGACATTAGTGATCACAGACTTTTGCTATAGAGACAATGCTGCACAAAATTTTAGTTTCTAAGAGGTTCTGCAAACTTTTAATTTGTTTTTCCTCACTTGTGGAACTCCTCAGATGCAAGAGACGGTTCTGATGTCCATGCTGCAGCCTAAAGCAGTCAACGAGAGAAGTGCCTATGGTGATTGGTTGAAGGCTGTCATAGAGGGCTTTGATAGGTCGGTCTGGAGGGACTTCCAGATTGAATGTTCTCAGCTGATACACAAGTATCAATGCAGGAACGACCAGATCTTCAGTGGTCTTCCAAGCAAGCCATCAACATCCTGGGTATGTTGTCTTGTTGTTTTCAGTCTGATGGCAATGCAGCCCAAGATATCTTTGGCTGAGGTCTATGGATACTTTTTGTCATGTCAAAATGAAGTTGTGTTCAGTTGGTCATTTAAGTTGATCTTATTTTACCATATATGATACTCAAACTATTCAACACAAATCAGGAAGTAGTCTTGACTGCATTGTTGACAAATAAAGCAAAACTCATCTAGATTACATGTGCAGTAGCTTTCCAGTGGATACTGACATTACGACACTGACCTAGAATTGCATTTGAGGGCTCACAGCACTGATAAGGAATGCCAAATAGGGTTGTGGAGCCAAAAGGATTAAGAACCACTGATCTAGGAGGTGTAATGTTCAGATTTAGATTTAAGATTTATTTTATTCAATACTTGCAACATTTACAGTTGAATTGTTACTGAATTTACATATTTAAAAAACATATACAAATTACAAACAGAAGGAACAAAAACATATCCAAATAAAATTAAATGACAGACAAAAGTGTACAAAATTGCAAATTTATAGTGACAATAGAAATTAATCTAGAAATGGGAAACCATGGGAATTTTATTGAAATAGAAACTAGTTGAAAACTAATTAAGAAAATATTAAATGTTCAGCTAATCCATGCTACAAGTTTCTTGTAGGTCATGTTCTCGAATGTATCATGGATGCTTATTTTTATTCTTTTGTCTTTACAGTCGGCAGATAATAATGAACAACCTGAAGGAGAGAGCTAAACGCCATCGGTCTACTGTCGACGGTCCTGCATCATCCGCAGATTCATCTAACTTTCCTGGGCTCAATAGATGGCAGCTTATCCTGAGTAAAACATACTTTCAATAGAATCTGCAAAATATTTTTTAAATATATATTTTGTTCAGAGATTTAGAAGTGTGTTTGTAATTTGTTTTTGACTGATGTATATCAATCAGATATGGTTATTCACGTCTGGGGACCGATTTTTAACATTACCATCTGAAAGACATGACTCAGTTAATACAAACTTGGGTCCATCAGAGTCAGTTTGTAGGGAAGACAGAGAGCTGACAAACTGCTAAACCAACTCGCATCTCCCTAGAGAAGCGAAGCACGGACAAAGGAAAAGTATGTTTGGCTGGCTTCAGTTTTATTCTGTGAATATCGACCAAAGACCAGTAGGAGATATCACCCAGGCATCGTAGCTGCGGAGACTGCAGAGGGTGATACTGCTCTCATTGCTCTTGAAGACACCTTGAGCCCAAAGCTGAACTGAAACACTCCTCTCACTCCTAACTCTGAGGATAAGACCATCTCATTTCCCGTGGAGTCCTTCAACAAGAAGGTTGCAGGAATTATAAAGACTATTAAACATGCAATGACACAAACGTGTGTTTTCATATGTCTATGGCTACTGTGTATTTTTGTTTCTATTGTATATTGTTCATGTGCTTGATGTAATGCCGACAAACTGAATTCCCAAATGGACAAATAAAATTAATCTGATTCTGAATCTGAATGTGATGTTATTCTGGAAAGATGTAAAACATTCTGTTTCTATTGTATTCTCTGGTGCTTCAAGATGAAGTTGAGTTCTGGTCATGCGATTGCATTGTGAAAGAAACGGTGTGGAATCGACCAGAAAAGGTTGGTCATCTAGCATATAAAAATTTGTGTGTATTGCAAGGTTCTGGAATCATCAAAATGATAAGAAATTTGGCCAAGTCTTGGTAAAGTTACAAACACTGTACACAGAAAGATGTATATGGGACTACACGAACACGTGCCGTAAAAATCCTACTCCCGAGTGTTACGATGTAACATGACACATTTAGAATATGAAGGCATTTGAAGCTCCATGCTTTTCAGGGAACATGTCTTTTCTGATGTTCTTCCACACTTGTATAATAAGAATGATAATGCTCACAAATTATTTTTTACCTCTTCCCAGAACTCAACCTTCTCTTTAATCTTGTCAAATTGTGCCAAATTGTGAAGAACTAATTGTGCATGTAGATGAGAAATTGAGAATCAAGCATTTTTGTGTGCACCTTATTCTTTAAAAAAAAAATATGTATTCAAAAAACACTCCTAGCCAAGAATCATAAGATGTTTGTATATAGATTTTCTTTTGACTGTCAATATTAGAGGAAAAGGAATTATACTTAATGAGTCGTATCAATAATGCAAAAATACATGAGTTCAGAATAGGAACCATTAATTTGTTGGAAGTGTATGAAGCCCTTATGAAGGCCATGGTGATTGTGTACTCACAGTAAATTTATCTTTGTAAATGATTAAATTGCACATGTACATTCATGTGTACATACTACTGCACCCTTTGTAATGGTTGAAGTGAAATAAATGAATTGTATGCCTAGTACATGATGGTAGACATATGTAAGAGGAACATGATCATTGTGATTTCCATTCAAAAGGACTTCAATTTTTTTTTTTTGTCGTCGAGGCCTAAAGCCATGAAAGGTCAAACGCCAAACTTTTTGTTAGAGATTTTATCTTTCATTTCCATCCTCATCTTAAAAGTCCAAGCCCAGATTTGTTACATAAACATTTTAAAAATAAACTACCGTATGTACTCCAGGGCCCCGTCTTAAAAAGAGTTGATTGCTTTATATATTTATTTATATGTTTTGTTTAAAGATAAAGTTGAGTCATGGGCCCCGTCTTAAAAAGAGTTGCGATTGATCCAAATCAATCGCAAGTTCTCCAATCAATTGCAAGTTTGCAGTCTTCTATCTCTTATGTACATAGTTGCGATTGATACCAACTCTTTGTAAGATGGGGCCCTGGTCATACGATTGTATTGTGAAAGAAACGGTGTGGAATCCATCAGTTGATCATGTATAAATATAAGTAGTGGTGTGTACTACAAGGTTCTTGAGTCATCACAATGATAAGAAATTTTGCCCAGTCTTGGTAAAGTAACAGGCACTGTACACAGAAAGATGTATATGGGACTACAAAAAACAATTGGGCCTCATTATTAAGCTGTGTTACTTGGCATATTTAAAATATAAAGGCATTTGAAGAGCCATGCTTTTCAGGAAACATTTTTTCTCTGATGTTCTTCCACACTTCCAAAATAACAATGAAAATGCTCAAAAATTATTTTTCACTTCTCCCCATGCAGATCTTAACCTCTTAAAAATGTTTGTGCTCATGTCATTTTCATTTTATGTATTTTGTTATTGTGGTAACTATTTGTATATAGGTGCTAGGATTAGGTGCTAGTGAAGAAAAATTCAAACAAAAAGATTGTTCATCAGCTTTTGAGCAATTTTCATGTGCTCATGTCATTAAATGATTAATTATATTCTTATTTCTTTTTTTATAAATAATGAATTATAAATGTGCTGAAGAAAAAAAGGTGAATAAATACAAGTTGAAAATATTCAAATATTTGTCATTTTTGTTTGGAATTTTGATTGCGTGTCCATCAAAATATATCATGTCACTGGTCATCTCAACACTGTACGGAGGGGACCAGTTGCAAAAGAAAATTATAATTTGTATTTTGTAAATCAATAGACATAGAATCACTCTAGAAACACTGTCTGAGATGAGTGGAAGAGGGCAAATTCATATCACTTGAAAGCCTACACAAAATTTAACTCAAATTTGTCTGTACTTATATCCACGTACTATTTATATGTATTGACTAGCCTTGGATCGTGAATACAATGGATTCAAAGCAGGGTGGATTCACAATTTACGGCGCCATCTAGCAACACCGGTGTTTACTTGATTTCATGTGATGCAATTTGGGAATAAGTAGACAAAAAATATCAGCTGTGGCATCGTTATATATCGAAGGAGATAAGGGCATTTAATAAAAAAAACTTTTGTTGGGGAAGGTTTGAATAATAATAATAATAATAAAGTAATTTTTATATAGCGCATAATAATAAATTCTCTATGCGCTTTACAACAATCAAATATACAATAAATTACATGATTAATCTAAAGATTTAATTATACATGAATTAATAGAAATACATATCGTATACAATGATGACAAAATAAGATATAATATAAATGATATAAACTTATGAACACAATTATAATAGCTAAATAATTACGATCTTTTATTGTAAGGAAATAACATTATTTGACATAAACTAGCATATATATAATTACAGACTATTGGGTGAACATAAATGTTTTCAGAAGTGATTTGAATGAGTCGACTGTCGGGGCATTACGAATACTGAGGGGGAGGTTGAATAGCTTTTCCAGGCTAAAATTTTGCACTGATTCCAAAAAAAACAGTTTTATTGCTTACGTTGTTATGGTTGATATCGGAACAATAAATATCCTTGAATGAATTTACACAATCTAGACCGTTTTTGTCATTTAGATCGGTGGCTAGCGTTATATGCTGTGCTGCATGTTGACCCGCGAGCTGAAAAATTAGCCGCTGCTTGCCGGGTGCTGTTAATTGTGTATCCACCCTATTCACAAGGCCATCTAGCGACACCATGTTTGTAGTTGATTTCACTTGATGCATCATGGGAAAAAGTAGACATCGTTTCAGCTGTGGCTTGCCTTTGTTAAATATACCCTGGCCTAGCTAGATAAGGGGATGTAATAGGAATTTTTATGGGGAAGATTTGTAAAGCTTAACCGGGGTAAAAAAAATTGCACAAAAAGTTTTGTTGACCTGGCCTACTCAACATTTTTGGCCAAACTGACCAATATGGTCACTTTTGGTCTTGGGTAATTTTTCCAGTCTTTATTAATTGCAAAGGAGATTTGACCGGCCTGTTCATTTAAAAATGTGCTCTGATGCTAAAAAAAAAGTATTTAAGTTGAACCCCATCAACAACAATTTGCTCATTTCACCGTTCCTCCTCCTCCTCCTCCTCCTCCTCCTCCACCTCCTCTTCCTCCTCCTCCTCCTCCTTTGCCTTCCCCTTTTATTTCCCCCCAGATTTCTTATTGTACAGCACACATGTATATGGGACTCCAAAATGCATGTTAAATTATGAGAGTCTCTTTTTGGGCTCACAGTGTGAAACCAAAGTGGTATCCCTGATTTTGTATTGGCATGGAACAACAAATATACAGAGCAAAGTATTGTGTTGTTGATTTGTCCCATGTAGTTAATTCCACTGTGTATTTGGGTATAGCTATGAGGGATGACAAAAAGGCACGTACCTGCAAATCATATTCAGGTCATGTGATACCATCTGTTTGGAGCTAGAAGGGCATT